CAAGGCGCCTCCCCCTACACAAGCTCCAGGCGGAAGCAAGGCCCCTGATTTTGAAGCCGCTTTTTCGGGATTAAATCTCGCACCAGCGAAGGAGGCAGACGACGACGATGAAGATGACGATTTCTCACGAACTGAGGGCCGACAACACAACATGGACTTTGATTTCTCGTTTGATTCCGCGGCGTCTCAGCAGCAGAGGACTGCCACCCAAACTAGCGCCTCTGGAAATACGAGCTCTGATTTCTTTAGCTTCGACCAGAGCGCCCACGCACCCTCGTCATCTGGCCCAGCGAATCCTGGTACTAAGTCAGGGGACCACGACTGGGAAGCGCTCTTCGCCCCTCTGGACAATATCAAATCTCCAGGTGCAGAGACAATCAACGGAGCTCCTTCAGGCGCATCCACTGAGTCGAAACAGCCTGGATGGGCCCTTCAAAATGAGACACAGGATGACCCGAACCTCCAGCGTCTTACGGGCATGGGCTTCCCCAGAGAAGCTTCCCTAGTCGCCCTAGAAAAATTCGACTACAATATTGACATGGTATGTTATCTCGCCCAGATAGTCGGTTGGACTTAGATACTAATCCCTATTTATTAGGCAATCGACCACCTCACGAAAGCGTGATCCCTTATTATTAAATGTCACCCATTCCCTATTTGAAAGAGTATCCTTCCAATGATCACCACCTATGCACATAGTCTAAACTCTCTCATTATATTATCCCCTTTTTGTCTTATTTCTATCTTTAGCCTTGCGCTTACTCTTAACGCTTCTACTGTATCTTTCTGTATGCAACTTTTATTTTCAGTTTTCATGCTCCCGAGCGTGCTGCTCTCATGTACATCCATGCCCCCATGTCTCGTCTGCCGATCTGTGTCGGCCGATCCTCCTATAAACTTACTCTACCTGTATGGCTACCTGATGTAATCTAGAATCGGGCTACGAGACTGCGAGAACTTCGGAGTGCCCGGTGGCTATTATAATCAAGACTAATTTCCAACTATATCCCGCGCCTGTCCTGCTGATACGGGGTAAAGACTCAGTTACTGCTAACCAAGTGCTGCTTCGGGTGTAAGAAAAACCTAAGCAGAGTTAGGGAGCTTGTGTTCGGCGCTTTTATTGACTAGTGCTTCATATCCGAATATTTGATATTTCAATAGCCCATTCTCCCAGATGTTAAGTCTTACCGCCAGGCCTTTCACGGAGCTCTCGAAGACCAAGATACCTAATAATACAGAATATGCAATACATCGCATTCGCCTGTTCCCAACACTGCTGATAACAAAACGCTTATTCATGAGGCCGGTCGACCATTGTTCTCGTCCCAGCCGCCCCCGCCTTCAGGGTTCCTCGAGCTTTTCTCGTGCTGTACTGAAACCCGTTGCAAAGCAACTACTAGTCATGTTTAGCACGCATTCAATTACCGCATGCCAAGAGAAAACCTACCAAAGTCATCCAGAGTGCGCTGAGAAGCCCTTTGTCTTCTCGGAATTCTGCCGTGCATGATATCGTCAAAGGTTTGAGAACGCTGTAACAGAAAATAAACCCCTCCCATAACGCAGAATACGCCGAACGAGAATACCCAAATACGGACAATAGCGATGGGCGAAGTCTGCCCGCCAACGAACCAGCCATAGTAGCAAAAGAAGCTTGCAACTAAATCGACAACAAAAATGGCCGCTGCGAGCTGCCATGAAGGCAATGACGACCAAAACGGTCCATCTGCTCTCGTAATAAAGATCAACCAGTTCTCCGTTAAGGATATCTCAAGGAAGAGGACCTCATCGCGTTTCCCGAAGTTTTGTACGATCCCCGCATGCTCGCCCGCATTCATCATGGTCGTAAGCGCGATCCAGGTTCCTAGAGCGAGGATAATTCCAAGTATGACAGAAAGACCCCATAGTTTTGGAAGATTCCATTTTACAGGAGACTGAGAGTACGGAGCATTGTCATAAGCTATTGCCAGAGTTGCGATGTCCGCGAATATTGCAATAAAGACCACCAGCTGTAGATTCAAGCACTCGTTCATCGTCGAAATCCAGAGGCCAAAGAATATCTCGAGGTGCAGGGATAGTGCAATTCGATAGATCACATATGCATGCATGCGATGGAATATTTGACGGGAAGTCTTTAGAGCGTCAATTATTGCTGATAAGCCTGGGGCAAGGAAAACGATATCAGCTGCTGACCGGGCAGCATCCGAGGCACCTTCCACGGCGATCCCAGTATCAGCCTTCTTGAGTGAAGGTGCATCATTGACTCCATCTCCAGTCATGGCTACTAGGTATCCACGTTGCTGAAGTATGTCTACAACATTATATTTATGTTGAGGCCACACTTCTGCAAACCCGTCTGCGGCTTCAACAAAGTCGTAAACTTCAGATCCAGGCATGGTACCGCCACCCCCAAGGCCAAGTCCCTCCGCGTTGTAAACATTAGTCCCTAGCCCTAGTTCACGCGATGTCTCACGGGCAATGCCAACGGCATCCCCGGTAAGCATTTTGATCGATAAGCCGAGTGTTTTCGCCTCATTTATAGTCGTTGCAGTATCGTCACGAGGAGGGTCAGAGCATGGCACTATCCCAAGGATTTCCCATTTCCGATTCATAGGTTTCCGGGCGACTCCGAGAGAACGAAAGCCACGCTCTGCAAACTCGTTCATCTTATTGGTGTACTCCTTTTCGATGCCGTCTGGGATCTGCTGATCCTCTGAAACCGTCTTCAGAACCCACAAAGGCGCCCCTTTCACGCAGATTATCCTTTCACCATTGGGGGATAACACTACCGCGGTGACCTTTTTGGAGACTGGGTCAAATGGATGGAACTCTCGAATTTTGTACTGTGTCAGAGCTTCTTTAGCACGGGGATAATTAGGGAGTGCCTTTATGAAGGCTCTATCGATAGCATCCATGCCCTTCAACTTCCGCGAGGCAGCTAAACACGCCGTCAACATAAGGTCGTTAGGGTCCACACCAGTCACCGTGTATGGGTCCGAAAGCGTGAGCTTGTTCTTTGTTAGTGTTCCAGTCTTGTCGGAACAAAGTATCTCTACCCCTGCAAGAGACTCTATGGCGGAAAGTCTCTGTACAATCGCCTGCCTCCGAGCCAAATAGGCAGCACCCACGGCCATGGTTGTGGTGACAACAGCGGGAAGGCCGACTGGAACTCCGATAATAGTGATGGCCAGTGTGAATTCAAGAATGGTAATAATATTATTCGAACGGTAGAAAGACGACACCCAAACAACGATTAAGGTGAGTACAACCAAAACGAGCAGCGTCGCCCCGATATGGTTCAAAACCTCTGTGAAATGACCAGCACTCGATGACGCAGAATTGACCAGCGCGGCTGTTTGGCCCATAAAGGTGTTATCACCAGTAGCCGTAACGACAATATAAGCTTCGCCGCGCTTAACCACCGATGAGGCATAACAAACCTCATCCTTGCATTTGTTAACGGCCAATGATTCACCAGTGACAGAGGATTGATCAACTTGTAATAAGTAGTTCGTTTTGACGCGGCCATCAGCGGGCACAATCGTACCCTACCAGCAAAAGTAAGCTTTTGCCGTCTTGGTATGGTAATGAAAGAATGGGGACTACCTCATCAATTCTTAGTACATCACCCGGTACGACTTCGACTGCATCAATTTCGGCCATTTTGCCATCACGGACCACGACAGCCTTGAGAGCCAACGACTTTTTCAGCTCCTCCACGATCGACCCTGCTTGATATTCCTGAGCAAAGCCGACAGTTGCGTTGAGAAGGAGAAGGGCACAGATCACGCCAAAGTCCACCCAATCTCTTAGACCAAGGGCAAGGATTGCGGCACCCTATCACCTATTAGCTAGAGGGCATTGCTACATATTGGGTGGAATGATCTCTACAACTAACCTCCATCACGAATTGAACTGGTCCGACGAAGAAGGACAAGAACTTAAAATAAAGATTCTCCTTCTCCTCTTTCAGCTGGTTAGGGCCATATTTTTTACGGCGGGCCAGGGCGTCAGTCGTCGTAAGGCCAGTCGTAATGTCAGTGTCAAACTCCGGATCTTGCCCAACAAGGCTATGCTTAGACTCCATACTTTTCCGTATTTGGGTACGAACGGTATATTCGCCATCCAGGGACGCCAGTTCCTCGATGAGATCATCAATATTCTCCTCTCCATCGCCATCGGGGTCGACATAGGTCATCGGGGGAACTTTGTCCTGAGATATGAGGATGGACTTCTTTTCCGTGGTATTTATATAGTCGCGTCGCACAATAGCAGGCTGAGGCGTCCTAAAAGGATTTCTTGGGGGAACGCTTGAATCATCCATCGACTGTCAAGTTAAAGATGCAGGCGTAGGCAATATACTCGGCACCAATGCTGCAGTTGAGGCTAAGGGAAAACCTTAAGGAGACTGGAAGCCAGTGTTTGCAAATCAATCGATAAGCCGAGTAAAGCGCATCAACAAGTCTAGAACCATTATGGAAAGAGCTGGTGGTCAAGAACGAAGGAGGAAGGACATAGCAACCGGAGTTTCGACCATCGAAGCTTCCTAATCTTGATATCTTGTTCCCTCATAATTGCCATTGGATGCCGCCATCTCTCTGTCCCTTTTGGTATCGTTTCTGAGGCGAGACAAATAGTAAGGTATCAGTATGTCAATAGGCATACCACATCTAGTCTAAGCAGGATATATTTCTGGGACCGGCCGTCCGGTGTTGTGAGATCCACATATAACAGCTTTCTGGTTAGACTAGGAAATGAGGTCAAAAATATTCTTAGAAACGCACATCATAATCCAAATCAACAAACGGAAAAGTGTTTTTGATGGAAATGCCAAACTAATGGAGAGTTTGTTGTAGTTTGGTTTGTTGTAGGAGAACACGCCGAAACGGTTGCTTGTGTTCTGAACCAATCATAACCGAGAAACAGCTGACATAATCAGATATCGACGTCACGGGAAGAAAAAGCATCTGCAGAGTTTCCAAACAGAACAAGCATTCATCTTTCCGAAACGGCTTGAGAGTATTTAGAAACTGTCCTCCAGGGCATGGGCGTTGTTGGACCATTCGTTTGGCCTGTATCACCATAGGTGCAGACATGTTGTGTAGCCTGGCGCCCGGAGACTCGTCTATTTGGTGCGTATGCCTGGAACCCTAGCCACTGGCCTGACCTGACACCGCAGCAGTTCTCGCATGCAAGCGCGGTATTATTTTTATCTTCATTTTTCCCTTGGTTGAAGTGGCACTACGCCTCGACAATCATGAACCGAGAAATTCCAGGGTTTTATTATGGTACTGTATTGTGATCTCAACCTAGGGATATCACTGACCCGCTTATAGATCCCGAAAAGAAGAAATATTTTGCAATTCAGGCAAACCACAAATCAGCGCCGGGGTCCCAATATTCCAAAGATGCCATCAAGCGAAAGCGCGCTGACCAGGAGGTTGTAGCATCAATAGCCCCGTGAAACCTGTTTCTGCTAAAACTTTCATAGAAGCGGACACGAAAAGCCCGTCTGGTTCAAAGATATGAGAAAGAAAAGATCAAGAGAGCTGCGTGCCTGCAGCATCCCCTCATGCAGGCACGGAGAGAGATAGGCGCACTTCCCGCAACCAGCTCTGTTGAGCATGAACAGCGAGGGTTGGCGTACGCGAGCCAGTTCCGACGAAAACAGTTACATCAGTTCGAACCTTGGCCAGGTCAGTATACGATAAAGCATATTCTGCGTAATCCGCGGTCCGGGATCTTGATTGCTAGTAAGTTCAGTGCCCTCTGTTATAATACTCTGAAAAGTAATCTAACAGTCTTCGCAGGCGGACATCGCGGTGGCGAGTCGTCAGTGTCGTAAGTTGAGCCTTGCACTTTTGCGAGGACATGACACTGACCACGGCCCTGCACCAGTGTTTGTTTCCCTGATTGTGATCAGGAAAAATGGACATACAATCGAACTATGGAGCGGCTCCTTTTCAAAGAGCCGTATAGGGTATGCCTGAACAATTCTTCCATCCATTCCTACACTCTTTAACGTGACAAACCCTCAGCTTTCATCACTTTCTCTAAGTCACACCGGATACCTATTGTGAGGATTAGTCTATCCCGTGTATCCATCCGTCCGCTCAGCATGGCTAATGTGACCAGAGCGACGATGGACAGCGGTCCAGATGGAGACTCCTTCCTCGCACCACGAATGCTCCCAGATCCCGACGAAGGCGGAGATTATCGATGGCCACCATTCTGTATGAGACATTAGCGACCCCCTTACCCTGAGATAACATTGAACATCTAACACCCAGGCTACACCAGTCTCCCACCCGATACGCATCCACACCACCTCATCTTTATGGTGTTCCTCACCATCCCCAACAGGCGACATGCCACGCTTCGCAGTCGGGACCTCCGAAGGTCTCTACACCCTGGAAGGCTTCGGAAGCTACTGGGCGCTTTCTAAAAAGCCATTCCCAAATGAAATGTCCATAGGCAACCCGAAACGTCGCCGCCCAGACTCCTCACATGCCCAGATCACCGCTGTAGAATGGCTGTCGCCCGACGTCATCGCAGCCGGCCTCAAAGACTCCACCATCTTCCTCCATGATATCCGCTCTGGTGGAAGTGCAACGCGACTCCAGCATCCTCACGCGGTCACGAAGATCCGCAAACTCGACCCATATCGGATGGTTGTCGCTGGAATAAACTCTGTAAGTACCTAACACCCATCCATCTATATACCAAGCTCTCAGCCTACGCAATAAGCCCCTTCCTCTAACAAACCAGCTTCAAATGTACGACATCCGCTACCCACCCAATAACCTGCAACGAAACCCGAATCCCAACGCAAAACACCACACCTCCACACGGCCTTATCTCAACTTCTCAAACCACTCGCCGGAAATCATTCCGGACTTCGACCTCAGTCCTGAGCTGGGGATTCTTGCTAGCGGTTTGCCGTCCCTTGGCCCTCTTTCCCCTATACTCACCCCCGCCCCTTTTTTTTCTGTTTGCCTCGGTATTACTTAATGCATGTTTAGAGCTAATACTATATATATGATATAGCCTCCTCCGACGATCGCACAGTACAGCTCTTTTCACTACGTACAGGGGAACAGATCGTTTCCCCACTGACGAGATACCAGTATCGGGATTCGATCAAATCTATTTGTTTCGAGTCTGGGAACTCGTCGTCCCATGGACCGCAGACGCCTAGTTTGCTGGTTTGCTCTGAAGCGACGGTCGATGAATGGAATTGGTGAATTGGGATCGGTATCTGAGAAGACAGTGCAGTGGGAGAGTTTAACTGGGTTGGGTTGAGAAAGATGGCTTATGAGATACGTTATTGCTATTGCTATTACTATTGTTTTTGATATTGGCATTGTCATTGCTATTCAAGCCTTGGGGGTGTTCTTCGTCTTCTTCTTCCAAATTCTAACTAACGCCGGATATGCTATGGATACATTATTCCAAAATTCCACAAAGAAGGGAAAGCAAGAAAATTCGTAAAAAAAAGCAAAAATATGAATTATTAAAACACCGATTAATCGAGCCCACCGGCTAGCCATTCCCCAACCTCGACCCCGATGCCCTTGGCCATCTCTCCAATCCAGTCGCCGGAAACATTCACGCACCACTTCTCGCCGACGTCGGCTGTAGTATTCCCACTGTTAACACCTGCTGAACCCAGACCCATGCGACTACCGCTGGCACGTCCTGCGGCGGGTACGACTAGTCGCAGACGACGTAGCGTGGCGAGCTCGGCGTAGATTGCGTCAGAAATCGCGGCGACACGTAGCGGGTTGGCGGGTGGGTTAGGGTCAATGGCATGATAGATTGCGAGGAGTCGTTCGAGAGGGAATGGGCGGGCAGTTAAGATGGTTGATGGCCCGGTAATACCGGGACCACCACCTGCGGCGGAGGTCGTTGCAGAGGTAGTAGCAAAGGCGTTTTCGAGGATGGATTTGGTGATTCGAGTCTTTGTCCTCTTGCCTTTGCCTCGTCTGCTTGGTGTTGACGCTTGGCTGGCTTCTCGGTCTTCTGCTGCTTGCGCCTGTGAGAGAACCTTTAGACGGCGTCTGTGGTGAGCACGTTTGTTTCGCGCAGACAAAGATGAAGAGGAAAATTTCGAGAAGAAGATGGTGTCCAACCGTTGTGGCGTGTGAGAGGCTAGGTATGCAGATGTTAAGACAAGGGTAGCGAAGTAGGGTAAGGTAGGGAGAGGCGAAGGTGCCGAGACGGCGGATAGTAGCGATGACGGCTTGAAGAGAGACCCATTTGTAGTGGATGGTAGCGCGTCTTCCGTGACAATGCGGTGAACGAGAGCATCCTCGCCCTGCCGTCTGAAGAGGGAACGACTTTTCACGAGAAGCCGAGAGAAATCCCACTCTTCATTTCCGCCAGGCGGAGTTTCACCATTGGTAATTGGAGAAACGAACTGAGGCCACAGCTTTTCGCATATCTTTCTAAATACAGGAATGGAGCTCGCAGTTGGACCGACCAAAGAATCGTAGACTGCAGAGACGAAGTGAGGGTACAATTGCGCCGACGTTTCCGCAGGTAGGTCAAGTGCAGCCGGTGCACCAGCAGCCAAAATGATAGCAATCGACTCCTTGCGGGTATACGGAGGAAAGCTAATATGTGGAACACCGGATGCCTGTAGGAATAATGGGCGTGGTGTAGAGCTGAGAATCAAAACAACAGAGAGGGATGGGATCTGTTCGCAATCACAAGTCAGTACTGAAAATTACCCTTCATCGGGGGACGTAAAACCAATCCAACACTTACAATTTCACCCAATCTTGCAAGCGCAGGTAATAGCGTCGACGGCGCCTCCCGCTGTTTGTCAATCCCATCCAAAACCAAAACGAACTTCCCGATTGCCTGCCCGGGGTTGGAAGCAAGACATTCTCCCAGCAGAACCGCAAGGGAACTGACGTGTTCGCATCTTCCTTTTCCAAATCGCTCCCATTCATCTTTCCGTCCAAGAGCTTCCAAGATGGCCCACAGTATCTTTGTCAATAAATGCCGCCCCGTAATACATTCGGGGCTCCGAACGATGGCGTGCGGGACTTCGAGTCGGGCAAGGACGTTACTGACAATTGTTGACTTGCAGGTGGCGGATATTCCGTGGACCACAATAGTAGATGGACTAGACACTCTGGGCTAAATACGTAGATGATTATTAACGATGCGATCAATATAAACTTGCTGAGACCACGAGGTTTGGAGTTCTTACTGCAAGTAGGCTTGCGAGCTGCCTCGATTGAACCTCCCGGCAAGGCCATTGCGGGCTTAGAGATCTGGAAACCTCGACCGGTAACATTGAAGGCAATTTAAACTAGCATTCAATTGGCGGAACCTGTCGCTAAAGAATGTGAAGCTGTTTCAAGAAATTAGAGAGATCTTCCAGGAGTTTGTATTGGAGCCACACGCGGAACCAGTAAACATATAGGGTCACGTGCTGATAACGATAAGCCCGGTGACGGCGTCGTTCTCCAAGTTTACAAGGTAGACAAGTAGGTTGTATATTCCTTGTACGAGAATTTGTGAATTGGGCGCACTGCAGATTATGTTGCAACATATTTGATTCTACCGCTAAGGCTAGATGGTACATAAATGGAAAAGAGAGAAAATACATGACAAAAGAGATCAAAAAGAGATACGAGACATCTTTGGCTGCCTGTAGATATGGATACATCTATTCTAATGCATGTTCTGAGGTTTCAAAACGGGAAAGATGGCATCGGAATGATATGCGGTTCATCCCCATACGCATAGAAAAAGATGATTCAGGGACTGGGGGCTTGGATCATGCGCACAGCAGCAGGGATCACAAGGCCAGAGCCCGGGCAAAGAACAGTATGTCTAGACGTCGCTTTCATGGAGCGAGTGCCAAAAGACGACACCTCTCTAGCAGAGGAAGCTAGACCAGAAAACGAAAGATGCGAAAAACAATTCAAGCGTTATGGTCAGCGTTAGATGTGAACGAAAGAATCCAAGCGTTCGAAAAAGACGGGGAAAAATACAAGACGGGGTGGGGGGGTTGATGCTGGCACTTGGTCACTGCATCATATCCGTCAAGAAATGGCCCAGAAAATGCAATCGGATTGCATTAAAGATATAGGTCTTGCTATGGTATCATTACCCATTCGTGTTGACAGCGTGTCAAAGGGTAGCCGTTAAGTCGTGAAAGATCGTAGCATCATAATCAGTATGAGTACAGTTCAAGAGGCAAGAACTAGTCAATCCTGGGCGGTTGACAACCGATCAGAAGTATGAAGCATACACCTGATTCTGGGCTCCAAGATTGCCGTTCTGTTGGGAGACGGAGGACGCACTATAGATACCAGAGGAGTTCTCACTAGCTCCAGATGGAGTGTTTGAGGAGCCAGTGCCGGACCCAGGAACATAGCTCTGGTTGCCAAACTGTGCGCCTCCAGCAGAAACAGGAAATGGGTTATGTTGGTACATGAAGGACTTCTGAGGCGTCTGCAAAGGTCCTGGAAGCTGTGCGGAGTTCATTTCATTGGGTGTGACCTGGCCGCTGGTTGCAGCGCTGCTTCTTCCAGAGGTCTCAGCTGCCATCATTTTACCGGCGATGCGGCGTCCATGAGGCGTCTGGCGGATGGAAGGCAGGATAGGGCGCACGGATTCAACAATGCGGGTCCGAGTTTCTTGGTCGGCAAAGTCCATGGCGGTCTGCACCACGTAGTTTGCGAATGAGTCACGTAGCATTTTCTCCAGCTCAACTCCCGACAGCATTTCGTCAATCATTAGGCGGCGTACCGGCATCTCGGCCGTGCGCAGGCACTTCTCGATCACGTTCGAGCTAAACTTTTGCTTGGAAAGAGCGGGAATATTTCCACGGAACGCCTGGCAAAGAGGCTCTGTGAAGTGGGCTTCAGACAAATCAAGGATATACTGTACAACATAATTGCCAAACGGATCTTGAACGAGCGCAAACGCGTTGGAGGTTATTTGAGCGATTAAACGGGCTCTCTGTTCTCCAGATGCATGATCTATACAACGCTGAAGGACGCAGCAGCCGTGTCGATGGGTACCAACGACCACGCAGTTGGCACCGACAGCATCATAGATGAATTGAGAGTCATCTGCAGAAAGACGATTGAGGCACTTTTGGATGACATGGTTACCGTTCAAGTCCTGGACCAGCTCCACAACATGATCCTTTAGGGAGTGGATGACTGTTTGCGTCTGCTCAGGGGTGGAGATGAACTCAATCATTTTTTGAAGGGCTCTGGTACCATGCTGATTCAACGCAATTTTGACGAGCTGGTGTGCGGCGCTGTTGATTAGAGCTGTGCGTTGCTCATCGTTGGAGTATTCGAGAAGCTTTTGGCATAGATAGTTGCCGAAAGGATCTAGTTTTTGACAATGAAATTAACTAAACTGAAGATTCGAAACGGGATACGCGAAGGGAAGACAAACCGGTCATAAGTTCGACGACGTGCAACTGAGTTTCGTCGAAGATCATTTGGACATGTTCTGCGTTGCGCTCCTCAAGCTTCCTCTGCAAATATCGGCAGCCGTGCTGGTCTTTGCAAAGACCATATATTTCACCACGGTAGTGTTCAAGAGGGTAATTTGTAAAGCGGGAAAGTTGGGCTGAGTCTCCTTCAGTATTTCTACGAGATCCCACGGGCTTAGTCGAGTTGTCCCCAAGGCGGTAGTTCCCATAGGATGGATAACCACCCGCAAATGAAGGTGACGGGTTGTATTGGCCATTGACTTGCATAGGCGCCCCCATATAGGCCTGGACCCCGTAGCCATAGAACGGTGGTTGGAAACCGCCTAGGGAATTCTGTGGCACCGCTGCGTTACCGGACGTTGTAGTACCTAGTTGAGGTCCGAATGGTGCAGCGTTCGGTTGTAACATGGTTGACTGGTTCCTGGACTGGCTTGGCTTCACCTCCTCATGTTCTGGCGACTCCTTCTGACGAGGGGTCACAGCGTTGGGTGGGATTCGGCCAAGGCTCGCGTTGTGTTTGTGGAGCTTTTCTGCGTGAGTCTTTGGAGGAGTAATTGCGGGGTTGAACCCATCGTCCTTAACAGTAGGCAAATCATTAGTTGAGTATGAGGACTGTAGAGGAGCTGGACGGTTCGTTGGGGTGGGCGTGGTAGCCTCGTGGTTGCCCTCTGCTGCATACAACACGTTTGCTTCGAGTGAGTGCCTTGCAGCATGTCTAGAGCCATTGGGTTGAGCAACGTGGGATTCTTCGGGCGAACCGCCAATGTGGCCGAGACGAAACATGTTGAGGGCGTTTTGCGGCATGCTTTGGTGCGAAGAACGATGACGATTGTGAGAGTTCCAGGACTCGGGGTTTGGAGTCTTCGAGTTCGCTAGGTCCAAGGCGTCCGAATTTGCTGAGAGCTGAGAGCGTTTGGTTAGCGACGGAGGAATAAAGAAGCCATGGTAAGAAAGACCATGTAACCTACCAAGCTTGAGCCGTTGCTACGAGATAAGGTGGGGAATTTATCGTCCGTTTCAGTCAACTTGAGATAGCTTTTGATGTCTGGAGTTGGAATCCGATCTTCTTCCTTCAAAGTAGATCGATCGTCGTCGTTGTGGAGCAAGTACTTGGCTGCGTTGAATGTATCCAAGGTAGAAGAATTGTTAAACCCGGAGTTGCCAGGACGAATCTGAGAGCCCATGCCGGACGAGGGCATAGAATAGCGGTGAATACTAGTAAGGGCAATAGTCAGTAACACAAGCTATTGATCTTGATGAGAGAATTATATGGACCCAAACGCCTCAAGTGAATGAAGCGAAGCAACTTGGACTCTTGCTCAAGCTATTGTGGCATGGAGTTAAGTAGAAAAAAGAACACAATCGGGAAATTAATCAACAGCCGGGATGGTTACTTACGAAGGCCCAGGGCGAAATGGCGATGTAGGCTCGTTTCCAAAGTCTTCTTTCTCAGAGTTTCTGCGAGATCCGGGAACTGAATGAACAGCGAAGCGGTTGGTTGAGGTCTGGGCTGAGTCGTGATTCATTTGACTTGGAGGACTGGTAACTGAAGACGCGAAAACGTTGAAAAAACCAGGAGACGAGGTAACACTGGAGGTTGAAAAGCGAGTAGGCCGAGAGAAGGCACCTGGAAAGCCGTTCTCGCGATACTCCGGGGGGGTCGTAGGCTCGCTGACGGGTCCAGAGATCCCTGCTTTAGCAAGATCTTTGGCAAGCTGATTCATCTCCAACTGCTCTCTTTCGTGTTGCAAGTCAAGGAGTTTCATGTCTTCTTCAAATCTTCGCTTCTGTTCTCGCATATATTCAATGTGCTGGCGTTTCTTTTCAAACTGCAGAACAATGAGTGACAATTCAAATGTCAGGTATTCAAAATTGTAAAGGCAAATAATAAGAGAATGATGAGTATGTGAGGGAAAAATGATGATATAAGTGAGAAAACGAGGGGCGTTTGAAGGGTAACACCAAGAGTAAATTGATGACAATAGGAGGCGGTGAATAGGATGAAAAAAGGGTGCAATTCAACTGTGGACAATAGTCCTGACAATGGGACGTGTGGGCGCCGAGCACGAGCGTGAGGTAGGTCACATAAATATGTGAACCTGCAGGGCGGAGTATGGGGCACAGAAGAGATCTGGGGTACCGAGCTTACCGATGAGAGTAGATCTAGCGCATCGGGCGCCTGAGGAGGAGGAGCGGGCCCGACATTGTTCACATAGTTCCAAGAAGATAGCTTGCTTGCGTCCGTTGTAAAGCGGCGTTGGAGATTCGCACGAACTTCGCCCGTGGGCCGTGGAAACGCTGAAACGAAACTTGAATGGCCCGGGGAAAGTGACGAGTAACCAGGAAAAGGAGTCTCTGAGGGGGGCGAGCGCGGAGATGGAAATCGGAGCTCATCGAGACGTTCACTTAGTCCGTTCTTGAAGGCCATGATGGGCCGGAAATTGGGGGACGAGAGTTATCACTGGACTAATAAACTCAGGGGCCAAGGCGAGGCAGATGTCAGCTATGTCATGATACTTTACAGACCGTGGAAGAAGCATCCGAAGGGAGGGAGGAGAGATATTGGACTGCAACAACGACGGCGAGCAGGCCGGGGGCATGGGGTTAAAGTACAGAAGCGAAATGTTGGCGGTGTGCTCTCTCCAAGAGCGACTCATGTAAGGAGTTGACGCTTAAGAGGGGCGGAGGGGTGATTTGGCGAAGCGAAACACGGAAAGAGCAGCGACTCACCCACAACGAACGTCTCGATAGTTTGAGTTTCAAGGACGGGAGGGAACGACCTTGGACGGCCGATGTTCGTTCGAATCGCGCAAGTAAGGACTGTCTGGACGCGGAAACAGGCGCTGTGCACGCACTTTGCCAGTATTCTTGCAAAATGCGGAGATCTCAGCGGACGGTGTTTTAATCACGGCGCTGGCTTCGTCCCGAGACGCGCTCTCGCTCGTGTCGAGAGACGCGGGAGAGGATAACAGTAAACGAATGAACAGATACAAGGGAAGTATATGGAGGATACGACAATGAGGGAGAAAAGACAAATGTTATACAGGTCGCATGTGCTCAAAAAGAAGGGAAGGAGAAGCAGAGAAAGAAAGAAGGGCGAGAGGGGAAAATGAACGAAGTGGGCGGCGGCTGGGACAGTGAGCGGGGAGTTGAGACTTTAGAGTGACTCGATTCCCGCTCGTTTAGGCAGTGCTCGCCCTCACCATTCTCAATCTTAGGGACCAGTTCCAGCGCCCTGGTCAAAGCCCTATTTTCTGTTCCTAGATAAGAGCTCCTTCTCTTTCTTCTTTCCTTTTCCTCCTCGATTTTCATCTCCTTTACATAGTATATACTGACCCTGTTTTACTTTATTGTGAATTTTATTCACGAGCTCAGTGTCAGATCATCCATAAAAGTACAGGTATTTAGGCACCTAATCCCCATAGTTTCGCTTGTCATCATTCTACTAATATACTCTGAACTATTTGCCCATGCATGATCTCGTGTGGTTTAGTACGAGAACGGGAAAAAAAGAAAGAAAAAGAAAAAGAAGAGAAACATTATTACTTCGTCTTCCCCATGATCTATGAAATGACAGCTGTCGCGGAGAGACAACCCTATCAATACATTTTACGAATGATATAGCAGCCAAAATAAAAAAAAAAAAAAAAAAAAAAAAAAAANAAAAAAAAAAAAAAAAACCATGATCAGTGCGCTGCAGGGCGCCATCTGTTGGATGGGCCTGCTCCCTGAAAGCACAGGCTGATGAGCTGTCTTGCTTTGCCAACCCTCCAGCCGATCGTTGGGTTTTCGATGGATCAAGAACCGAATCTCCCTGCGCGGTCGATTGTGATTCGGCCAAGTGCTGCTAGTAGTGGTGACCAGGAGCTTCGGTGCTAATGCATTACTTTATTGGGGGTAGAGTGGTGACTCTTCCTTCAGGTATCCAGGTCTAGACAGGGATCATGGAGTAGATCTCCCAGCTCCTTATCGTCTCTTTTCTGCGAGGGATTTCGATGGGCCCTTGCCAAATCATTAGGCCGGTGTCATAACATGCTCAGCTGCCCGTTAATTATCGTTGTGGTCAGTTTGGTGATACTCCTCTAGGGAGTAAAGGGGGAGTTCTCGCTGGGTGCGCTGGTCGAGAGCGTAGTCGCTGCAAGTGTTTCTGCAGTAGCGAGTGGGGACGATGTAAAAAAGATGTGACGGCGGACCAGGCCCTAGCCACCAAATGTAACTACTCCGCTATTCGTATGTATGGAGGGCCTGGGTCAGAAGGATGCCAGCATTCTCACCTTGCACAGAGGTAACCTGCTCGATAATTTGAAGGGGGCGTGCGGAGAGCCTTGTGCTGACTCCTGAAGATCGCAGCCAACCAACGAAGCCCTCAACAGATGGGCGTACCACAAAGTCAGCATTTAGGGATTACCACGCGCGACCCAAAGGTTCGCGACAAACATCTCCGATGTGTAATCATCATTCCTCTTTGGGTCAATCCGTGAGGGGAAACCCGCTGGAAAATTTCCCGCTTGCTCGTTTTCGTTGAGCTTGTTCATTCACTGCCCTTTCCTGGTAAAAGGTGGCAGTCGCAAGGCACAAAAATCACGATTTGCGACGGATGCAGAAATTGCGCTGGGCGTATTGGCGCTTCAGACCTCGGGACGAAAAGTGGTTGAGCGGGCACGATGATTGTCTCATCACAAACTGATGCAATGGCTTGCCACATCGGACGCAGCGATTGGAGATTGCAGCGCGAGTTGAAGCGCAGATTGAGGCTTGTGGGCCGTTGATTGGTGCGGCAGGAGAGAAGCGGTGTACAATTATTGCGAATGGAGGCGAACCAGACCTACCTGGCTCCGGTGGTGATGATCGCACAAGGGCCTCCTTTTCATCTCTGTCAAGAACAATTCACAGGCGCTAAATGCCGTGTTGGCAAGTGCAAAAAAAAAACCATGCTCTGAGACATTTATGTTTTGGAGTTTGTGGGCGGGATCTGGATGAGTGGATGGGCGTAGTGGACTTATCGATAAGTGGACTGCTATCGATAGTCGCAGATGCTTCGATATCGCCTTTGGGTGACGGCAGTCTCCATTCTTTTGGAGATCCAGTTTCCAACCAATTTCGCACAGGAGATATCCAACAGCCGAAAATACGGCAGTTGCTGGCAGAATATCCGACAATGAACTGGAGCTGACGATGCTCTGAAGCTGGAAGGGCGATGGAATGGACCGAGACACGATTCTCGGACCCGAAGCTCAGTAATCCAATCAAAGAGGGCCACTTTTCGCCTGCTTGGGGCCGGCGCCATGAATGAGGCCCTCGAAATTAATATGCCGGGATACCCTGCCCAGCCAGCCGTCGCATCTTCGATGGCGAAAAGCGCAGGCGAGTCCCTTAGCCGACTAGCACTGAGTGCTACGTATCTTCGGGTAAACCGCTGGCAGTTCCTGGATCCCGAGTCACTTCTAAATAGAGGAGATGTTGATATGCTTTGAGCGTGGTTCCTCGAGCGATCGAACACCGTTGGTTGGCCCAAGCATTCAACGCGGAGGCTTTACCCGTCTGAACCAACTTTATTTTACTGCACATTCGTCGTGCAGGCCATACCCATGGTTTGGTTTTGCTTAATTTTCATGCTTTAAATAGTGCGATGGTTACCGCCTACTGATGTGCTTTCCAATAGTTGTCTTAATGCCGTGATGTTCCATCTGGCGCACCCTGAATGCGAAAAGAAAGTCATTACTATTCGCTTGCCTGATATTCGTCTAGCTTTACTCTTAAACCTGGGCCATCCAACGAAGTTCACCCACCGGTTTCCGTTCCAACAGACAATGAGTGCCATATTATGATACTGAATGCCGGGGTTTGCCTTCATGCAAGTAGCGTCGAAGCCCAACGCCATCTGGTGTGCTCTTTAACTTGCGGTCAAAGGCCGCCCACCGCTACTCAGTAGAAAGATGGCCTGGAATCGATACATATACTTTTCCCCACCCCGAGACCCATAAACGGTTCCGAGATGCAGTCATCTCCTGTGATTTCAAGGTTCATCTTGGCCGTTCTTGTCCTTCCTGCATTAGGTTTATGATGTGGACCATTTGCCCAAGACAACTCCCGCACAATAAAGAATGCCAAAAACCCTCGAAACATATTGTTGCCTAAACCCCGCAAACTGGTGGGTACCGTTGGAAACAGATCCATTTGTAGTCTCTCTTGAAAATGGCGCTAGGGTTGTCCAGACTCGTGGTTGAAGGCTTTCTATGAGAGTAGGTACCAAGCTGTCGTCTCCCAATGCCCAGAGCAGCTCATCGATCGTATCCTTACACATCCTCCAGTTACCAAAACCATAAGTTCACTTCGACATTCTAACCGTCGTCGGATACTCGAACGAACGATACCCCTAACTTAGAACGAAATATACCAGAAGGGATTTGCTACATTCCATGGAGACAGCGCCAGAATGTTGCAATTAATGAAGACAAACTCCCCATACGAAGCCCGCACTGCTCCACAATACTAGGGGCTCCAACTGAGTTGTCCTAGCTCGCCAGCTACAGCGGTGACATGGCATCCATTTCACAAACTAGCTCAACCAGATCGGCCCATATCTGCATCTGCTCCCCAAGATTGCGACATGGAAACCTCATATCTCGTCGGGCATCACCTCAAGCGACGCGCGTGCAAGTGAGGCGCCCCCGAACATCCCAAAATTCAACAATGCAGCTAAGCTACCCCCAGCGACTGTGCTGTACTTGCGCCGTGCGGGTGTTGGCGCTGCAGGCAGTCGACTGAAGCAGAGGCAAGCTCGAGCCGGAGCCCGAGTGACATGACGTACATTGTGCAGTGCACTATGAACTCATACCTTTTATTTTACTTTTAGGATTTTGCGTCTTACGGCGTATTTACCTATTGGTACAACGCATCTCGATTTATGTTGTCGGATGGTTCGTAGCCCTCTCTCTAGTTTATGCCTTATGCGCTTGTTAATAGCGTGTCCGGCTGTTTGCCTTAGGAATGAAAGATGCTTACCATGTACGAAGGACTTTATTATAGTATGGATACTCCAAGGAATATAGTCTATAACTCCATTTATCGTAAGCCTAGACATTGTTCATTTGCGCACTCGGGCTGATAAAGAGTATAGTACTAAGGTACTTTCTCCGGGGCATAATCAATTATTTTAGGCTCCTGTGAATACGTGACTATAGACAATTGCTCGTTATTATAAAGAAGTTTAACCTATTGGTGTTTCAACCCAAAATTAAGTTTGTCTTGGTCCACGTTTGAGGTATAAATCATACTTGCGCTGTCGCAGCTCTAACGAATTTGATGGTATATAGATACCTGGCATAAAACCTCGCATCAAAAACCATGGAGTTACTGTGCCCTCACTGAAATATGAAACATACTATAAAGTCTTATCCGAGCGGCTACTGAGCCTGCTTCATTTCAGGGAATGTGGCCGCCAAAGATCCCCACGAGCCGGCCCAGACAGCTGTTGACAGCGATATAAAAATCTAGAACAGTCGACAACGGAGATCCCAAAAGCCCAAGAGTCAGCGACAGTTCTTGTCAAGGTCCCTATCAACAGGGAAATAAATCCTGCGGCTATATTACCGCTCTGAGAAGACCCTGGATGACCACTAATCCATCACGATAGGGCTGTCACAGGGCACGTTCTCCTCACCAGGGGAAACGATTTCCTAATAAGGAGCGGATGGGGTCTGTGTGAATTTGCCTAGCCGATTTAAAGGAGCAATCACTGGCTACTATGACTCAAATGAGGGCTCGTCAGCTTGCCTGAATGGATCGAAAAGTTGGATTTTTAATCGTGGTGGGGGGCTATGAGTGGAACCGTCGCGTCAAGTCGGGAGGGGAGGGTCTAGCTCCCAAGCAGCTAAGGGTTTGGATTTGGGGGAGCTTGTATAAATTTCTTGTCATTCTGGAAAAACCCCGCCATATTATCCTTTGGTGGTGTATTGTGCTTTGTCTTTTCGGACACTCTGGCTAACATTGTTAATCCTCCGGAAGTTGATCGCTGTGTTTGCTACGTGAATTATTGGAGAACTGGTTAGGGCAACCACCAGGATGGTGTCCCTTCGTAAACCGCCTCGATATGTTCTTGCCAGCATATTGTGTTCGTGCGGTGGTCTTCTTTTTGGGTAAGGTGACTCCCTTCGCAGGGCTAAGGCTGCTTTCGTCTCTGACCTTTGTGTGTTTGTCAGTATGGACACTGGCATCATTGGACCAGTGACGGTTATGGATGGGTTTGTTGAAAAGTTCGGACATCAGTCCGCAACGATACATGGTCTTCTGGTGTCTTCGATCTTGATTCCTGCCGCCATTTCCTCGTTCTTTGCTGGTTATCTAGCAGACAAATTTGGTCGCCCCAAAGGAATTAGCATAGGAACCCTGATATTCGGAATTGGTGCAGCACTTGAAGCTGGTGCTGTTCATGTCTCCATGTTCGTCGTTGGGCGCTGCATTGAGGGAATAGGAGAGGGTTTGTACTTGGGCACATTGGTTGTGTATGTTGGACCTATATCCCTGATCCCCCTCCCTGCACGTTTCTGACTTCGACTAGATATATTTGCGAGATTTCACCTCCTAATGTCAGAGGGACTTTGACGACTGGCCCGCAGTTGCTAATTACTCTAGGCCTGGTGGTTGGATTTTTCACATGTTACGGGACTGCTCGGATCCAATCCTCCATGTCATGGCGGACCCCATTTCTCATCCTGGCTTGCCTTTCCGTTTTGTTTTCCATGGTTGCACTCACATGGCTCGTTCCCTCTCCAAGGTGGCTCACCATTCATGGCCGCAAGGCCGAGGCCAATGCCGTCTGGGATCTGTTGGGCGTTAGCTATGCAGAAAGGGAAAAGAGTGAAATCGAACAAGACAGAGGATCCGTAATCCAGGGCCCAGTCTCTCAAGAAGTTGCCGTGACCAATGTGCCCAGTATGGATACCACGGCGACAGCGGTACAAGACGGTAACCGGTCCTTGAAACACAAGCTATTTGATATTTTCTCAAAGGATGTCCGGTCACGTACAGCCCTTGCTGTGTTTTTGATGGCAATGCAGCAGCTTAGCGGGATAGATGGTGTTCTTTACGTGCGTTGGCTGCTCCCACCAATGGACCGACGTATACAGGCTGACCCATATTCCTTATAGTATGCTCCCTTACTCTTCGAACAAGCAGGACTCGCATCAGCAGATGCCAGCTTCTTCGCGTCCGGTGTTTCAGCTCTCGTTATTTTCATAGTGACCATTCCAGCCCTAATCTGGGCCGACAAATGGGGCCGTCGGCATAGCGTCATATACGGCGGTGTTGGCATTAGTCTCACCATGTTTCTAATGGGCGCACTCTATGCAGACAAAACAGTGCATGGCACAACTGGAGCAGGTCGCTGGGTCGTAATTGTCTCTATCTATATCTTCGCTGTGGTATTCTCCCTCAGCTGGGCCGTCGGCATCAAGATCTATGCAGCAGAGATTCAGCCGCAAAGGACCCGTGCTTCAGCTACCAGTCTAGCGCACGGCAGCAACTGGGCCACAAACTTCCTTGTCGCCCTTACAACTCCGATTCTGCTATCCAAGAGTAGCTTTGGAGCGTATTTTCTTTTTGGTGGGTGTTCGTTGATCACAGCTGCGATCTGTGCTCTCTATATGCCCGAGACCAAGGGTCGGTCGTTGGATGAGATTGAGGATGCATTCAAGTCCAAGTCGGTGAAATATTGGTCATTTAAGAAGTCTATTAGACCGATTGCCCGGAGAGCACCTGAAAATATTAGAATGCCGGTGATCTAACTGGGATTTTATGGCGAAATGTACGGTACCTGAGGGCTAGGCATTTCGTGCGGAAGTGGCTGGTCGCCTGTTGTTAAGAAGAGAATTAATAATGATGATTAAGATCATGAATATCTAATATAAGTCTTAGTAAAATTTCCAGAAAATCGTAACTACAACCATCCATATGGAAGTGTTTAGCTATCTTGAGAGTGTTGTATGGGGAGGATGTATATATTTGTCAGCCGCGGAGGCCGCACTAACCCTATTAAGACAGCTTGAATTACATAATCTCCCCTCTTCTGCATAAGGAAATCCGTCCGGAATTTTGGATCTTTTTCCCCTCGCCGATAAGAAGAAATTGCGGCCTCACGCTTCGGCTGCCATGAACCTCTACTGACACCAGGCTATCTTCCGATAAGTGCAGCCTTTGTTAGTTTGGTTAAAAACCTACCTTCATAGGGATGCCGCCCCGCAAGAGAGCCACGGCTCCTGTCAGTGCGCGAGCTGCGCAGCCTGCAGAGGTATGGCTCCGGGATCTTCTGCGCGGGTTTGTTTGCTAATATCTCAACCATTTTGCACAGGCCGGGGCATCATCCAAAACGACGACAGAAACCGCACGACGGAAGCGCGCCGCCCAATCCAAAGAAGCCAAGGAGGCGTCCAATTCCGAACACCCAACTCAAGGCGGACAAGACCATGCTGCCGACACAGAGCAGACAGAACAGGTCCCAGAGCCGCAATACCCATATCATCACCGCGATCCATTTGATGCGCTGCTGGAGCCTTTTTACGCCAATAAATCCCTGACTGATCCGATCAACACCGCCAAGGACAAATGGAATCTCTTGCCCGCGTTTTTAAAGGTAAAGGGTTTGGTGAAGCAGCACATTGACTCATACAACTACCTCGTGGAAGTGCAGTTGAAGAAAATCGTCGAGTCAAGTAATACGATTCGCAGCGATGTAGACCATAATTTTTACATCAAGTTTACCGACATCTATCTTGGGTTCCCTCGCCGAGCGGACGAGCCTCAGGATGTGCGGACCGAATTCGACGAATCAACTGTGACACCCCAAGAGTGCCGACTGCGCGACACGACCTATGCCGCTCCTATCCAGGTCGACTTTGAATATATCCGTGGCCGCCAGAGGGTGAGGAGAAAGGGTGTTGCTATTGGTAGAATGCCGGTTATGCTTCGCAGTTCGAAGTGTGTGCTGGCGAACAAGTCCCCTGCGCAGATGACTGTTCTCAACGAGTGCCCTCTTGACCCTGGTGGATACTTCATCGTCAATGGAACGGAGAAGGTGATTCTCGTTCAGGAACAGCTGAGCAAAAACAGAATTATCGTTGAAACGGATCCCAAGAAAGAGATAGTCCAGGCTTCTGTTACAAGGTAGGGAGAGTACGGACTTTTGGAATGACCTGGCTTTCTAACCTATTTTTACAGTTCCTCAAACGAGCGTAAATCTAAGAGTTACATCATCCTGAAGAAGGATAGGTTATACGTCAAACACAACGTTCTTAGCGAGGACATCCCCATCGTCATACTTCTCAAAGCGATGGGCATACACACCGACAAAGAAATGATGCTTCTAGTTGCTGGTGTGGATAAGGTTTACCAGGAAGATTTCGCGATCAACTTTGAGGAGGCTATCAAGGTCGGCGTTTTTACACAGCAACAGGCGCTTGAATGGATTGGTTCCCGAATTAAGATCAACCGTAAGCAGATGTCTTATCGCCGAACTCACGTTCAAGAGGCCGTCGAGGCTATTGCGTCGGTCATTATTTCCCATATCGAAGTCAAGGATATGAACTTCCGTCCCAAAGCCATTTATGTTGCGAACATGGCTCGGCGTGTCCTCATGGCCAAGAACGATGCTGCATTGGTAGATGATCGTGATTATTTGGGAAACAAAAGATTGGAGTTGGCTGGACAGCTGCTGGCTCTCCTTTTTGAAGACCTTTTCAAGAAGTTTTGTTTTGATATCAAAATGAACATCGATAAGGTTCTGAATAAGCGCAACCGAGCCGAGGCGTTTGACGCTTGGAGTGTTATTGGCATGCATAGCAATCATATCACGCAGGGCATGAACCGAGCTATCTCAACGGGTAACTGGAGTTTGAAGCGTTTCCGCATGGAACGTGCTGGTGTTACCCACGTGCTCAGTCGGTTAAGTTATATTGCGGCTCTCGGAATGATGACGCGTATTAGCAGTCAGTTTGAGAAAACGAGGAAGGTCAGCGGTCCCAGAGCTCTGCAGCCCTCGCAGTTTGGAATGATTTGTCTCGCGGATACTCCGGAAGGTGAAGCCTGTGGTCTTGTGAAGAACCTTGCCCTTATGACACATATTACGACGAACGACGAAGAAGGCCCAATAAGAAACCTTATTTTCATGCTTGGGGCAGAAGACATCCAAACCGTTGGTGGGAAGGAAATTTATGCACCTGGCAGTTACACCATCTCAATCAACGGTACGCCAATGGCGCTAACACGACGCCCGAAACATTTCTTGAACGCATTCCGAAGGCTACGGCGAATGGGCAGGATCTCCGAGTTTGTGAGTATCTACATCAACCACCACCAGCGTGCTGTGCATGTTGCAACCGACGATGGACGCATCTGCAGGCCGCTCATTATTGTCGAGAATGGCAAGTCGTGCGTCAAGAAACATCATCTTCGCAAACTCCGTGACGGGACGATGCAATTTGATGATTTTCTTGCCCAGGGTTTGGTAGAATACGTGGACGTCAACGAGGAGAACGACTCGTTGATCGCAATCTATGAGAAGGACATCAGTGACACGACCACGCACATGGAAATCGAACCATTCACCATCCTAGGTGCTGTCGCCGGTCTTATCCCTTACCCCCATCACAACCAATCTCCGCGTAACACTTACCAATGTGCTATGGGTAAGCAAGCGATTGGAGCCATCGCATCAAACCAGTTCCTCCGCATAGATTCCATCCTTTACTTGATGGTTTACCCACAGAAGCCCATGGTCAAATCACGCACGATTGAATTGACCAAATATGATCAGCTTCCCGCTGGCCAAAACGCTACCGTTGCCGTCATGAGTTATTCTGGTTACGATATTGAGGATGCGCTGGTCTTGAACAAGGGCTCGGTCGACCGAGGCTTTGGTCGTTGCCAGGTCTTCCGCAAGTATGTTACCAACATGAAGAGCTATTCCAACGGAACGAAGGATATCCTGAACCCGCCCACCTATGAGAACGACGCGCCAATCAGGAAACATGCTCTGCTAGAAAACGATGGTTTGGCAGCTGTCGGCGAACAAGTCAATTCTGGAGAGGTTTACATCAACAAGTCCACACCAGATCAATCATTGTCATCAGGCTTCCCGGCGTCCGATTCAGGCCGGCCGATTAGCTACAATCCAACTCCGATGACCTACAAACTCCCTGACCCCTCCTACGTCGACAAGGTCATGGTTTCTTGTACCGAGAACGAGAATCAAATCATCAAGGTTCTCACGCGCCAGACCAGACGGCCTGAAGTTGGTGACAAGTTCTCATCCCGTCACGGACAAAAGGGTGTCACTGGTATCATTGCCGATCAAGCGGACATGCCATTCACTGACCAGGGTATCAACCCCGATATTATCATGAACCCCCACGGTTTCCCCTCCCGTATGACAGTCGGAAAGATGTTGGAGCTCGTCGCAGGTAAAGCCGGTGTTCTTTCTGGGCAGCATGGTTACGGAACCTGCTTCGGTGGCAGCCCTGTTGAGGAAATGTCCCAGATTCTGATCGACAAGGGGTTCAGCTACGGTGGCAAGGACTATCTCACTTCCGGGATTACTGGCGAAGCCCTCCCATTCTACGTCTTTACCGGTCCCATCTACTACCAGAAACTGAAGCACATGGTTCAAGACAAGATGCATTCGCGTGCCCGTGGTCCCCGTGCCACCCTTACTCGGCAGCCAACAGAAGGTCGTTCCCGAGACGGAGGTCTGCGTCTCGGAGAGATGGAGCGTGATTGTTTGATCGCATACGGTACCAGCCAACTTCTTCTAGAGCGTCTGATGATCTCGTCCGATCGGCACGAGGTTGATGTTTGCGAGCAGTGCGGCTTTATGGGCTACCTGAACTGGTGTCAACGATGCAAGTCCTCGAGAAGTGTCGTGAAGATGATCATCCCGTATGCGGCCAAGCTTCTTATCCAGGAGCTTATGAGTATGAATGTGACGGCTAGATTGAAGCTCGAGGACGAGTTCCCTGAGACAAAGGGCCGGTAATGGGCGTCCATCTACTTCCTACGAGAGGTGAAAAAAAAGTGCTTGCACATGTGGCGTTGGGTTATCTGTACTGTACATAGATGCATAGCGATTGATTTATTATAGAATATATGAAAACGAGAATTTACGTCTTCAGTTTGTTACATCTCGGTTGTATATATTCCTTCATCTGGTACCCTACCCTATCCCCTCATCTCTCCCCGCACTTCTATACCTCGGCCGGAGAGACAGCAAATGACTCTTCGCACCAAACGCCATATATTGTAATGGCCAGAATCAACTCGCAAAAAAGTTTCCACAAACTGGAAGTGCAACTTCTACTTTGATAGAAATCCCCAAAACAATGACCGAATTCCGGATCCCACTTGAATCACTCACCTCTATCAGAGACAAAATCGTCCTCATAACAGGTACCTACACCCCACTCACCACTACCTGCAGCAAATCATCCTAAACAATACCTTCTCAAACTAATCAAACCCTCCCAGGCAGCTCCTCCGGCATCGGCAAAGCAACCGTATCCCTATGCCTCTCTCTCGGCGCTCGAGTAATAGCAGGCGATATCAACCCCCCACCGGACGAGTTTCTGCAACAGCACGGCGGAGCAGAGAGGGTCTCATCATCACTTTTCTTCGAGAAAACAAATGTCGCAGACTGGGCGAGTATACGGAATCTGTTCGTCAAGGGCGTTGAGCGGTTCGGGGGTATAGATCATGTCTTTGCGAATGCGGGGATAGGACCGAGGAGTAACTTTCTCGAGGAGACGTTTGAGGATGATGGTGCGGGTGAGCTTCTTGCGCCGCCGAACTTGCAAGTTCTGGATGTGAATCTTATCGGGGTGATTTATACGGTTCGGCTGGGTGTTTATTATTTGCGTCAGTCGGGCAAGGATGTTAACAATGATGGGAGTGTGGGAGGCCAGAGGTCACCTGGTATAACAGTTACAGCATCGGCGTCTTCATTCCAAGATTTTGGCGCGGCAGATTATACAGTTGCGAAGCACGGTGTTCTTGGTATTCTTCGTGGTCTTTATGCAGATTTGATGTATGTGGATTCTTCGAAGCCTGAGAGGACGAGGGTCCGGTTGAATGCGATTTCGCCTTCATGGACGGCCACCGGGGTTGTTCCGCGTGATGTGCTTACGAGTATGGGCGTTGGGGTTCAGGAGCCTGAAGTTGTTGCGAGAAGCGTGGTGATGCTGTTTACTGATTCGGCACGGCATGGGGAAGTTATATACAGTTGGGAAGGGAGGTATTGTGAGATTAACCGGTGCGAAGGGGGTCTGCTTGACGGAGTGTCTAGGATTCTGCCGAGTGTGATGGACGAAGGGCCTGTTATGGAGAAATTAAAGGGGAGGTAGAGCTTACGGTATGATGGGAACGTCTTGAGTGTCAGAGATGAAATAAGAAATTGTACATAGTGTTTAGGTATAAAGTGTCAGAGGATTACTTCATATATAACTGCCAAATTATCAAGACAAGAATGGTCCGTAGGAAATGGTATCAAGAATAAAACAAACATGACCAGTCTCAAACAAGAAACCCTAGAATATTAACATAGAAGTTGAAAAGAAAACAAAAGATCATTCAAAAATTAGCGACGCCGGCGTCTTGGTGGTCTTAACTCGACTCAATAATGCAGGATCATTCAGATATAGTTTCACCGTATTCCAGTAGCGTTCTGGATCAGCTCTCATATGTGCAACATGTTCCGTCCCCGAGAACTTCTCTCGACGGACCGGGAAGCCCTTCAATTCTGCATCGGAGGCATGCTTCTCCACATCCTTCCAGCTCACAAGCTCATCGGCATCCGAGTAGATATAGCACCGCTTGGGGGGCCCCGCCTTGTTAATTCCGCGGACGAGCTGGCCGTCGTTGATGGCCTGGCGGGCGACGCTGACTGCATCGCGAATACCAAGCACTTTTGCAACCGCTTTACCAAGGGTGAACATGGATGCCAAGTAAGCATATAAGAGGATCTTGCTAAAAAGGCGAAGAAGCCATCTCTTAGGCAGAATAAAAGAAAAGGCCTTGACAGCTGCGGAGAGCGTAGCTGTCCCGGGCGCACTGTCAATTACCGTAGAGGAAATACGGAGTGGACTGCCGGTAGCCTTTTGATAGGCTTCGAGGAGATGCGTGGTAGCGAATACGCCTCCGTTGGAGAACATATGAAAAAACACAGGGCTGTCTGTGGGAAGAGCTCGCAGAGCCTCGACAGCGGGTGCAAGACGGGCATATTGCGCCCGCTTTGAGGGACGCAGCATAAATTCAGAGGAGGATGTTCGGATAAAAATGATTCTCGCGCGAGGAGCAAGCTGCCGGTACCCAGCGATATACTTGACCAAGGATCGCGAAAACGCATTCATCCAAAACGCAATAACAATTGTTTCGGGATAGTCTCCCGTGTCTTCAGCCGAAGTGTCTTCAGCCGAAGTGTCTGGTTCTGAGACATATATGCAGGAAGAGAGCTTGGTGAATGGAGCTAGATGGTCCACTTTCTGCAGAGGCGACGCCATTTTTTCAAGCAAATGAGAGACGATTTGATGGAAATTAAGTAGAGATCGACGAGATTTATTCGGCAGCACTGAAGGAGTTTCTATGGTCTAAAGAATGAAAAAGGAGAGAAAAGAATGTATAAAACTGAGAGATTGACAGGGATGAGATGGAAGACACGAAAGACCCGACTTCATGCGGAGGCTGATTCCGCTAGTACTGAACAGGGCTAGTGCAGACTTATCCGAGGATATGAAGAGTTATGCACGTGCTATGCCGCTGTACCTAGGCAGTCTCACCACATAAACTCCTATTCTCTATTAGCATTTCTCCTGCTGAAAAAAAAAGGGAGACTAACCTCTGTATGAAGTGTTATTGATGGGCCTGACACCCGTGTCTCTCGTACTGCCTTCTTCAAACCCTCAATCATCTGAGTCGGGCCGCAACCGCCGACACCCACCTGCGCCTCTGACGTGCAGTTTGAGATACAGTCTGATATATATAGTCTTATGTCTGGTCGTCCTTTCTTAGTATGCAGTGTTCCATCAGCTGTTATTTCAGGAGCTGCCTCCTTCATTAAGCCCATCTCAATATCACCCTCACTGGTCACGGGGTTGATCAAATTTGCAGATTTGGCATGGACTGTCGTTGTAGAAACAGCTGAGTCGTCGAAAGATGCTTCATCGCGGGTGACGTAGACGGAAACATTGACATAGGAACTTTCTAAGAGCTTGCTAAGCTCAGACTCGAACCATTTCAGTGATTCTACGATAGGTTAGTCGATTCTGACACCGAACGTGAGCAAGCAAGCACACTTACCCCGACTCTTGACTACCCAGAGAAATTCTATGGGTTTTGAGGCATTTCGAGCTGCCAGTTGCTCTATTAAACCAAGTGCAATGGCAAAAGTAAAGCTAGCACCGCTGCCGCCCGCAACCAAGATCACCTTATCGAACTCCATAAAATTCGGGACCTGTCCATAGCCTCCATCCATGGAGCATCTAAGCAACTGACCCGGTTTCTGCTGAGCGACGCTGTACAAGTCACGAGTGAAGCCATCATATGCCCTGATTACAAACTCAGGAGGACTCGAAGAGACCATGGTGAAGGGATGAGTCTCGAACAAACGAACAGAAGGGAGCCACAGAAACACATGGGACCCCGGTTGACAAGATACTTTCCGTAAAAGTTTGACATGTACTGTATCTCCTGGTAGGGCAGTGACTACGGCATGGTTGCCGATTGAGAACCAGAAAACTTTAGCCAGTCGGACAAGCCTGTCGGCGAACCACATACAAGACGTGAAGATGACGATCACGAGGGTCTGCTTGGACAGATCAGGTCTATGCATTCCAACCATGATCATGATGAGGATGAACATGAGGATGTGTATCATGTAGAAGACTGCCAATGTGAGCACCGGTACAATCTAGAGGAATGGAGTGAGGTATAACCTACCTTCGTATGACTTCCGAACAAACCAGCCTATTGTGGATATTCCCAGAACAAACATAGCCATACCAGCAACGGCACCGGCAGCGTTCTCTAGTTCTTGCATCGCGTATAGCCAGCCTTCCTCTGACATTTCGGCCAAGAAGATTATGGCATGAAGTAGCATCAATACGATGGTTGTATACCCGGCCGTCTTGTGAAGGGGACGTAGCTTCTCATACGACCGCCCCGATAAGGGTGCAAGTGGAGTGTTTCGGAGAGCGAGGAAGACGAGAAGAACGAGGTTTGCAATGGCAGCCCTAAGCCTGTTAGATGGTGGTCATAACGAATAAAATGGCAATCATACCAGCCCAAACGTTTTCCCACCTGCCTCTAGTTAGTATCAAGACTGGAAATATAAGTAATGAAAGAAACATACGTCGTGGAGACTGCTCAAGTCAATATTCGTCAAGACCAGAACCAGGTTGACTGCCCAGTAGACCGTGTACAGCAACCACCTCCCAAAGTGCAGACCACACACCGTCCTGTCGAGTATATTCCGCGCCGTCCTATGCCTCTGTTTTAGCGAGCCAACAAGCATTCTTGTCCTGGAACGTACCGATGCCATTGAATAAAGCCCCTGATCAAACCACTCGGTTTACGAGAACCATACTTAAAGTATAGTACCCCTAACCAATGATGAACAGAAAAAACAACCATCATGCCCCCAAGAGCAATAGCAAAATACTTGTTAGCCCAGACATTATTACTCTGGACGGCAGGGCTTGACTCCATGATGGTAAAGTGACAACGTTAGGATGCCAGAAAATGAATGACTATGAGGGCAAGAGATTAGAACCCCCAATGCGCGGGTTTAAATAAAAGAACAAGAATTACTCGCTCTGATATACGTACCCCCGCGCCCGCTCTACACGCCTAGTGGGCCTTTACCGAGATATCCTCATCCATTGGCAGTCTACACCTTACGGCCACACCGTGGAGTGATTGCCGTGATTGACGACTAGCCGAGCCAAAGGATACGTTACTACACTCTCCGGGCGTGCCTGGATAAAAAGCAAAACTATATCAGATGAATCAGATAAAATAAGAGCCCTACTGGGTCTTCAGCTTAGTAGGCCAGATGGGGGCTTCGGTGTGCTGCTGCATTTTCCCGTGGACACAGTCATCGAGCGTGGGATCAATAGAACAATAGTAGACTATGGTTATAGTGGAGAACACCCAGTGGCCATAATTCATAACAATTGAGGAAATGATAAGCAGGGCAACTTTATGGCCTCGCTGCTTGAACTAGCAGACTTTGGACATATCGAACTATATAACTCGAGGACATACGGAGTAGTTATACTTGGTGGACGTTGTCCGAGTTGAGCAACTACGACCAATTCTGGGTATCTCGGCGAGTCCACTTGGTGTTGTGAGGATCTATACGGAGCGTGCTTGGCAAACCCCATCATGCGGGTGACTTTCAGTGGGATGATCGCTTGGACAATCCCTTCCAGCACATTCCATTGATCTGATAAGGATCTGTCAGTGGGAGTGGGTCTGGTAAACAAGCGGATCAGATAAGTGCGAGGATTACGGTACAGTACAGTACAGTACAGTGTCCAACGGCTGCATACAGAACGACAATTTACAAAACCACCTGTATTTCCTGCACTTTGTAGCTGGAGGTTAACTAAGAGTTTCGTCGACTGCCCGCCATTAACCTTTCCAGTCACAGTCTCCCTTCATTCCAACACCAGTCATCACAGCACAATGGGAAACAACCCAGTATTTGCAGTGACCGGTCAGTTTACTTTGGGTTTACCTTGTTATACTTTTGACTGACACAGAATCGGACAGTATTCTTCATTGTCTTTCGAGAATGTCTGGAGACAACCGTCGTAGTCTCTGTTCTTCTGGCTTTTCTGAAACAGTCGCTAGGACCTGGATCTGGCGGCGGCAGTAAGACCTATAACAGTCTTCGCAAACAGGTACGTGTGATGGGTTTATGCCAAGGTTAAAAAGTAATTCCGCTCATATAAGTTGTCTCAGGTCTGGGTGGGATGTGCACTGGGGCTGTTTGTATGTCTTGCAGTAGGCGGAGGCATGATCGGTGCTTTCTACGGCCTTGGAACCGATGCATTCGCGAACACGGAATATATCTGGGAAGGCGTTTTGGGAATCGTCGCATCCATTATTATTTCGGTTATGGGCGGTGCTCTACTTCGGGTGTCCAAAATCCGGGACAAGTGGCGGGTGAAACTCGCCAAGGCACTCGAACATAAAGAGAATGGGGGTGGACAACAGCAGCAGCAGAGTCGCATAAAGACGTGGATGGAGAAATATGCCATGTTTTTCCTGCCTTTCATTACTGTCCTCAGAGAAGGGCTCGAGGCTGTGATCTATGTTGGTGGGGTTGGCCTGGGACAGCCTGCTACGGCCTTTCCGCTGGCGGTGGTGTGTGGTCTTGCGGCTGGGATTTTGGTTGGATATATTATTTACAGGTATGCTATTCTCCGGTGAGAGAGACCGCTTCTAGATAGATAGCTGACTTGTCTCAGATTTGGGCAAACGACATCCATGCAAATCTTCTTAGTCATTTCCACCGGGTTTCTTTACCTCGTCGCTGCTGGGCTGCTCTCCCGTGGTGTCTGGTACTTTGAAGCCAACACCTGGAACAAAGTAATCGGAGGAGACGCAGCAGAGACAGGCGCCGGACCCGGGTCATACGATATCAGACAGAGCGTGTGGCATGTGAACTGCTGCAGCCCCGAGATAAACGGCGGTGGTGGTTGGGGTATTTTCAACTCCCTCCTGGGATGGACCAATTCGGCTACGTATGGCTCTGTCGTCTCCTACAATCTATACTGGGTGTGTGTGATGGTCTGCTACGGCTTGATGATTTACCGCGAAAGATCGGGGCCCATTGCGGTGATTGATCCGGTCCTCGACCGGATTGCTGGGTACAAGGCGAAAACCAAGGCAGCCATTCTTCGTCGGCCGGTGGATACAGATACTCGTCCTGGGAATCAAGTGGCTGATAGCGTTGATCAGGGAAAGAGTGGACAGGGAACTTCTGCGAGGCAAGCTGAAGTTTGAGGAGGTTTGAGTGGAGAGGCTTGGGAGTTTGGAACACCCATTTGCCGGGACTGGCAGCGTGAGAGTGAATTGGCGGGAATTAACGGAGATTGAGATCTCGCATCGGGGCAAAACAGACGAGGAGGATGGGGTGGGGGTGGAACATGTTGTGCGGCAGACACGGGCAGATTTGCTTGATCTCATTAGACTAAAATGTGTTTTTGTAATACCAGCGGGGCCGTAAAAGTTAATCCCTGTTCTGGCCAGTGGGGGGCGCGTATGATATGCTTAGTTGGTCTTAGCAAAGAGCTTGTCGTCTTCCATCAGCACTTTGGGCGCTGTCACCCAATGACCCAACAATCTGAATTAAGAGGCACTGTGGCATCCATTTCTTGTTCGGCTGAAAGGATGGTAAAATTGGCCATGGCCGACTTTCTCGAAATCCCGCGGAATCTGCAAGAACCAGGGTCCACGCCCGCTTGGACGCGTGACCAACTTTCCCACCACGGCTTTGAGTTTCGGCAAGATTGATAATTTCAGTTATCAATCTAGAGTTACCGGTACGAAGCCAGTAAGGACGCACTGACGCTGGTATTCGCCGAAACAGGCCCTGGTTTGGCTATTCGTCCATGATCGAATCTTTCCTGATCCCCTCTTCCTTCGTTCTCTCCATCTCTCTGCCTAGACTCCCTCAACAGTGCTATCTGGGGTGTCTGAGCCAAGATGGCCTTTCTTGCTCGGATCCTGCTTGGTTACTTGGCAGCGTTTATATTATTTGTCCAATGCTGCCGGGCTAAAACCGTCACGTACGACTTTAATGTCACCTGGGTCACCGCTGACCCTGACGGCCTGCAGCCGCGGAAAGTCGTTGGAATCAACGGGGAGTGGCCCCTGCCAGTGATTGAAGTGGACAAAGGGGACCGAATTGTCGCGAATGTCTACAATGGACTGGGCGACAAAGATACCTCAATCCACTGGCATGGCATGTTCCAGAACGACACGAATAACATGGACGGCGCTTCAATGGTGACGCAGTGTCCGATTCCTCCAGGGGCTTCATTTACCTATAACTTTACGGTGAATCAGAATGGAACTTATTGGTATCATTGTCATACGAATGCTTGTTACCCGGACGGATACCGCCAGGCCTTGATCGTGCATGACAAGGATGCGTACTTTGACGATATGTATGATGAAGAGTTTACGCTCACGATGAGTGACTGGTACCATGAATTGGTGGAGGATATTACCTTTATCAGTGTGACCAACCCTACCGGTGCTGAGCCAGTCCCGAATGCGTTTCTTGTGAATGATACTCAAGGGACCAGCTTGTCTGTTGAGCCAGGAAAGACCTACATGATAAGATTGATCAATATGGGGGCTTTCGTGGGGATGTACTTTTATATCGAAGGCCACAATTTTACCATTGTTGAAATGGATGGGACTTACACGGATCCAACAGAAGCCGACCTTCTCTACATCTCCGTTGCCCAGCGGTACTCTATCCTGGTCACCACGAAAAACTCAACGGAGAAGAACTATCCCATGGTCACTATTGCGGACTCTTCTCTCCTAGACACAATCGAGCCAGACCTCCAGCTCAACCACACAAATTGGCTGGAATACAATCCATCAGCCGACCACCCACAAGCCGTCATGCCAGTCGATGACTCCTCAGACCTGATTCCATACGACGACGCAACTCTCGTCCCACACGACCGAACGCCCCTCCTTGAAGACCCTGACATCGTTATCGAAATCACAGCCACGATGGACAACCTCGCTGACGGTGCCGGCTACTCCTTCTTCAACAACATCTCCTACACCAGACCCAAAGTGCCAACCCTCTACTCCGTGCTCTCAAGCGGAGACCTCGCTACAAACCCAGCAGTCTACGGCGAATACACCCACCCCACAGTCCTCGGCCATAACCAGGTCGTCGAGATTGTGCTCAATAACGGCGACACCGGCTCGCACCCCTTCCATCTCCATGGGCACAACTTTCAAGTCCTCACCCGGTATCCCTCTTACGCCGACGGATTCTTCACCTACGAAGAGAGCGACGACCCGGTTAGCTATGACCCGTCCAACCACTCCAAGTTCCCAGCCTACCCAGCCAGACGGGACACCCTCGTTGTCCCACCCCAGGGCTACTTCGTCGTCCGCTTCAGAGCTGACAACCCCGGTATTTGGTTTTTCCACTGCCATATCGACTGGCATCTAATGCAAGGGCTCGCATTGACGATTATCGAAGCCCCGCTAGAGATCCAGCAGCGGACAACAATCCCAGACGACCACTGGGCCGCGTGTACAGCGGGCAATACGCTGGATAAGGGTAACGCGGCGGGGAACACGCAGAATTTGCTTGATTTATCGAATCAGAATAAGCAGCTCCCGTGGCTTCCTGCTGGGTTCACGGCGAGAGGAATCGTGGCGCTCGTGTTTTCTTGTATCTCGGCTGTGCTGGGGCTGGCGTTTGTGGCTTTCTATGGGTTAACGGGCATTCCGGAGCCTGAGATGGCCCAGGTACAGGAAGGGGAACGGGGGAATGCTGGTTCTGAGGGTGAAAGTGTGCCATCGGCGTCGGGGGTGTTGGTGGATGAGCAGACGGTGGGGAGGACGTAGGGGAGATGTTGAATGGTAGACTAGTGGTAGAAGGGTAATCAGTGCACTGTATATACCAAAGCGAATAGAGTACTTCAGCTGGCTTCTCGCTTCTGTGATATATGAATGTCTTCGTCCAGTGTACCCAAGTCAGCTTCTCAAAGAGCACCAGACTGAGTTGTCTATATAAAGGGAATAGTTAAGAGACACTACTATAACAAATCAGTGATAAGATCCTCTTCTTGACAATTTTATGGTGTTGTATAGCCTTTCGGCGATAAGGACCCTGTAAAAAGGCGAAATATGATAATATTGGCCCTACATTACACCAAGCCTTCACCAAGCCTTTGCCAAGTCGCGTCGCCAGGAGACCCCGAACCCTGAGTCAGGGGGAAGCTCCCATTCCAAGGACCTTCTTGCTGACAGGTGCATTCGGCCGTCCTTTCGGAGCTTCTCCGTGCCGACTTGTCTCCCGTCCTTGAGCCTTGTATAGTAGTATTTACCGGTCGAGCAGACACATTAGCCCCATGGATGGGCCATGGGGACGTATCCAGCTTTGTCTCGCTGGAGAATTTCCGGTAGTAGAGTTCTAATATGTTTTCCATTCACTATTTTTATCTCGCGGAACCCGGGCTGCAGAGTCTGTTGTTCCCTGCTGGTACTGCGCCACACCCAGTCAAGTCGAGGCTTTTGTGAGTATCTTGATCGGCAGCGCGCTCGCAACTATAAAATGATTGACGGACGTCTACTGCTATCAGGTGTAGACCGGAGATACAGGTCATAGACCTGATGGAATACTGCGTTGCTCGCTAACAGGGGCAGAGGTTCCAATTTTAGGAGTATCAAGATGGACCGTTATTCCCCAAGTCCCCAGCAGGATTAATATGCAACTGACGAAACGAAGCAAGCCAGTCCGGGTTGTCAGCGACGGTTTGGTCCCAGGCATCCTCGCTATCGAAGAGCACCCGTCTGGCCTCCTTCTGAAACATTTCATCCGTAGGTACAATGCCCACTTCCATCTGCTTCCTTGCGTATCGGCTTAGATGGCGTGTAAACACGTCCAAAAACCCCGGAATATCTGACTCCTCTGTTAGGTCACCAGGTGCGAGTTCCTGGTTTGCGCCTTGAATATAATCGGTGTCCCCGGCCACATTGTTCCCTGACATGAGCGGTGTATATTGGTCGTGCGCGTCTTTATTTGTTGCAGAAAACGGGACTATACAATCTGACTCCCAACCAAGAAGATATGGTGGGTACGCATTTTTCAGCTGCGCTCTAATATGAGGGTCAAACCCGTGGTCTCCTTTCCAGTCCTTCATTGTCGACCCTCTGTGAAAATGCTTGGCCAGATGTGAAGTGCGGTCATCCCAGTTATCAAAGTTCATATCACAGAAACCACACCTCGACACGATACTTTTTACCTCGGTTTTCCAGTCATCTAGCGGCGGTAATTCTTGCACATTATGCGTGTGGCGGAGATGTTGTATGAGATGGTCCTTTCGACGAAAGGATCGAGGCTCATTGAAAAAACTGTGACAAGAGTCATAGTTATGTCCCGAGAGGTGCTCTTGGGATGGCTCCATCGCATTGCAATAGGCACATAAATGCTTCCCCGTGATCAGAGAAAGGATTGAAGGTCCATTTGGTGCGCAATACCAGCTTTCTAGATTCAAATGTAGCGATTTTTCATGTCTAACCCATTCGTACCTGCTGCAGAACCGATCACAGCAGAAAGTGCAACAGAATATGCGTGGTTTGCTGCTTTCGCGCTCATTCCTGGTCCGCCGCGGTTGCGATGGACGCTTTCGACTACGTGACGAGCTGGTAGCAGATGATCGGCCTGTAGACGACGCGCTTGAATCGCGGCTTACCGTAGAGACTGACCGACGAGATCGAGATGTTGATTTACCACGGCCGCGCCTGGGTTGATCGGTACGATGGAACAATGATGTCTCCTCCATGGCTTTGAGAATCGCCGTGACCGAGGCCGGCTCATCCTCAGGTGGGAATTCCTCCCATCGTTGCATAGGGTTCAATCCATTCGTATTCGAATCATACACAGGGGTGGTTTTATCTCCTAACCTCGACACAAAATACCGACTCCTCCGTCTAGGGAGTCCACGCTGCCTGTTGGAAGAAGGAGGATGGCTTTGGTCGCAATTGACTTCGTGCCCGGCTAGCGTCCCGAGTCCTGAGGCCATTCCCGGGTCACTAGAATTTGTGGGACGTGGTGAATTAGACAGGTCACTAGAGACAATTGCTGGACTTCCTGAGAAACTGTCATCTGGGGTCTCATCTTGGGCATATTGTAAGTGTTCTGTTGAAAGTTGTCGTGGATCTAAAGTCGCCGCAAAGTCCTCGGTGGCCGACGACGACGAAGGAAAGGTGCCGGTTAACGAGCCATCCCTTGAAGAGCTTTGGTTCGACCAAAGTGTATCATGGCCACCATAATCAGGTAGGCCGTGAAAATCCAAGGGTTGACTGTATAATGAATTGGCGTCCAATACGGGGTCAATTGACCCCGCTTTCTCACTGTTGTCTAGCGGAATGTGATTGCTGACGCTTTGAGTAGAGGCTTCATCGCCAATCTGCAACTCAAATGATTCGGAACAGAACGTCATACCGTCTGCGCTGCAATCCTCGTATATTCATGAAGCAGGAATTAGTCACGGAAACGGTGCGCCACTTTGTATGAAATTCCACGTGACTTGGTTTTGCGGAGGAATTGGAGAAAGTGTTATCACTGCCCCATTGTCTGCCATGACCGAAACAGAGCCGATATATATATTTTGTCAGCTTATAATGCAATTAAAAAGGCGGCCTAATACCACTAGTGGGCTTTTTTCGTCGAATGGTGTAGTGTACCATTTCGATATATTCCATCCGCTGAAGCCATACAAAAAAGCCTGCATTGCCGCCGTTTGTGACAAACAGATGACCGAGTTCAATGGGCCTTAGCGAAGCAACATGACCTTTTAAGACATGAGCAATCATACTTCCACCACCCCAATCATTGTAGGTCAGATACTTCGGAAGCAGGGCTGCGCTTTTGTTCATGTATTCCAAAAGGAAATCGTGCGTGATAACATTCTCAGCAACACCCACGTTGAAGAAGCCGTCTAGGTTGAAATACGGACCCCTGAGGTTGCGGAGGACGTCGAAAATAAGACTTTCTGATTCGGCGACCGCTGCTTGGTGTGCGCGAGCTGATAAAGGAAGAGGAGTTTCTGACTGACCTTTTGCAGACATGACGGGTAAAAATAGTTAATGTTTGCCTCTCAGCAATGCCCTCCTGGGTTAAAATAAAGGGACCTGTACAGTCAAGGGTTTCGTTCGGCCTGTGGCATAGGTTGCAGAACGGCTGTGCCATGGCATACCCAGACAATAATAGGCAACTACATCCAGGTACCATACTCCGAGAGATGTTCGACATGGCTCTCGAACTCATGATTGATCCACAGTCGTTCGTAACTCCAAGTTAGTCGTCAACGGGCCCACATACTGCACCCTACAATCTACACCCCACAATTTGCACCCTACGCAAATCTACCACTAGGTCCATCCTATCTTTCTGGGGGTTTCGCACCTAAGGAAATATTTTCTGAAGAATAAAATCTGGGAACTCTTTCAGGTCTTTTAATACACCAAGAGTAATTATAGGACCATCTCAACGATCTCACCATCTAGGACAATGTCGAAAACTGTGGACTTTGCTGGACTTTCCAGCCAGAACATAACCGCCTTCGTTCGCCCATTGTCCGTATCCGACGTACCGAGCTGCGTCGAAGTTGAGAGCGCCTTTCCAGAGCAGGAACAATGCTCCAGGGAAAAGGTATGCTCTGTCCGCCCCACTTCCACTCAACAAAATAACTTGCAATGCCAGCTTGGAGCTTGAAAATATTCGACTAACATGGATCTCCAGCTTATATATCGCCTCACAACATGCCCAGAGCCCTGTCTTGGATTGTTCATCGAGAAGTCCGGGAATCCAGAAACGGAACCGCCCCAACTCATAGCGCACGTAATCGGGAACAGGGTATCTGCAAACCGAATCACTGATAGTTCTATGAGTATGCCAGAAAAGTGGCAGGAGAGGAGTGAAGTTGCTCTTGATTCGAACGGTGGCATCATTGGCCACGACCCAGCGGGCCGCTTCATCGGTGTGCACTCGGTGGCGGTTCGGACGGAGTACCAGGGCAAGGGACTAGGCAGAGATTTGATGAAGGAGTATGCGAAATATGTACGGGATACTATCAGCCCAGTGGATAGTGTTGTACTCATTGCCCATGGCCATCTGCTTCGGTTTTATGAAAGCGTTGGGTTCAAGAATCTGGGACCAAGCCCGTCTAATTTTGCTGGTGGGGGGTGGTATAATATGGTGAGTGCTTTGCTATCACTTAGGAGATATTAGGGGTGTGATTTTAACCACTGTATAGGAATTGCTTTTCTAGCTTTGAACTGGACTGGGTTAGTGTTTTGGAAATAGTGCAAGTGGTACCGTCTAATAGCGCGGAGCATAGGGATTAAACAGACCATTGTTATTGAATTGAGTTATAGAATTGATATAGCTTTTTGTACTGGAAGGTTTCGCTAGGTCAATATAAGAACTGCAACTCAAGTGGAATGTATTTAACTAAATTTTATGTTCATCAATATATCCAATATCTAGTTTTTATTGCACGTAACTTCGTCTGGTGGCGAGCGCTTGCGTATATACAACATGGGCAATGCTACAGCCACATATTACATGACCCGAAGCTTATTGTTTTTGTTGTTCCGGCCGCTCCTCTCCTTGTGGCTCGCTTTGTGGCTTCCGAGCCTGAATCGCATAATAACGATGCAAGTCAAAATGCTTGTATGCCACGACGGCTGCGACAGCATTAATGAAGTAGCGCTCGAGGCGAAACGTGCGGGCTATGAGATAAGGAACGTAAGCGATCACATAGAAGAGCCGAAGGATCGGCAGAATGTTCGGCGCAATGTCTACCACCCTCACGTCCTCGAAGCCGACTTCTCTCAGCAGCTCTGGGAGGGTGTCAATCCCGAACCCAACATTCGCGGGCATAGCAGCATATTCGTTGACAAGTGCAAAATCTCTATCCATATCCTTCTTGTCGTCTACGTGAGCGTACTCATGTAGGCCAAGGTGGCCTCCTGGTCTGAGCACGCGGAAGAATCCTTCCAGGACGACCTTGGGATCAGTCGCGTGAACAAAAGCTTCGATGGTGTAGACACCGTCGAAGCTTCCATCTTCAAATGCCTCCAGGTGATGGTAGTCAGCTCGTTGCACTGAGATCGACTCGTCTAACCCGGCTTTGCGAATGTTCTGCTGTGCTCGAGCTACGTGCCGAGGATGGAAGTCGATTGCTTGAATCTTCAGGCCGTGCGCTCTTGCTAGGTGCGTTGCGACCCGCCCATTGCCGCAGCCAGCATCTAAGCAGCGGGACCCTGTCGGCAAATCAATGGTTTGGGCCAGGCGGTCCTCCATCCTGCGGAGGGCCGGTCCTAAAGGGAACGGCCAGCGCGTGTCATTTTCCCAATATCCAAAATGCCGGGCTCCGCCGAGGAAAAAGCGGTATCCGAGACGGGATTCGATGGAGTCATAGTACGCTTTCAGGGGCTTGTTCTCATTTATAACATTCTCACGTTTGGGGGTGGCCATCTTGTCAGAGGACTGCGGCCGGTGACTGAAATTAGGCAAAGAGTCCCCGTGCGAGGAGGTTTCCGTCCAAGAGATAAGCGGAGATTCTGACGCCGAATGAACTGCACGGATGTGTCTTACTAAGCAGGGCAATTTGTGTGACTGCCTGTGACCCATGAAAGGATCGGCATTGGGCTCTGAGTTGGCCGAACCTCAGGGCAGCTCTTCGGTCGGATGAGGCTCTTGTCAGGGAACCGGTGGTTTGCGAGTCGCCTGAGTCCAGACCATTCGAGATTTACAGGACACGAGGTCGCGACGCACGTTTCGGGCGTTTTGGAGTTGCGGAACCTTGTTCGGCTTCCCCACGCTCCCCACCATGGTCCAAACAGTATGGAGTATCTAGAGTATCCGCCATGTGTCATGTAGTCTCGGATGGTCCTGCGATCCGTGGTTGTTAAACCGCCCTCCCCTTGCTGGTGCTTGCATTTGCGAAAAATGTGGGCGCACCCCGGCTATTGGCCCAGGCGACAAGGTTCAGGGCGGAGGCTCGGGGGCGGCCCTGGCGGATGTATTTCGGAGAAGACGGTTCGGGAGCGAATCTCTGGAAGCGAACAATAGCGTTCGACTAACTTCAGCCTGGGAGACGGCGCACTCCCCAAATAGTCATACGGCCCGGATAGCAGCAGGAGGATGGCGAGCAAGATTGCTTCCTGTGGCAAGGCACGGTCAAATCAGAGACTCCGGCAGTGTTGGGCGCGACTTACCTGCCGGGGCTCAGCCGGCAGTAGATGCAAGTGATTTGCATGTCAACAAGTTAGCATTGTCCGAGGCAGGAGGTTAGTGGTGGTGGGGGTTGAGAGAATCTTTCCAGCCAAGCGTGAAATGCGGGGTACCTTCACAAACAGCCAGACCAGGCTATTGATTCTCTTCGTACCTTTGTCCACGGTCACGGTCACGGACTCTGCCTCTTGTCACTGACCTCCAGTTTGCTCGTCAGGCCCACCGTCTCATCCTCGCTTCGTTTTTTAGAGCCCTCCTGCAGTCCCTCTTTTACCTGATTCGACTCCTTCCACTTGATTGCTTCCTCCATCGCTGAGCAGCTGACGAGATCGTGCTGCGAGCTGCGACCATGTCCGAGCTCGAGCAGTCTCTGGACGCGAGTGCTCTTCAGCAAGGTACGTCCATTCGCCAGGCTTCAACCCCACGGTCTACGGCACCTCCCTCGCATCTCCCCTGTCTGACTAGTCACAGCTCTCCAGGCTCTCGATAAGGAATTGGGAACCTTCGAATTTATTGTGGCTTTTGCGCCCATCAAACTGATCACCGTGGGCGGATTCCTAGCTGTTAATTATCTCAAGAACAGGGACACGACGAAGGACCTAAACTATCTTCTGGATCCAGAATGGGCGACGGACGAGGACATAAAGGGGCCCCTGGAGCAGGCCATCCTCCGAGTATCGGAGAGACTCCAAATTAGTGAAAAATGGGCAAATGAAAACATGTCACTATATGTAACCAAGGAAACACGGATACATTTGTTTCGAAAGGCTCTGAAGCAGAATATAGTCCTGTTCAGAGGTGACAATATCATCATCCTTGCCGCCCCGATAAAGTGGGCTCTGAAACGCAAAATTCGATGGATGTTCACCCCTGGTCAAAGTCGGCAAGTGGAGATAGATATGAGCGACCTACTCGCCATGCTCAAGTGGATGCGTGATCGAAAGGGTGGTCCACTAAACCGCGAGCATCTCCGTACCCAGAGTCTCAACTCCTTCGATGTTGTGCCAGATGGAGCAGGGATGGAGCAGATCGCTGCTGCCTATCGGGAGAAATACAAAGATGAGATATTCGCTTGACATTGGTACGTCCCCTACCCATGCACCATGAGATCATTCTATATGCAATTTCTGGCACCTTCGTTATATGCACTGCACGTATACTCCTCATCCGCCTACGACTTTCCTCTTCCATATTGAAAATCTTTGGGCTTTCAAAGCTGACATGGTGAGAAAAGGAAAATAGGATGCGAACACAATAAATACATCCGCTAATTGTCAACTCGGCCTGTATACCAAACTTTCTTTCACGATCTCGAGCCAGAAACTAAAATGCCCAACTCCTAATTATCGCGGCCTCCCAAAGCCGCCCCAAATACACCCACCGTTGCCCCCCTGTGCGGATGCCATAATTCGCTGCAGATTTGACCTCTTGACGACCTGGATTGTGAATAAGATGCGCAGTGCCGGAATACGTATCATGTACCGCTGCATAAAGGAAAATAAGTTCCGAGCGGAATGATATCAAGGCGAAGCACCCTGGATGAGCCTATTTGAACCGTCATCCATTTCCAGCGGGGGCAGTGTTGTGAGGAAATGGCAGAATCTGCCACTGAGCCATCGATCTCGGGGTCCTTTGTTGATTAGACTTTCGTGTGGTCTATGGCAGAAGACATAGAAACTGCTGGGTGGAAAGAATGACCATTATATACATCATCCCTAATCTTAACCCTTGGCCATGTCAGCGACAAGGCTGGGGCCTCGCGATGCACAGATTCTTAGGCGTATAACGAAATGTCTGAATAGACCGCATCGCCTTCGCAAATTACAGATGGGATAAACAGCCTTATTTGTTCGCATTGGCCTTCTTCAATGGCGCGTATCACCTCCTCGTGGGCATTCTACGTGTAGCAGGTATTATATATTTGACACAGTGTCCGGGTTTCAGCATAACATCGCAATCACGCTCAAGTTTGAGCCTCCCTCTCGAAGCCCATGCACACCTGCCAAATGCTTATTGCTGGAATAATGTAATATAACCCCCTGAAAAAGAGAAAATAAAACATTAGGGACAGGCTTTTGTAAACCGCGTGGTCACGTGTCTGGATTTCACAGTGGAGATTTCCACCCGCGTCATCATCAATTCATCTTCCTCCCAATCTATAGACTCAACTGTAATTTCTTTACTATACTCACACCATGTTATTCTCGCCACGGGCAGCCCTGAGGGGCGTTTCCAGTATTCGGGCATTCTCAACCACTAACAGACTCCTCCGATCTGACCTCTCTTTCCAGGTCTTCGGACCGGAAAAGGACAAACCGACCCGAAGTCCGATTGTCTTCCTGCACGGCCTTTTCGGCTCAAAGCAGAATAATAGGAGTATTAGCCGGCAAGTATATTATCTGAATCCTCAATTCCAGCAAATCACTCATGAAATGCAGGGCCTTGGCACGTGATCTGAAGCGTGAGGTGTATATAGTGGTTGGTTTACTTTCCAATGATGTCTCCCCGGATCTTTCTCGGCTCCTTTGATGGTAATTGGGGTTATTTGTTTAGGACCTCCGAAATCATGGCAACTCATTCCACGATCAAGAGCATAACTACCCTGTTATGGCTGATGATGTAGCCGAGTTCATCCATGAAAACGACCTGCGCAAGTGTGTCCTCATCGGTCATTCAATGTACGTCTCCCGCGGGTTCAGAATGGTGGCTCTGCCTACAGATAGCATGGCATACCGCGATTGTAATATAACGCCACTCGCTTACTTCGTATTAAAGGGGCGCCAAAGCCGCCATGACTGTTGCTCTCAATACCCCCGAGCTCGTCTCGGCTCTCATCCCGGTTGACAACGCGCCGGTTAATTCTCCCCTGCAGACTGACTTCGGCAAATACATTCGGGGAATGCAGCATATCGAGTCTGCGAATGTGACAAAGCAATCAGACGCCGATAAGATTCTCCAAGACTATGAAGAAGTACGCCTTATCACCCAGTATTTATGCGCGCAGCTGGCTAATGATACTTCTAGTCCACGCCCATTCGCCAATTCCTGCTCACCAACCTGATCCGCTCTCCAGAGGACCAGACGATGAAATTCCGCGTCCCACTAGCCACGCTAGGCGAGGCTCTTAAGGGAATGGGCGATTTTCCGTTCCATGAACCTGGCTCTGTTCAGTATCCGGGACCTACGCTATTCGTTCGTGGCACGAGGAGTCGCTATGTCTCTGATAAAACCTTTCCGGCGATTAAGGCGTTCTTTCCGGATTCACGGATTGCTGATGTGGAGGCTGGGCATTGGCTTATTTCGGAGAACCCAGAGGCGTTTAGACAGGGTGAGTACCTACCACTGACCTACCTAACTTTACTCTGCGAAGGTATAATCTGACTGTTAGCAGCGGTGGTTGAATTTTTGCAAGAAACTGCATAGAATGGACCCGAGAATAAGCGTTATTATCGATTAGATTTCATGTTCGTTGTTTGGTTAATACTTCTACATAGAACAAAATAGGATGGAAATAATACCTCCAAAATGGAAGGTGAGGCCTTGAAGATAAAGAAGATGTGGGCCTCCAAAAGTAATAAGGTGGTTAGTAGTGGTCATGGTTTTCGTTACCGAATAACGCCAATGCAGGGTATTCAATTCGCATCATTAAAGTAAAACAACAGGTATGTGTTTTGAACGAGGACATAATAGAAAGAATGGATAAAAATTGGAGGTTGTGTAGGATGGTGAAGAGAAGAGCCAGTAGTCTTCATCCTACTCGATATTTATCATCGAAGGGCCTTGAGAGTGTGCTTCGCTTTCGCTCTCCAGCCGTCGCCTCTTCTTTTTCTTTTCCTTCTTCTTTTTTCTGACCTCTTCCAGCGCAGTCACTGGCGAGCCTGTTGAGTCTCGTGAACGAGAAGAACTCGACGGTGCTGGAGATCTTTCGTCGCCTGACAATGAGGAAGGACGTGCACGCTTGATCTTTATACCGAGATGGCCATCCAGCAGATCAGGTCTCGGCGGCGGGGGCATCTTGGTTGTAGGGGTAGAATCACCCTGTGAAGATCCGTTCTCAGAAGGAGGACCTGGAAGCTGCACGTTTTTCTTGATACGATCGAACTGTCCCTTCAGCTTCTCATAACTATGTATGGTGCTCTTCTCAAGCGCCGCGATCCGAAGTTCTAAATTGCGCTGTGATTCTTCATTGCCGGTAGCGCCTGGCTTTTCTTGGGTGTGATCTGAATTCAATTTCTCGAAAGCGTCATGGAGAGACGTTAACCGGTTGTTTAACGATTCCCGTTCGCGTGCCATTCCTTGCAACATTTCCTGAGCTGCGGTTTGATTTTCCTGAACCACACTTTCCGAGCTATTCTGCTTTTCTACAAGAGAATCCAAGCGTGTCTGCATCCCACGAAACTCTTCTTGATTGAGCCATTGATACCGTCCTAGAAGGGTACCGACTGACTGGGACAATTCGATCGTTCTGGCTTTGATGGAGTTCAGCTCTTCAGGCGGTACTGCGGATGTTGTCCCCTTGCTTTCAAGCTGTTGTATCTTTTGGTGCAGCAATGGTAGCTCCCCATCCAAGACGCGCCTGTGACCTTGCAATTCTCTCAAAACTTGGTCTATAGAGGGATACATTTCCTGCATCGCTCGGACCATACTATTCACGATCGGTTCCGTTGATAAGTTATTGTACCTCGACTCGAGCGAGTGCAGAGCCATATTAATAGGCTCCAATACTGAGTGCCATCTTCGAACTTCAGCGACCAAGGCATCCACCTTTGGATCAAGCGGCTCCCTAGGGGTTCTCAGCAACGTCTCCTGTACAGATACGGTGAGACGTTCCTGGTCCTGCTCGGTCTTTTTTAGGCTCTTTTTAAGATCCTCCATATCTGCCAGCACCAATTCATCTTTAGCGCTTTGGATGAGCTGCAGCTCTTCTAATTTGTTACTCAGAGATAATATCGCTTTATCCAGGTTAGGATGCGTCTTTTGGCCTGTTTGACCTAACTTCTCTTGCTGATCCTTTAGACTCTGGTTGACTTCATCAGGTATCTTTGATAGCGTCTGGAAAGACGATGATAAGAAGTCAATCTTTTCGTCCCAATTTGCCGCCCTCTGCTCTATACCCTTGAGTTGAGCAGAGATAACATCAATTGCCATTTTTGTATCTGACATCGGCTCGTCAACTGGCCGTGTTGTGTTTTCTTCCAACTGTTTAACCCGTGTCGAACAATCATCCATATCCTTTTGCAGTAACGCCCAGGAGTTTGTGTAGCCTCCGAAGGATTTCTGTTGGTTGCTCAACGCTTCTCGAAGAGCCTTAAGCTCAGCATCTCTCGACGTGTCACGGCTGGTCAATAGTGCAATATCTCCATGCAAGCCAGAGATTTTATCATGGGCTAATTTGAGATCTCGCTGCAGCTGAGATATTCTCTCCTCGGTCTTTGGATCTTTTGGCTTTGTGTGTTCGACCCATTTGTTTCTGAGATCACTTGCTAAGCGCTGGTAGTTGGACTCGTGGTTCCTGATCTTGTCCTCGATGGAAGCTAACAGTAAGCCTTCCTCATTCCGAGAGTGGTTAAAGAATTCAATAGTCGATGGAAACGCCACGTGATTTTTTGCTTTCCGATACTGGTCCTCCGTCTGATTTCGCTTTTTCTGTATCTTTTCTCGTTCGGCTCTGTCCATAGCTGTAGATACCGCCGTCTGCACTAGATCGGTGATCCCGCGAATAAAAGAATCGCCGGGCACATCGTTTTGTATATCGGGTGCTGAGTACCCACGAGGGCCTGTAGGGGGTCTTTGTAGCGCTTCATGGTGACTTAGTCTGGCAGGTAACGATGGTCGACTTCCACGATTCGCAAGGCGGGGGTCGCGCGAGCCTCCGGGGTTGACATCCATCGCAATTCATGAGAAGTCGCTTAGACTAGTTAACCAGAAAAAAAGACACTTGTTATGAAAATTTTCATAAACAAAGGTGTATATGTTGGAAGCTCACATTTTGATGCTTGTGGGGATGGCATCTCCTTATCTATAAGTGGGAGAATTCTGAGGATTGAGTTATTCGCACGAAGTCTAGTTCTCAGTGACACTACCATTGAATCAAGTACAGCTCATTGAATGAAAAAAATGATGTTTGAGAACTCAAATCTTTCAGGTTCCTTTTTATTATTTTGTTTTTCGTGACTGCCATGGATTGTTGCTGCGGCGAACGCGTTTGTTGGGTGAATTTCTGCCGGGCGGTGAGGCTATCAGCAGGGACAGCTCCAATGATCAATCAAGGCTTGCGATCAGACACCGATTCAGATTTCCTGGGCACATCCGACGTCGTTTTTTGTCGAACAGAGAGCAGTCTTCCCCTATACCGGAATTATACTATGGCTGCGGTGAGTTCGATTGTTATTCCATTGCTAGGAATTTTGGGTGCTGATTCTCGAGACAGCCAATTTCTACTGTCGCGGAGACCAAAGAGCTCCGGGGTCTAAACCTCATCGCTGCTCATTCACATATCAGGGGACTTGGTGTCGATGCGGACTCTTTGCAACCGAGATCAGCCTCTCAGGGCCTTGTGGGCCAAGAGAAGGCTCGGAAGGCGGCCGCAGTTATTCTTCAGATGGTGAAGGAAGGTAAAATTGCTGGACGGGCTGTCTTGATCGCAGGCCCTCCTAGCACGGGTAAAACTGCTATTGCTATGGGAATGGCTCAATCGCTTGGGTCTGATGTCCCATTTACCATGCTCGCAGCTTCCGAAATATTCTCGATGGAAATGTCGAAAACAGAGGCCCTGACACAGGCTTTCCGGAAGTCCATCGGAGTGCGGATCAAAGAAGAAAGTGAGATAATTGAGGGTGAGGTGGTCGAAATTCAGATTGATCGGAGCGTCACTGGTGTAAGTTCACTATCGGGAAGGGATGGGTTGAGTGGTTGACACATGAAATGTACTGACGTGCGCAGGGTAACAAACAAGGAAAGCTCACAATCAAAACCACCGACATGGAGACAATTTACGATATGGGAACTAAGATGATCGATTCGATGACAAAAGAAAGGGTTATGGCTGGAGATATCATATCGATCGACAAATCATCAGGCAAAATTACGAAACTCGGGCGGTCATATGCCCGGTCCCGCGATTATGATGCGATGGGCGCCGACGTCAAATTTGTTCAATGCCCAGAGGGGGAGCTCCAGGTGCGAAAGGAGATTGTGCACACCGTGAGCTTGCACGAGATTGATGTCATCAACTCGCGTTCGCAAGGATTCCTAGCCCTCTTCTCTGGTGATACCGGAGAGATCAGGAGTGAGGTTAGGGACCAAATTAACACCAAGGTTGCGGAGTGGAAGGAAGAGGGCAAGGCGGAGATAATTCCAGGTGTCTTGTTTATCGACGAGGTGCACATGCTCGACATTGAGTGCTATTCCTACATCAACCGGGCTTTGGAGGCGGAGCTTGCACCCATTGTCATCATGGCAAGCAATCGTGGAAACTCGCGTATCCGGGGAACCACATACACCTCCCCACACGGATTGCCGCTTGACTTCCTTGACCGCGTGGTCATTGTGAGCACACAGCCATACTCTGCCGACGAGATTAGACAGATCTTGGCAATTCGAGCCCAAGAGGAAGAGATCGATCTTTCGCCTGATGCTTTGGCTCTTCTAACAAAGATTGGCCAGGAGTCCAACCTCAGATATGCCAGCAACATCATCACGACATCACATCTCCTCAGCCAGAAACGGAAAGCCAAGGAAGTGAGCGTTGATGATGTCCAACGGAGCTACCGGCTGTTCTACGACCCTGCTCGTAGTGTCAAGTTTGTCAACACCTACGAGCAGCGCTTCATTGGTGATCAAGGGAACGTGAACTTTTCGGCTTCTAACGGAGACGCCATGGAAATTTCATAGACTTATTCTGCTGCAATCGCATTTAGAATCCTTTTGGTGTTGAATGGGATGGAGTATCTGAAAGGCAGTATAAACCATCGCGGGCTGGGAGCGGAAAAGGGTGGTTATATCTGAAACAAAAGAAATCTGTCTGGTTTCGCTATGCTTTCTGAGCACATCGACTCATTGATGTATGATAATCCTGGCGCTTGTTTGCGGCTCACTATGGGTATTTCCGTTTGATGTTTGGGTTCCTAGTTGATTTCGAGGTCTACATAATGAAAAGATTAATTACTTCAAAAGTTGGTATCTTCATTGGCGCTTCAAGTAATATAGTCCCTTTAGCATCGGTGCTATACAAAGCTAACGTTGCTACTCCAATCTCCAGTATCTCCCACTGCCCTAAATTCAACTCCCTCGCCGAAGTAGCCTGCCCCCTTCCATGAATCCATCGTCGGCCCATCGTAAGGCCCGTGAACGGCGCCACCATCACGGGCATCAGACCAACGATATTCCCACATCGCAGACCCGGCGCCTTCCGTCGCTGCATCTGTGGTTTGCGAATGGTCAATCCATTCCTCGCCAGTCTCGCGGCGGTATTGTCTGGTGAGAACCTCGCGTTCCGTGTCGTAGATCTCAGCTTGCCCTCTTGTCATCAAAATATCAGCTGCCCCTGTAACAGCTTCGATCGCCTGCTTCCTTGCTGCCTCTTTAGGATCATCTTCCTCCATTTCTGTGTCCTGGTCACCCTTTGATCGATTCTTATTCCGTTTCGTTTGCCATTTGGGCTTCTTTGGCGCTCCCTTTCCTATCCTTGCGAGTGCGTCTAATGCAGTCTCGCCACGCTGTAGTTGCGTGATGAGGGTTTTGAGAGCGTCTGATGTTAAGACGCTATCGTTTAAGCGGTCCTGCTCCTTTCTCGCAGCATCTCTCTTATCGGCTGCTTCCTTGGCGAGCCGAATATCCTTCTTCGATACTCCCTCCAACCAAGAATCATGTACAGCATCGGGGTCCACCGCTTTGCGAACATAATTGCCTTGCTCGTCAAACTGACCCTCTTCCTGTTCGTTTTGCATGTTGAACGCATCCAACAAAGGCGCATGTTTCTTCTTCGATCCGGCTCCTAATTCCTCGTCCATGCCGTTCCCTACCTTTGCACGGTCTTCTTCACCAACGTCACTCTCACTCTCTTCATCTTCGTCAATATTAACAGCATCACCGCCTTGACTCAGATCCACACGCAATGCTCGCCCACTCTTCGACGACGCGACTTGTCCCTCAATTTCGTCATTTCGCAAAAAGCGCACGTTCTTCTTGTCCTTCCGGAGTGCTGCATCGCCGTCCACTTCTTCGGCGCCAAAATCCTCCTCTAATTCCGCAAACATATCATCATCATCCGCTTCTTGCTTCGCTTCTTTTTGCTGTGCCTTGGCCGAGGACCGCGCATCAAAGCCTTCGTTGTCGCTGTCCGATTCGTAGCCATCGAGGTTGATAGCTTTGCGGCGGACTTGTTGTCCACGCCGCCCGATTTCGTCGGCGTCTAATACTTCGTCGTCATCGAGCGCATCGGGAGCGAGAGTGGACGGATTCCGAAGGTCAAATCTCGGTTTTTTTGAGGGGCCGGTGTCGTCTCCCTCTTCTTCTTGGTGGTGGGTGCGGGCGAAGTCTTCGCCGGCCCGTTTCGGGCGCGGAAGTGAGGCGGACATGTGTATTAAGTGAGTTTCGTATGTAAACTTGAGTAAGAGGAGGAATTGTGAAGAGATGTCGAAAATTTGGCAGCTCCTGGGTGAGCTTGTCTGGGGTCGGGTCGGAAAATCGTTGTGGAGCCATTTGCGTCACTGCGGGCGATCAAAGAACTGCGGCGCTCTCTTCCACAACCTCGAACCTCTTTCACTCAAAGCTGCCTTGTTGACGATCAAAGCTTACGCCTGTCTCTGCCTGGCCTCAAAAGATATAAAGGCGCCTGCACCTTAGTATTTGGCTTGGAAGTTGGGGATTCCACAACCTTCTCACCATCATGGTACGTGTGAACTGATCCGGACACTTCTCACCTCTCTTGAGCAGCAGCAGCTAACTTGAACAGTTTCGAGGTGGCTATTGGGACGACGACCCCATGGATGGAATGGTCCGACATGGGGCTTCGCGCCGATTCGATGAATACTACCGTTGTTATCCCGTCGCCATGATGCCTGGCCCCGAAAGAGAGAATGTGAATCATGGCGGCAAGGTCATCATGCCCCCCAGTGCCCTCGACAAATTAACTCGACTACATATCACATATCCTATGCTGTTTGAGCTGCATAATGGAGCAAAAGAAAAGATGTCGCACGCCGGTGTTTTGGAGTTTATTGCTGAAGAGGGGAAAATTTACCTGCCGTACTGGGTGAGTGGTCACTGAAGTGATAAGTTGCAGATGTTACTTCTGCTAACCTATTAACTGTACAGCTCATGCAAACACTTCTCCTCGAGCCCGGCGACTTAGTGCAAATCAAGTCGACTGACCTCCCCCCCGGCCGTTTCATTAAGCTCCAAGCTCAATCCACATCTTTCCTCGACATTAGCGACCCAAAGGCGGTTCTCGAAAACGCCTTTCGAAATTTCTCCTGCCTTACCAAAGATGATGTTTTTACGTTTGCGTATAATGATCAAGTTTACGAAATGGCCGTGCTGGAAACGAAGCCTGCGAACGAGACAAGCGCTGTATCTGTCCTGGAGACCGATCTTGAAGTTGATTTTGCACCGCCTGTGGGATACGAGGAGCCGCAGCGGCCGAGTGGCACTAGCACACCAGGAAGCGTGGTCAGCGGGAGGCTGCCGGCTGGCGGACATCTTCACCCCCACGGTACCATGGCACAGTCGATCAACTACGCGGCTATAGCGCCGGAGTCTACGGACGCTGCAGCAGGTGCACGGGCGGTATCGTCAAACTTCCTGTCTAGCGGTCACCGATTGAATGCCAAGAAGGGCAGCAAGACCCCAACACCAACGGCATCAACTCCCACTCCAGGAGCAACGAATCCGCAACACCCTCCTCCCCCTGTTAGAGCGACAAATGGCCCGCAGCCACTACGCCTACCCCCCAACCAGCTATTCTTCGGTTACGCTATTAAACCTGTACCAAAACGAGATGAAAATGGGAACGTCGTTGAGGAAGAGAAGCCTCGTTTTCAGGGAACTGGCCAGTCTCTTCGCGCAAAGAAGAAAGGTGTAGAAGGTTCGTCTACGCCTACTTGAAGCAAAGAAAAAAAAAAAAAAACTAGAATAATGAACACTCTACCTGGTGTATGAAAATGCATCGCGGAGCTTTTTGTAACTAGGATTAGGGCACTATGCTTCTAGAATGGTCGTGCACGGTATTCACCTGAATAAGTCAAATATATCTAGTAATTAACAACCCCTTGATCGGCCGTATCTTGGTATGTTGTCTAGAACGCTCTGCCAAACTGGACAGGCAGATGAATTTCGACACCTAATTTCTTCGCAGCGTGTATCACCCAGTCGGGCTCTCGTAAGAACTGCTTTGCGATAAACACCGCGTCGGCCTTTGGCTCGGTGCCAGCCAACGTGGACTCTGCAAGGCGGGCCTCATCTTCATCAGCATCCTTGACGAGCTGCGAAGCGGCATCTGCCTGGGTAATGAGCCCAACAGCACCAACCAGAGTCTTCCCCCCCGCCGAATGGATCTCTTTGCGCAGCAGCCCAGCTAGATCCGTCTGGTAATTGGTGGAGAACTTGATCTGCTGGTCTTTGTGATTGCCTCCCGAGCTCACGTCCAAAAGGTCGACGCCTAGCTCCGGAAGATACTTGAGAAGCTCGATGCTAGAGTTGATATCCCAAGATCCTCGCTCTGCAGCAATGGGCTGGCCCTCGAGCCATTCCGTCGCGCTGATCCGCAGAAACAGCGGCAAACCAGCCGGAAGGGCCTCCCTGACAGCGCTGACAACCTCACGAAGCAACCTCGTGCGGTTTTCAAAGCTACCACCGTATTTATCCGTGCGATAGTTTGTCACAGGACTCAGGAACTCATGGATCAAGTACCCATGCGCCGCATGGATCTCAATCACATCCACACCCGCCTTCGCAGCCAATTCCGCACTCCTTCCAAACGCCCTCACAATATCCTCCACCTCCTCGGTCTTCAACTCCCTCGGCGGCCAATACAGGACACCCCCAGGCGCCCAAACATGCTCCTCCCCACCACTCGGCCCAACAACCTCACTCGGCCACCCAAACACCCCCTCATCAGCTTTAAGACTAACCAGGCCCTTCGCCGCCGCCAACGACGGCGCAACCGTACTCCCCTTGCGGCCCGAATGCGCCAGCTGCACACCTACTTTGCCGCCCTGCGAGTGCACAAAGTCCGCAACCCGCTGCAAGCCCTTGAACTGCTCCGACTGCGTCCCCTCCTGCCAGAGCCCGGCGTCGTTAGGCGAGATCCGCCCGTGGGGCTGGACGGCTAGTGCCTCTGTGAAAACCAGCCCGGCGCCTTTGAGCGCGAAGTGGCCTAGGTGCGCGAGGTGGTAGTCTGTGAATGCGCCTACGTAGGGCGATGCTGGGTCTGAGGCTGATGAGTACATGCACATCGGCGAGACAATGACGCGGTTTTTGAGCGTGACGTCGCGGATTTTGAGGGGGCGGAAGAGGGTTGGTGTGGTTTTGGCTGTTGGGTTGAGTGCTGCGCCGGGGTCGTTGGCTGGTGTGAAGTATGGGATTCCCTGGGCCCCAGTGTGGGCAGGGGAGGGCGCTGTTGCGAGGTCGGTGATTGTCATTGTGCTTAAAAAAAGATGGAAGAATATGTGTAGATCTAGTAGAAATGTGTTCGAGTTTCGCGTGTAGAAATACTGGCCGTTTCTTGTACTTATACTTTGGAGTTGTATAATTGGGCTTACAAATCGGGATACAGACAAAGCCGGGGTTCAGATTCCCTCTTTGGGATGGTTTCTCTCCGAGAAGTCCCCGTAGAGCCACCAGCACCAGCCAGACAGTCAGTATCTACCAGTACTGTCGGAATGGCGTTGCTTGCGTGATTTTCAGTCCCTGTTGCGTCCACTGTTGTACGGTGTAGTTTGTGCCCCGCGCAGGATCCCACTAAGCAAGACAAAGACAAGATCAGTGGGACAGCCAGCATTTCTAATCGAGAGCGTTTCTCAGCAGATCAATCCAAGATAGATATTTACTCATAGCCTTCTCGATATATATACATGGAGTGAAACCAGGCGCTCGGATTCTCGTATCAAGCGCTGGCCCGTAGAGCCACCAAATAAGGCATTCCAAACCCCGCCCTATAATCCAAGTAGTAAGTAATAGCCGTAATGACCGTATAGTCTAATTCTCCCCATCCAACAGCGGCGGTACATTCTCAACAAGATATTCAACAATCGCATCGGGGCCCTTCTCAACCTGCAGCCCCTGCGGAATCGCATGCAGTTTGATGTCCGGCCTGATTGAGCGTGCAATGGATTGGATTTCAGCTGCTTGCTCGGCCGACCACATGGATGCGCTGAACTGTGGGCCGCGGATTAGTATGAACCATGAAGTCAAATGCAGCGTATTCGGCTCTATGTCTATCCCATCCCGTCGTATGATCGACTAGAGGATCCTGGAGTATGGATGAAGCTTACCAAGACATCGGGCTTGTGTTCCGTCACCTTTGGAGCGACTTGGTCGATGCCTGGAGGCCGTTAAACACAGTTCGTCTCATTTATGCAAAATACAGCAATATAGTGTCTATAAGGAGTAATACATACTCTCGCAGTTATCGACATGGGTAATCGTATACCGGTCCTTGAGGGCCTCGATCAAGCGGCCGATAAGCCGTTTCGCCCGCTCGGGCGCTGTGTTGACAGTGACGAGGGTGAAAGGGCCTTTTGGTGCAGACATTGTGCGATAGTGTAGAATTCTATTAAGGAGTATAGTGGTGAATACAGTGGGAGGTTTTATTCCCTGGTCGTCATATATTCTCACTCCCACATCCCCACAAACGCTCCCCACACTGGAGATGCTACTCAAGAGTGCAGCCCGTAGTGCTAGAAGAGAGGCTGGAGGTGAAGTTATGCAGCTAATCTGCTAGGGGATAAATGATAAATGAAATATTAAGGCTTAATTCAACTCGTACAGACGATTGCTTGTAAATACCACCAATTCGCCATACAGGCTCCAGCAGCAATAACCGATGGCGGGTATGGATTTATCCACACTGACCACCTCGCCGGCTGTCTTGATATTGCAGCTCAGAATACACACAGCTATCTAGAGAAACAACCCTCAAACGCCCCTGCTTCATATTGTGCAACAATTGCAAGGCTCATACAGAGTTTCAAAGTGCCATGATGGTTTAAGGTTCAATAAACAGTCAACAATACTAAGAGCACTGCCAAGTTGTCAAGATGCTTGGCCGTGTTTTGTTTCGGGAAGCCGATCGGAATCCCGAGAAACATCATCCGATTGCCGCTCTGTGGGCTGATTTAAATTCTTCCTGGGCTTCCGGCTAGAGTTTTCTTTCACTACTAGATAGGGGCTAGTTATATAGTGAGTGTTTCCCCTGTAAGTTGCTCGTGGTTTTTTGTTCTTCCTGAACTTGTTTGTCTTTGTATTTCGGGCCATTCCCGACAAGACTCTATCTCGTCTATCTATGCGGTCAAATTCTTGAAACCAAACATCACCACATCCCAACCAATTCCAAAATTTGAATTCAAGTTACTCCTCCGCTCTTGGCCGGAGAGAACGACCCTTCCACTGAATTCCAATTGTCGGCAGAACACTGACCCCAACCATGAGCGCGACGCATACACCCGCACTTGCTGCAACACCGACATTCTCGAACATTCCCGGAAACCTGCATATCTGTTAGCAATTGCCAAACGACCTTCGCAGGGAGGTCATACCAGAATGGACCGAGGAAGCCCCAGATTTGGCGGACAAATGTGATAAAAACACCAACGGCCGAAGCGTCTTCGGGGTGGCAGTCCACCGCATACGTGATGAGAACGGTTGTTACCAGTTGGTTACCGGCGGCTCCGATGGCGATACCGACAATCGGGACGACGTTCCACTGCCCCTGCTTGGCCTGCTCAGTGAAAACAAGGAAGACGATATTGCCAACAATGGAGCAGGCATAGCCGAAGTAACTGAGCCAAAGACGGTATTCTGGCTCAGGTTTCTGATTCGCCCGCTTCGCACGCATATTCATCCAGAGATCAGACATGCGTCCACCTAGTTGTTCACCAATGAGCGATCCAATGATCGGACCCAAGAATTGCAGGCCTAGCTGCTCTGCATTCAGTTCGAACCTCGACTGCAACAAGTGAGGCACCTCAACAGTGGCCAGAACATTGCTGAGAAGGAAAATCATGGAATACGCCGCAGCGGGTATCATAACACATGGAAGGACGCATAGTCCCAGCGGCTTGATGAACTCGGTCCACTGAATAGGGGTCGGATCAATCCGTCGGACCTTGAGATACTCTCTCTTCCACGCAGGCTCCTTGGGGTCATCATTGCTGCCAACATAGCGTGTTTCGGGGCCGAAAAAGAGGTACAAGATAAACTGGCCTCCATTGATCTAGTGTGGAGTTAGCAAACGTCTGCTGCATATAGAGTATTCGAAATGGGTACACTTACGATCGCCAGAACCCAATAGATCCATACATACCCGGCCCGGTAGGTTACAAAGCCGAAAATGAATGGCCCACAAGGAATTCCAAGCGTAAGTAGCAGTGTCCAGACACCCATGTACTTGGCTCGATCCTTCTTGAAAAATGTTTCCATCACTACACCACTCCCGATGGCTATAAAATGAATAGTTTAGTATTTTCCTTTGCGCCGGTTACTGGGGATCCGTGAGCCATACCTGATGCTGGCGAGATGAAGAACGCTTGCAAAGCTCTGCACGCTGCAAGTGAGGCATAATCAGGGGATTTTGCACACCCGACATTGCAGACCAAACTGGTGATCAAAGAAAAGAGAAAAATCGGCCGCCGGCCATATCGATTTGAAAGCGGCTTCCAGAATAAGGGCGCCCCACCGAGAATAGCAATTTGAAGGGAAGTCAAATAGCTTGCTCGAGTGAGGGAGACGCCAAACATTTCAGAGATTGTTTCATAGGCAGGGATGATACCAGCAGCAGCAAACGTCCCCATACAAGCGTGGAACGCTACTAGAATAAGATTTGCAATTTTCTAGCGAAATAGAAATGTCAGCTGAATTCTATCCATGAGGACTGTTAATGCGAACCTACCTTCCAAGATGGCCAGTTGTAAGGATCCGCGGGGTCCATGCTAGGTACGGGGTCCAGCTCCAGTGTCCCATGGCGCTCGATCAAAAATTCACGATGGGCCGCTGAAAGGCCAGATGCAACTCTGTCGGCATATGTTGAGGGATTACCAGCCTCGCTGCTCTCTACCAGATCAAGATCTTTCTTTGGCCCTTGCTGAGCACCCTCAGCAGTGTTAGCCGGCTGCATTTCCATAGGCGGAGGTATGGTCGTATATGGTCAAGTGTAAGTCACTTGAAGTTTGACCTCTTAAGAGCTCTATTGAGTGAATCCAGACGACGTTTGGATGGTTCTTCAAAAAGCGTCAGGTCGAGGCAAATGCAGCAACTGCATACAGGGGATATTGAAAGATATTAAAAAAGAAGGCTCTGACGCGTTTAAGCGAGAACTCGGTCTTCCGTTACCGAATACTGAGGAGAAGGAACCAACCCCGAGCTTTGCTGGGGAATGACGAACTAGCCTATTGTAGTCTCCTGGTTACTGATTTTATTCCCCGGGGGGGAGCGCGCGGAGAATGGAGATTCAGGAGAGAGCGACGCCGTCTGTCCAGTCTCCACCGCACTGACAAGTCAAACTCCAGACTGCAAAAGTGGATGCCCTCGTCTATTGCGAGTCTGGACCGAGATTCGTGCCGTCAAAGCAGTGGAGAATCATAAATAATGGAAGTTTTCGCTAACTCCGCGTGTCGACTGGCGTAAACTCCATATCCTGGAAAGAATTTCTCTGGAAAATGGACCTTGGTGCTGACGTCGGTTAAATGGGCTCCAACCGTGGCCCGTCAAACCTATCCATTTCACCGGAAGCCTTTGGCGCCGAAACAGCCACCGAAAACCCATTATTTGGAAAGGACTACATTACGAAGGCGAGATGGAGTTCTGACTATATCATTTGATGCAGGGCATAGTGTAGACAGTGACAGCTGCCATCGTGCATGGAGGAGATTGGGGTGCTCCCAATGGAGTATGTGGAACGTGCATCACCGCGCACATGCTGAGCAGTTGAGGCCTCGGGATCCATCCCGAAGGATGAAGATATAAAACTTTCTTCCGGAATCCGAATCTGTAGCCGAAACCTGCCAAGCAGCGAGGCCAAGCCTCGATCCCGATGAACGATGCAGGAATTTCGGATGGAGAGTCGGCAGTTCCAAAAACAAGAGTCCGCCAAGCGAACCCAATCGAGCAAGTCACGCTCTCCCACTGCCCCACAGTCCTCCCACAATGCCCCCCACACTTCACACATCTGCATCGCCCTCAGTCATCAACATGCTGGGCTTCAAATGTCTCCTGCTCTCCACTTCCCCAAGGTCATCTTGACTCTGCTGGTGTGGATGGTCATGCACAATTAACTTGTTGATTGTCCTCCCCCATTGACCGCCGAGTTATGCCACAATCAACCGCATCTCCAGGGGCCAAGCCTCTGATATGTCGTGTATGCGACAAGGGATTCTCCAAAGCTGAGCATTTAAGGGTTAGTAAAGACCTCGGTGTAATCTTGCCCCGCTAGTGGATAAAGTTATATTGACCCCGGCATTCAGAGACATGAACGTTGCCGTAAGGACCCCTAGTGCATAGAACTCGAAGCGAGGATACGCCAAGGAGCATCAGAGCTGACCACTGACCTGATGTGTCAAAGATACTGGATCAAAGCCTTTTGTCTGCAAAGAATGTCGTCGCCCGTTTGCACGCCAAGATGCCCTGACCCGCCATGAGAAATTGCATACTCGAGCCGCTGTCACTAAGCAAGCTCAAGCTCAAGCACAGCAGTCTCTGCAGGCAACCCAAGTTCCTTCCTTGGATGGCCTTCATTGGGAGCCTCCCAGAGGCCCAGCAGGTGGTGTATTGTCAGTACCAGGTCAAACATGGGACACATCAGATGCCCACGAGGAATCGGGCCTGCAGGGTATGGCTTCGGACCTTGATTTTGACCTAATATGGCCCGACTCGGAGAATTTGTTCCAGAGTATCATGTCATCAGACACCTCAGATCAATGGCAGATACCTCTTGGATCCCTTCCAGTACCACCCGTAGTCCAAGATGTCAGCGGTGTTAATTTCGGCTCCCCCAACTCCTTCGACGATAGAGCCTCGTCAATAGGCACCATACCCTCGGGTGGCAGTCATCAGGCGGTGCGCGATGTTTCTGACATGGTGACAAGCTCGGTAATTCACCAGTTTCGTATTTAGGTATGAAGAATGTAGCTGATTATGTTTTGCAGTCTTCCAGCGTAACTGCTGCGATCAAGGCGACGTCCATTACATCTGTATTTTTGGACGAATGTCTGCACATGTTCTTCGTCCGGTTTATTCCTACATTTCCGATCCTTCACCGGGCCACGTTTGTTTTCCGGGATTGCACTCATGCGCTGCTTTTAAATGCCATGGCTCTCGGTTCTCTGTACCTCGGTCCTAAGGACTCCGTCGCAAAGGTATGTAGTGCAGAATACGTTGAAGTCGACCATATCTGACCTTTTACCAGGGCGAAGCATTATGGCGTTTAGCACATATAGCTGTCTCTACTTCGGTATGTCAAGTGGTCACAAGAGTCGAAGTCGTGCTTTACTAATATATCTAGTGGCAATCGTTGATTACACACCGTGGACCCTATGATGCTTGCAATGGCGTACAACTCCTTCTAACTGCACTGTTGGGGCAGATATACGGGGCTCTATCCAAGGTATGTTCTAAGTTATTGCTCTTTGCTCGTTCTATATTCTAATAATACTTTGAACTGCAGAGCCGTGCTATTCGCACAACTAGCCAAGTTTTCCGGCCCCTTGGCTTTTTTTGGGCACGGCATTGCGGCATGCTAGATAGTGAACCCTTCTCTATGGAGGATATCCCGTTTCCTAGTTCACCCAGCCCCGAAAAGGATCACAAATGGCGAACGTGGGCTGCCAGGGAGATCCAGCAACGTGCCCTGCTCGCATATTATGTTCTTGATGGGCTAGTTGCACAGATGTCCGGCGACGGAGCTTCCACTCGTCACGTCGCCAATCCTCTTACTCTCCCCAGCAGTGAGGCGGCATTTGATGCCAACAGCGCCGACGAGTGGTTAACCCACATGTGCACCCAGAAAACAGAACAGCCCTCCTTCCGACTCATCTTCCGCTCCCTCTTTCCACCCGCCAGCAGTTTTAGACCTCTTGGCTACCAATTATCCGCCTTCTCCCTTCGAGTGATCCTCGAAGGCCTACAATCCCTAATCTCCGACTCAGACGAGTACGATCTCGCCGCCGTAGGCGTACCAGGCCGCTCAGACGTCAGACGAGCACTCGCCCAGGTCCACGAAACAATCACAATGAGCATCCACCTCTCCGCCTCAGAGCGCCTCGAAGTCCTCCTCCGCTGGCACACCCTATGCCTGGACACAATGATAAACTCCACCGTCCTCTGCCGCCACGTCTGCTCCCGGTACGACATTCGGCAGGAGGTATCCGGCGGCTCGAGAACCCTACGCACAGGCTTCGACATGCTCAACTGGGTCAACACCGAAGATGCCCGCCGCGCCTTACTCCACGCCATCGCAATCCAAGATATCATCGAGCAACTGCCCCGAGGCCGCGCACATGTCATCCACATGCCCAGCTCGCTCTTCGCTGCGGCAACGGTCTACGTTATTTTCGCACTTGCTGGTATAGCCAACATACATCTCCCGCGTACAATAGTCTGGCAGGATGCGTTGCTCTCGCATGCAGACCTGAATCTAGGCTGTGAGCATGCGCGGCCGTCTACTGGCTCTGAAACCAGTCGGTTCGTTACAGAGGGAAAGACAGACTCCCCCCCTGGTGTTGCGGCTGTTCGGAACCTGCTGTATGAGATGAACTCGATGCAGAAGTTGTTCCGGTGCTTGATTTCGCAGTGGGGGATTGCGCATGATATGGAGGAGATTGTCAACCAGTGGATTATTTTGTGTCATTAGTTTCTTCGTTTTTCGGCCTGTGAGCAGAGAGGGAGGTAACAAGTTCAGCGGGTCTGGAAACCTCTCGGCGCATATACATTTATACGTTGTAATATGCTATACTTTCATCTGCATCACGACGCAACTCACGACCAAAGTTACCGAATAGTAAATAGACTTGTGTATACGAAAATTCACATGATTGTTTCTTGAGATACTTCGCTGTGCGAAGTAAGGTGGCTATGTATGTATGTACAAAAAAAGACATAGACGGTGCGCAGGTATGTAAAATAATGTTCAAGATGCAGCTGAAAATAACAATCCAAACTCAAAACAACCCGAAAACAAGGGGTATCGACTCTATGCGATCTAACGAGCAATTTGACGCAAAAAAAATTGAAGGGCGAATAACGCAGTAAATATGAAATGCATGCCAGTAAATGATAGAGAAGCGGTGTTGGCTTAGAGACGACAATGCTCGATGCTTGCAATGCGAAGAAAATTCAGAGAAGGGGGTTGTAAGGGTTGCGTGGTGGGGGTGGTCGTGTGCTTTGCTCCAGTCTTATAAATGCCCGAGTCATGGAAGCCCCGACTTCTTTGAATAGGTCGTGCATGATAGTCTCGGACTTTGTGATGCACATGCCATCTTTCACGGCTCGTTCCTTGAAATACGGCAACATGCTGTCCCAGAATTTGCCGAATACGGTCTCAATCTGGCTTTGGACTGGGTTCCTATCGGTGCGAGGAAGGACATGGGAGTTACCCGGGCTCTGTTTCAGTATTGGATTCGTTATTGACTCTGGATCGGTCAACTGCGTTCGAGGGCGTGGTGCTGATCGATCTGGGGGTGCGTCTTCATCTTCACGGGACCTCTTGACACCTGTTGATGTCTGCGGTGTATGCAGCTCCTGAACAGTCGAGTTTAATTGTTCTTTAATGTTTGACAGGAGCTGTCGGTTGCTGACTAGATCGTTGCTCAAGGCCCGGAGTTGGTTGGATCGTGCAATGGCCCGGTAATCCTCGATCTTTCGGTACCGAGCCCAGAGAGCGGAGGCTTCATCCTGTTTGACGGGCGTTTGGGAGGAATTGGTGGAAGGGGGAGTGACTAGATGTTGAGGCTCTGGGTCTGGAAGGCTTTTCACCCAGTCGGCAACTCGTTTGAGTTTGTTGTTCTGAGGGACTTCGGTACGTTCAGGGCCAACCAGTTGGCTTAGTGCCTTCTCTTTTTCTAGTTGCTCCTTGAATTCGTCCATTTCTTTCCAGGTATCTAACATCGAGAAGATTTCAGGATCTATGACTGTGAATGGGGGTTTTGTTCCGTTCTTGACAGCATCCCGAATTACAGCACGTTGTCCGATGAACTCGTTGATGCGTCGGCGACAGGAGTAGTGTGAATAGCGGCGACCGATTTCCCGTTCCAGAGCAACTTCAATTTCGATCCAGAACTTCGACGAACTGATCTCCTGGATTTCCTTGTACCTTGCTCGTTTTTCGCAGACCTTGATTAGGGCGAACTGCTCGTTGATGTCGAGGGGTCCTCGCTTCGGCTTCTTGCTGACGGCAGCCTCCTTTTGCTTCTGTTGGAGGGTCTCGTCCTTGTGAAAAACGGTAATTCCCTGGTCCATGGCTCAACCTCTTCCTCCTTGGTCTCCTTCTTGATCGGTCGCGAGATGCAGAGTCGAACCAGAAGCAAGAGAGGAAGACGGCGGGAGGAAGTTGGGTTGCATGAGCAGGAAATGGGCTGAAAAAATCCCCGCCACTCGGAAAAGCGAGGAAGGCGCGCCGGTCACGCCGCGTCAGGAGACACCGAGACACCCCAAGAATCAGACTGGCCTGGGCACGTGAGGTTCACGGTCGGAATATCCTCCGTCTCGTTTTCTTTCTCTCTCACCGACACAATTCGATTGCACACCCTTCTGCAATCTGCAGGAAGCATTGGGGATTTGGAATTGTCGGGCTCCGATTCCACAGCCCGACGCCCGCCCGCGTTCCACAGTTGCATCAAAGGCTTCCAGCCTCGTTGGTTGTCGCAACCTCGGACATGCGGCTCCGGCTACGGAACCAGCCTGATTTACTCCGCCAACAATGGAAATGCTAAATTTGATATAATTTTATTTCGGATAATATTGATAATGCCTACTTTTTTTGCCCAGAAGACAATCCGGAGCCGAAAAAGCGACACTTGTTTTCCTGTCCGAGTTGTTGTAACCCTCCCACTTAGCCGGTTCGTGTCTGGCCCCAGTCCTACCGTCTGCTATCGGATTCTCCGATTGCCAGGCCCTTGCCTCGCAGAATTCCTTGCATTTGTCAACCGATGGCTTTCTTGCCCAGCCTCGGGTATGCCTTGCTGAAACCCTAAAAAATTCTTCATCGTCCAACATTCAAGGGCCGTAATACGCTCAGTGCGAGCATCAGACGTCGCAGGATGAATAGCGTGTTACCTGAGACGGAGACCACGATATCTCAACGTAATTGCATGTTTCATAGACCGATTTGGCTTCTCGGGTATAGCCCGATGCCAGTAGAGCGTAAAAAAAAAATCACCTTACGCCCTCAGTGCCCCATCATGCATGCTCGTCATTTTGTCATGCCACCGCTTCCCCGCCATAAATTACCATCCCTTGACGAAAACCAAACTCCATTGGTAGATTGCTGTGTTGTTTGGATAGCATGGATGTCGAGCGCCCCCGCTTTTTGCATCGTATGTTGTATGTAGTTGCGGGGAAGTGCTCCGGAAGACATGCCCTAGCCCATTTACTATCGGTGAAGCGGACATCGACGGTTGGGAGTTCTCTTCGAATAATGGGAACCGCATTAGCCTTGATTCCATGTGCCATAATATATTCACTACATGCGGTTATGCGTTTTCTGCGTTCATCTCAGAGGGGACTTAATACTGATAGGAACTCAAGGCTGCCTTTGATTCTAGTACCGCGAATCTGAGGAACCTTGAAGAGAGCAGTTAGTCACTTGGAAGGGTTCATAACATGGTTATGTAGTGTTTAGAAGTTTTCCCTCAGTTGTTTGCAAAAGCATTGGTTTTCCTTTGTTTCAACGAGGGTAATGGACTTCTGGTTGGGCGGGTATCGAATGTGTTGTCCCAGAGAACAGATATGAAATATGCAAAAAGTTGATGACAAAGGTTTGAGAAAACGAATTTCAACTAGGGATGCTGATCCAAAGGTCATCTGTGTTTTTGTTCTCTTCTCAAGATGCCCTGATATAATACTATGGTGTTGGAGGATCTCTTTCAAGCCCAGTAGCCGCGAGACCGTCGACATGTGATTATAGGCAAGGCTGTGGCAAGGAGGTAACACACATCTTGAGCCCAACAACTCATCCACCGGCTCTTCATCCCACCATGCGTTTTATCAGCTTCATCAACCTTCTTTGGCCAAAATGCAATCTCGGCCAGAGCCATCCCTCTTAGAGGCAATATCTTCGCTATCACAAGTGAATGGCTCCCAGGGCCGTTTCATAGCAACCATTTCCCCCGACTGGTGCACCCAGCAGTATGCTTGACTCCTATTCCTGGCCACGGTAGAGACCTGACTGGCAAGAATAGCTCTGTTCTGGGCGGATACTTGACCGCTGTGATACTTTCCGCCGCACAAAGGTATATCAACGCAGAACCTGAAGTCGGAATCCACAAAGCAAAATACCCCGACCCAGTCCATGTATTCACTCAGTTCTTGCGCATGGTAACTCCAGGACAAGTGTCGATTTCTTGCAGAACACTCCGTACTACTTCTCGAATATGCGTTGTCAATGCAGAACTAGAGGTGCACCCAGACGAAAAATATGTCTCTGGCACAGTATCGTCACAACAATCACTAGCATGTACTGCAATTGTTACACTTTCCGACCTAGGTAAGGAGACCGGTCTTTCCCAGAGCACTGCGGGGTCAACTACGCATCCGCTCCCCTGCCGACAAACAGAGTGCGTAACAATCGATGACCCCGTCGTTGATGCAACTCCTGTAACTCGCAAGCTCCAATGGGTTGCCCCCCGCTCGCCAGATGGCTTGTGGGGTCACAGACTAGGCGGACACCAACGTGAAGTGTGGTTATCGTTTCGAGACGGGTCGAAGATTTCTGATCTTCTTCATTTGGCGTTGCTTGCGGACATGGTCAGCTTATTCCAAGAGACATTCCTCTACACTTTTCCTACACCACAATAAGCAATAGCTAACGCGCAGTGATTGTGCGAATTTAAAGCCCCTACAACCACCGGCGACTCACATCGCGGACTTCTACATGCGCTACGCACTCTCCACACTGTGTCTATCAGTGGAGTTCAAAAAGCGGCCCGAACCGGAGACGGAATGGGTCCTACTGAGATCGAATTCCCACAAGGTTGCTGATGGGAGATACGATGTGAATATTGAAGTTTTTAATGAGGATGAGGAAGTACTTGCCTTGAGCAACCATGTTGTGTATGTATCGGGGTTGGAGGGGAAGTCGGGGAAGAGAGCAAGAATGTGAGCTGGTGGGTAAGATTAGTGCTCTCCTGCTCTTCAGTGTTTTATTCTTTTATTTTTCTTTTCAGAATTGGACATATATGTTGCGATTAATACTCATCTACGAGCCTGGTTTATTAGATCATTATTGTAAAACATTGGGATACGCCTGTATACGGGTGATAGGATAAATGCTTCATGCGGATGCAATTCAACTTCATTCCTAAATAGGGACCTAATTCCAATCTCCTCAAGCTGTTCATCACTATTGTGATGGTTCAGAAACCGACACCGGGCCCTGACGTACTCATTGGATATTGAAAAGCAACAAATTCCTAGCCCCATGCGAGGAAACAAACCAAAACAAAAGCATATCCTGGTGGATTCCTGCCGGCCACCTTCGTGCACATTTATCCTAAACCTAAAATCTCATCATATTCATGGTGCTGTCCTCTTAGCCTCAAACAAACAAAATTGACCATAAAAAAAAGACAAAAGGTGATAGGACACATTCAGAAGCATAACAAAAGCTAAAGTGAAAGGCATAGCCTAAGCGTGTTCCTCATCAGAAAAGCCAAAGTTATGTCCAGCGTACTTAGCAGTAGCTGAGGCTGTACGCGGATGGCGAGTACGGGCTCGGCCTCTGCCAGAGCTTGGGGAGTTCTTCCGGGAATCGACGTACTCATCGGACTCAGAGTCATAGGGAGGTGCTTGCGATCTGCGGTACCGAGTGGTTTTCTTTCCCTTGTTTACAGCGGTCACCTCGCCTTTGGTTGGGATGACTACTCCAACAAAAGAGCCCACGTTGCCAGCAGGGGAAGGCTCAAACTCTGCTTCTTCTATGCTTTGGATGATGTCCAGGGGCTCACGCTTCACACTTATACCAATACTACTCGCGCTGGTACTGGTGCTGTTATCTTTCATCTGAATATCTCCAATTTGACTTTGAGATCCCTGCTTGGTAGGTGTATCTAGATGGCTGACGGCCCTAGTTTTGTCTTTTGTTGAGGAAGCAGATAGCGATTTGGTGACTCTGTTCTGAGTCTCACGAGTGGTTCGAGAAGTACTGGTCTTTCCACGGCCACGGGGAGTCCCAGCAATTGATTTGCCTTGTTTTGCTGCGTCGGCCCTTAGCTCGTCTGCCAGATTATGGTACTTGCGACATCGCCCCTTAATTGAGTCATAGGTCGCACCCTGGCCAAACATAGCAGCAACGGCATTGTAATCAATCTGAACAGGTTAGTAGAGACCTTAGTTAACAGATCTAGGAGGTTAATTATAATTACATTGTTTCCCAGGTGAGCAGCAATGATAGCTGCAATGAAGCGATTAATACTTTCACTGGATTTCCAGTTTACCATTTTGTGTTACTTATAGCCGCTTGTTTTGAGAAAATGGGAAGAAAGACTGAACAGAGAAGATGATGTCAACAAGCAGCATTAAGGAGGAAGTAAGTGTGGGTTTAGCTAGTCAGGTTCAAGAGTTTCAGGCAAGATAAGTAGATAGACAAGGGAAAGAAGAAGTTGTGTTGTTGGGGGAGGAGAGTGAAGAGTGAAAACCCGCTTCTTACAGGTAACTAAATGGAGCAGTAAAAGAAAAGGAGTAACACTTCTCTCACTTGACCTAAGTTCAGAATTGCCTCTTAGTTTTCTTAGTCCCTCTTAGACTTCTCTTCCTTTCCCTTAGATCTAGCAGACCAGGACCTTTCAATTTTACAGGTCTACTTGAACCACATCAACCTGTTTCTTGCCAAATATTTCGGACAAGATGCCAATGAAATGGACCCCCGAGAAGGACCAGCTCGTAAGTACACCATTTCATATCTTAATATAAACAGCTAACTGATATTTTGGTATAGCTTCTGCTTAAAATTCTTGAAACCCACGAGCTCAAAGTCAACACCAGCAAGGTTGCTGAAGCATGGCGTAGGTTTCTCATACCCACATCCATGTCTTGTTGTATAAACAAACTAACTTAATCAACAGCCGCGGGGGACAAACCCACCGCCCGTGCAATTGCTGAGCGTCTCGTCCGTATGCGTCAGATGGTTAAGTCTGCCACCGTTGACAAGGGAGCTGAGGGACACTTCAGCATCGGATCCGGGCCTAGCAGCACTCTATCCACCCCTCAAAAGCCCCGTACAGCCTCTTCTACTGTTTCTCCAGCCGGATCCACAAAACGCAAGCGAACTGATACTGGCAAGAGTTCCTCTGTTTCGCCCCTCAGGGCAGAAACGATCTCTGGTAGTGACCGTGATGGCGAGTATGAACTGGATACTGAGTTCATGCCGCCTAATACGCCTAGCAAGAAACTGTCTGACGTTCCTCTGTTTTCTGCGCCGGCTACTCCGGGAATGGACCAGGTACTGGGTCAAACTTTGCCCTCGGCTGGGACAAGTTTGGGCTTCATTAAGAGAGATGAAGCAGTTGGTGACGGTAGTCCTGTTAAGCGGCAGCCTTCTCTAAGATCACGCCGGGCTACTGTTCACTTTGGAATGGTTAGCCATGAGAATTCGCTTGATCATAGCGACGATCTTCTTGACCCGCGTGAGGATTCTGTAGAGAGTTCTGCGTCTGATTATGTTCCTGATCCTTCTGTCTTTGATGACGATGAATTTGCGTAGCTTGTTTTTAACGTTGGGGTATGTTCGCGTTTAGGCAGGATAGCTATTCTCAATGTAGCTGGGTAGATACAGAAATTCGAAGATGTTAGGGGACAGGATAGTGATAGCGCAACTATATCTGATTGATAGGAATCCCTGGATCGTTGCTATCTGAAGGTACGCACACTGTATATGCATTATACCAATGCGAAACAATATGTTCTTATCATTCTCCCACCGGGCCAGCCTCGTACGTATTTCCAAGACCCGGATTAGCGATTCACACATAGGTTAATCTACCTAATCTAAATCAGGCAAAGCCCTCCGAGTCTTCCAGTTTCACCTCCTTCTGACCCTGCCCCATACGCACGGGCTGAGATTTCGAACCCTTCTGCATTTTGGTGGGACTACCCTCTTCCTCAGCTGCATTAATGGGATTGGAATTTTTGTCCCCAGTGACAGCCTTCTTCGGTCTTCCTCTCTTGCGCTTTTCGGGGCTCGGCGCTGCAGAGCTAGCACCATCCTCATTGCCATTCTCTCCATTGCTAACAGGACCAGGGCCGCTCGCTTTTGCCGCCTTCTCCCTGAGGCGCAGGATGCGGTGCTGGACGGCACTGACAGTGCACTCTATTATTATTACATCAGTTAGCAAGTAGACATCACCAGGGTATATATCTGCTCCGCAGTTGTAGCATCGTAGAAGGAAAGATCAGACTGCGCGGGACTTACCAGGACCCATGTAGTCCGCGATACCGGCCCAGTTCATTCTTCCGTCATTTTGGGTAATTATGGCCATGAGCAGCTAGAGTTCGAGGCTATGTTAATCCCAGTTATGATAGTAATGGTGACCGTAATATTCTGAAAAGTAGATATAGGATTGGAAAGGGAGGGAGAAAGATTGCGTACTTTGGCATCGGCCTGATCATTCCAGACCATGGGCATATTGACAGTGGATTATTTAGGTACGGACTTGGTTATGCAAGGTCTGATGGTTGTCTGTGTTCAAATCGGCTACTGGTGGGAGAATATGGAGGCCAGTTGATTTCAGTGGAAAGCGGAAGGATTGAAAAGCAAGGTACTCAAAGAATGAGAGCTGGTTGAGAAAAGGGTGTTACAAGAGACTGGATGGTAAAGGAGAGAAAGGGAAAACAGCTGGGGAGTAAAAAGCAAGAAGTGAGGAGACAGAAGTGAGAGGAAGCGGTTAATAGTGAAGAAGTCATAACTCCCTCAATAACACTTTCACTCTAGACACCTAAAGCTGAAAGGAATAACAGTGCCCAATTAATGAAGAGAGAGAAAAACACAGACCAGCGATATTGCAGAGTAATAGGTGTCAGTCGACTAAGACTGTCGGAAGACAAATTTATTGTTCTTCTCCGGGTGATGCCCTGAAAAGTAATCATTATATAGCATCTCCTCCCTAGTCTTTGCTGGCGTCTTCAAATTGTCAAACTGGCGAAACACCCGGCCTAATGTTACGTAGAGCTCGCAATAGGCGAGTCTAGATCACGTTAGTCTTTATCTTGAGAAGCCCAGTGAAGCACATACGGCATTCCAATACATTGTCGTGAACCTTTCCCAAAAGCGAACAAATACCGTTCGAGCATTTTCGCCTGTGTAGGATCCAGCCATCGTTCAGGGTCGAATACCTCTGCGTTTGGGAAGAGGTTCGTGTTATGGTGCATCATCCAGGCGCTCATGCTCACCACGGTCTAGATTAGTCGGTGTCGATCAGTCTCTACCTTCATGAAATAGATATCGAATCTTACCCCTAGAGGAACTTTATGGCCGTTAAATTCAGCCCCAGAATATGGGACCACCCGAGGTACTCGACCGGGAACACCAAACGATAGCCTGGTCTCGGTCAGTCATTGCGAGAGTATGGCACCTACAGATCTTACCGCAGTGCTTCTTTTATCACGGCAGTCTTTTAAGTTTAGTACACTCAAACTCTTATATCGGCGAGATAAGCGACTTACCAAGTACGGAAGCTTCTCCAGCGTAGGGAAGTCCATGGAAGAACAAGGGTCTGGAAACACGTTTTGGAGCTCGGCTGATACTCTGGCATAGATGGTTGGGTTGCGAACAACATTATATGCTGCAATGGTTAAAGCATTTCCAGTCGAGTCCGCTGCAGCTCCAAGCACGTTAGTAGCTTCGTCTGCCAGGTCGTCCACAGTGGGATACGCTTCAGCCGCATCAGGTTGTAAAAGTTGATGGAAGATGGTGGTTCGTGACGCCTTTTCGCCTCTCTCAACAGCATACTTGACTCGAAGAATCTGACGACGAGCGTCCTAACAGACGTCAGAACAGCAAATAACATCTGTTAGTCTAAGGCTCACCTCCTGCTGCAACATCATACTTGCTAATGGACCGCTAAGACGCTTTGCAAGCCAGTAGGGTATGTGGAGAGCCAAATCCTGGATAGCAGGAAACTGTTGGAAGAACCACAGAGCAGGCCCTATGGCCCGGATACTATTGAAAAACCCAACTCCAAAGTCCTCCTCGTCAAGAAAGTTGTAAGAATTATCAAAAGCATAGTCCGTGATAACATCGATCGATATTGCGCGAAAACCATGATGAAGGTCGATGCCGTCAGAAGACTCAAATGCTTTCTTCATACGGGCTACCAACTTTTGTGCCTTCTCATGCACAATACCCTCTAGATCGAGCACCTTTTTCCGCGAGAAGAAAGGATTCAACGCAGCTCGTTTTATGCGGTGGGCCTCCGGGGTTGATGTTATAAAAACGGATTTTTTCGTGCCGAATGCGTCATAGAATATAGGATCTTTGGCATATCGTGATCCCACAAAGTATATTTTCTCGCAGTTCTCGGGGTCACTTAGATGGATTTCATTTGGCGTAATTCGGATGATGGGACCTGAGTCAGTGGGTTAGCGGAATCACGATGCAGCTTCAAATTGATTTCTTGGACAAAGGGCCCTTCGCACCGTATTTCTCGTGTAGCCTTTCGATATGAAGGTAAAATCGTGCGCCCACAAGATTATACCAAGTCGAGTATAAAAATGTTGCACTTGCAAGAGTCGGGCCCGGGATCTTCGCAAGTGGATGGAAGAAGAGCCGATAAACAACCACCCAGGCGGATCGTAGCACGACCATAACCAAAATAGAACCCGCCAGTCTCCAAATATTAGTATGTGTGGCCATCGTCGAAATAGTAAGCGGCACTTCTGGGAGAGCCATATTGTGGGAATCAGGAACAATCAAGTAGGAGGGTCAACCAGGCAGAATCCACCTCTTGATGGCTTGGGCCGAAGGTGCGTCAGGTAATTGATGTTAGACTTCTTAATTAAAAGATCGTGAGGCAAATAATAAGAACATAGGCCTGATGTAGCTGTGTGTGAACATTTGAGGTTCAATATATTATCCGGTGATCCCAATCGCGAGGAAGAACAGACTCCGAGCAACAGAGAGTGACACGATGACACCCCACACTAGATCTTGCACAGAATGGCCTCTTCGTGGCATCTCGGCGGTGGTCATCTCGAAAGCCGAGCTGCATGTATCAGAGTTTCTTATTTGCTAACGCAGCATCGAGTCTGTGTAACGTTGGATAATTATCCGGTCAGGTCCGGTCAGGGGGCAGGCGCTTGAGGCACGAGGTTCAGACTCACTGAATTGTCCGACTGAGATCCGTGATACTGCATTTCCATATGCTAGAACATGCAAAGGGCAGAAACTGGGAATTATATGCCGTTGGTATAGGAAGTGGAGAACACTCCCAGCTTCCCCAAGACAGCTAAGTGGATTCAAACCACAAGAGATTTTAATGGGGCCAATGGTTACAACAGATATTTTTATATGGTTTTCTGGATGCATACCATCCAGTCAGGCACCGAAAGCTCAGTGTTTGCGATGTCTTCCCGGACATTGGCCAATAGGTCCAGGTAGCTGTGTAGGATGGAGACAGTCAATGTCCTTGAGGGAGAAATATGACCTTCATATTCTGATATATAATTTACAGTAAGTTATACCTGAGGTTTGCGACCGCATACACCAACGCTGTGGATAGAAGAGTCTATGAGTGGACGGCCACAGTGGATTGCAAAGTGAGGGTTCGACTTACACATAAAAGTAAGCATGGATGCTTGGATCCCGAAGGCCCTTGCGCATGTCAGCCAAGAGAGCTTGGACCTCGTCATATGTCCACTAAATACCATGAAATGTCAGCTTGCCTGTGTGTTGCAGTCCAAATTATTCGGAATCAGAAACGCAGCACAGGGTACTTACGCCCATCACTCTAGTCAGCAGCGCCATTGCCCACCCTTCAATACCGCTCTCGCAATGAACTAGGTTCCACATCCCAAGTTTCTTCAATTTCTTATCCTTACTCCATGGACCAATGGGTAGCTTGAAACGACGCTCAGTCACGTTCTGAAAGCCGGCCTCCTCCATGTATCCTTTGGCGCGCTCTGCAATTTGAAAGGTTTTGCCAATTTTCTCACCAATGGCTATGAAGAGCCGAGACCAAACCGCAAGGACATGGTCGTCGGTTACAGTATTATCATCTGACCGGAATTGTATAGACATTTCCAGCTGATCGATCCATCCGCCTGGCTGCAATGTCCTGTCAAACTATTAGCTCTTCGCTTCCGGGTTTCTTGGCTAACTGGATTACTTCAGAGCATTTTGGTAGAAGGCAGGCCAATCGGCTACTGCCCCATACATTGACCGAACATGGACTAAGTCGAAGTGATTCTCGGGATAAACCCATGTTTCAGTCGCATCATCAATCTCGAATCGTAAGTTCGGTGGTACAAACCCGGGTTGGATAGGAGATAGATCAGTGCCGATAACTTCAGCAAAGGGGTAGTCTTCTGCGAAATCACTAGGGAACTTGCTTAGTATCTGCGATCGTTAACGGCATTCCGCTACTAACATTGCCCATATACCAGTGCCTGTACCGATATCAAGTGCTCTCTGTTGGTATTTTAGTATGTTTCACACAAGAGCTCTCTCTCTCTAGCTTGTTTCTTACCCTAATATGATCTCCTGTCGGTGCAAGAAATAGTTTGTTATCAAGGAGCATAGTGAACATGTGGTGTCTAAACATTTCATGTTAGCTCCTATGTCGAAATGGACGAAACGGGGGCGTACGCGATCTCTAGTTGCTCATTTTGCTCCTCATCGTTTGGACCCCTAAAAAGAAACGCAATCAAAATTGTGTCTCAGGCACTTTGCAAAGGCTGAATACCAATATGCACCCTCTTTGTAAGCATGATACCGTCGGCCATTCTCATATCGATAAGAAGTTATCATCGAACTGAGGGAAGTGGTGTCGCTTGCACTGGATCCATGGCTCGCCGTTAGCATCCATAGATGAGAATACAATCACCTGGCTGACACGACTCACAACTCCTCTTGATAACTTGAGGTCTGATCTGAGTCCTTTAAACAGGTGATTAGCACAATTGCCTTTGAATTATTATGAAGGTACGGATAACAACAGCCATACAATTTCGAGGTGACTATCGCCATCCGATGGAGGGGCATGGTGAGGCGACCCTTGCGGCTTGGGCGGCGAATAGGGGGAGGAGGGAAATGATTCCGTCATTGTATCGAGATTACATGGATAAGTCCGAGTCTTAATTGATCGATATATCAAACGTTAGCTGGCCTGGCCCAACGTTTATGGGCGCTCAGGTATTCAGTCGGTTTGTTGACTGAAGTTGTTTTCTCCAGGAAGTTGGATGAACGAGTGGATCTGGGCCCGCGAATATATAGGTACTGGATGTGGACGGTTTTTGCACTGAGAATGTGGGATATGCAGCTGTTCAATGTTCTTCAGAAATTATAACGGGGCCGAGCGTGCACTAAATGGGAGACACACAGATAGTGGAGTCGAGATAAGTGCGCTGGATGGCTGATGGTCGAAGGCCGTTGGCTTAGTTTTGGGATCCGGCGAAGAGTGGAGTTGACACATCCAAAAGTCCGCGGCGGGGAGACTGCCAGAAAGTACGGTGACAACGGTGACACCGGAGTTCATATCTTCTGCATAACGTGGTCTCCAACGGCGAATCAACCGCAACCTACGGATTTTTCAAGGTAAATACTTTAAAGTTTCAGCACATTGTCAAAACTGGTAACGTAAAAGCACTAGACGAATAGCAATCTGAAATAAACGCCCACCGATGTACACATGCTGAATGCTGCGAAACTCCATGGTCTTTCCTGTATGGCCTAAGACGCCAACTACTCCGGGAAAAAAAAACAGCCTCCCGGCAAACAATAAAGAAAGATGAGATATGAAGGTGCCAATATCTGGCGGAACAACACGGCAGAGCCTCTCGTGGCTCATTTACCACGCATGGCCCCCATCACCCATGTCCATATCATGGCCAGTCCAATCTTCGTCCCCACTCAGCTCGTCATCTAAAAAGTCCTGTTCGTTGAATTGGGTTTCCCTGGGGCGTTGGTTGTCGATTCGAATCACCACAACATCACACATACCCTGCGTGGTGGGGAGGTCATTATCACTATCGGCTTCGTTCATTCGATAGCTTCTTGGTGACGGACTTTGGTCGTCCTCACCATCCGAATATTTAAGACTAGCGATCCGAGCGCTTTTCCGCTTTGAGGGTGATGGGATCTCGATTTCGTCTATATGCGAGCCCTCAGTTGGGTCGCCCCGCTCCTGTCCCTCTGAGTGCCGTACAATGGTGCGGAATGCTGGGTTTGGAGGTGGGCTTCGCCGTAAGAAGACCTTTTCGAGCCTGCCAATCCACTTTTCTCGAAAAGAGGCACGATCGCGCCATCCAGTCTTCAAGATTGCGCTAATTATTAAGTTCCGTAAATTCTGCAGCTCAGGGGCGGCTTCAATTAGCGAAGTAAAGAAGGCCTCTGCGGTGTTATCCTTCCATTTGCGCAACTGTACCAATTCGAGGTGCTGTAGGGTTGGAGGCCATGTGGGAATCTCCGATGGAGAAAGTAGTTCCTCAAAATGTGGTTCCACGTCGTGGTAACTCGACCAGTCATGCATCGAAAGATCCATCGTAAACCTTTCTAGGGACTTACAGAATTTCTTCAGGTCCACAATAAAAGAAAGACTTAGGTGGCGGTTATGGCTGATGCTCAACTCTCGCAAACTATGGCCGTGAGTGGAAAGAAAAAGACTGAAATTGGCAGTTGTTACGTCGTCACAGTTGTTAATCGTGAGAGAGGTCAGGTTGAAGGGTAGTTTGGGCAAAAGATGGTCGTTTAAAATAGATGACTCTAGAAACTCCAGTCGATGCAAACTGGGAAGCTCCTTAAGAGCCATAGCTAAGACATTTTCCCTCTCTTCAGCCATCCCAGTGACTCCGTCGCCGTTCGCATCTTCTGATGCAACGTGCAATAACCTAAGATTTTGAATGCTTTTGAAGGGGGCCTGGTTATGTCTTAATAAAATAAGGGGAAGCAAATCTTGCGTGTCCATAAAACGAGCATTCCAGTCCCAACTGCGAAGCCGGATGGAGGCCGAGTTAATAGACGCAAAGAGTGCTTCAGGATACACCCATTTTGAACGCGAAATCTCCCACGAAGGAAGGCCAACAACATAGTCATTATTGTGGTATAGCCGGAGTACATTGACCTGGGGGGTATTTTCGATCAATTTAGACAGGTCGAAGTATCCCAGGGTTGGTCCGCTCTTGTACACCAAGAGGGTCTCGACATCAACATGCAGCTCTTTAATTTTATTGACATAGTTGGTGGAGAGCGAATCCTGGGGTTTGGCGAGAAGGCTCAGTAAGCCGTGTGATTTAGGAGCGGGTATGAGTGGCGGAGAGTGGTAGAGAGCCGCGAGAGCTGGCTCGTAGAAATTGCGGCATAGCAATGCAACGCTCACCAACCAACTGACGGTGCTGTTCCTTCTGATAGTCTTTTCCTCGACAAGTGGATAAGACGCGCGAAGAAATATATCGAATAATATGTGGTACGGAAGGGTTTGCCATGGCGGAATAACCCCCGAACCAACAGGGGAACTATCGGGCTCCTGCGTCTTCCTCCGCTTGTTGAGAGGCCTCCCTAGCTCCAGTCGCCTCTTCGTTGGGGTTCGTTTTGACTTTTGTGTCTGAGACCTAGTTTTAACGGATCGAGTACGGCGCGCGCGCGCAGGTGCGGTGGGTATGGCGTGGGTAACGACGTCAGACAGATGTTGGTTTGGATGAACGGCGGTTTCTGGAGATAACACATTGCCTGTGTCTTCACTTGGAAAATCCTCCAACTCATCATCACTTGAGTTCTCCCGGTACGACATGGGAATGCGGTTTGAACGTGGTCGCAGAGAGAGAGAAAGGCGCCTCGACCCCTCTTGGTCAGTTCCACTGTCTTCACCCAGGGGGTCATCCGGGCCGCTTTCTTCGTTGTAGGACTGGACGTGGGTGCGATTTGAGCGAACTGGTCGCGATTGTCCACGAGGGAAACGCATCGTTGGAGCCATGAGCGCACAGCCTCGGGATCGTACTACTGCGGGACGAAGGATTGTGGAGGGTGAAATGGGATCATGCCCCGCTCAGGCGGGCTGCAGTTAGATGGAGAGAGCGGCGCATGGAAGAGGAAGTGAGAAATAAGCCATCACCCTTTGGAATGAGGGGGGGATAATAGAAACAGGAGTGACAGAGAGCAAGAAACTGAGCAGATCAATGTCGATGTCGAGGTGCCAAGGTCGACGGATGGAGAGGTTTATCGATAAGAGCTGGTTGAACGCCAATGATGGCCCGATCGCCGACGCAGTGCATCAGGTGACCCAGCTGCCAGGCAACAAGGCCGCAAACCGACTCCAACGCTAAACCAGGCCTGGCCTAGACTGTTGCCCTGTCTCGAAATAGCAACAGCTGCTCCGTCCAAGAGCCCAAGACGAGTCTAGTTGACGCGCCGTCAGAGGTCGGAGTCGCTGATGATTGTCGCCGCTCTTAAAGCGCCCGCCGTCGTCCAGCCACCCTTCTCGTCACCTCCCCTCTCCCCCGTTTGCTATTCGGGCCATGGCGGACTGCTATCCCCTGCGTTTTGACGATAATGGACTCTGTTTAACTGCGTCTACATGACTCTCGTTGCTTATATATACTCTCAGCACCAGCAACTCATGCGCTAGTCCAGGCTGGCCCCGGGCTGAGTGATTGCTCTGCCACCATCTGACCAGGCGCTATTTATCGTGATTCGTCTGACGCTGTTCAAAGCCAGCTTCTTCACAGCTCCTCATGCGCCCCGATTTATTTTCTCAAGTATACATACGCTCAGCTGTTAATATCAGGCCCCGACAGCCTCCTCTTTTGCCGGGCCACTGTTCGCGATGCAGAGCACTTTCCCCACTGTGATCAACCAGCCCGAGCGGAACGAGCTAGGCGCCTCTCCCATGGTCATCCAGCAGTATGCGAGGTATCCTGCCTCCATAGAGCCGGGGATACAGAGTGCCTCATCCATCGGCAGCGCCCATTCGCAGTTGGCTAACTCCAAGTCACCCCCGCTCCATCGCAAAGCAACTCCCCGCAGTGTACAATCTTCTCCAACCCTCCAGCGCCCAGCTGTTCCCCCGGGGCCACCCGCGCGCTCAGGGCCGTCGATGTCCCCTTCGATATTCGACTCGCTGCGGCAAAGACAGATACGCAACTCAATAGACCGGGCCGATTCGCGTGCGTTGCCGTCCCGCGATATCACGGATGAAAACATCGATGATGCCTATGTCCTTTTCATATTCTATTGTAACCCCAATGTTCCAAGTTCTGCCGATTCGACAGAGCTGCGCAAAACCTTTCGGTGCCCCCCGCGTAGTGATGGCAAGAGCTTCAGCATCTTTACACTTTGGAAATTGATCAAAAGGCTCGACAGCAAAGAGCTGAAAACGTGGATCCAGCTAGCCATTGAACTTGGAGTGGAACCACCAGACATGGAGAAGAAACAAAGCACCCAAAAGGTTCAACAATATGCTGTTCGCCTCAAGGTATGCATGGGTTCTTCCACGTCTTTTTTTCCAGCTAACTAGGTTCTTGCTTCATAGCGCTGGATGCGTGCGATGCATGTAGATGCATTTTTTGAATACTGCCTTGGTCACCCGCATCCATACTACACACAACTTCCGCCGAATAACGCTGTGGTCAGTGATAGTCGCGATGGTGTTCCTTTGGAAGAAGATCTCGCTTTGAGAGCTCTGGTACCTGAATGGAAACCAAAGCGGGGGAGGAAGAGGACGGACGAGAAAGAGATAAACGAGAGGGCTTTGAAAAGGCCCCAACTCGACACTTCTGTTGGCGTTTTTCAGGCAGGCCCCTTTCCTGCTCATTCAACGGCATTTCCCCAAAGCGCTATTCCTTTCAGCGCATTCCCAGATGACATGGAGCCACCCGATCCATGGATAACAACATCCTCGTTCCCGGGCGATGCGCACGCAGATGCAACTGGAACACATCAGGGGCAAGATATCCGCTGGAAAAGCCTCGACCGCGAGGCATCACCCGCTGCGTACCCGCAATCAGCAGTCATCCCCAGAGGACATCATTCAGCAGACCTCTTTATTCCGTCCGCCGAACCACGATCCGCAGTCACACCATCGACGGGGGAAAAATCGCGTGCTAAAAGACGACATGGCCCTGCCGTCTCATCTGCCTGGCCGAACAATACAACCTCTTCTACTGGGAAGATGCGTGGCAGACCGCCAAATAGGGGAACGGTATCTGGGCCATTTTCCTCCTTCCCCGTGAATCCCAACCGTTCCGACCCGTCTCATCTCCACAGCACCGGAGCTAGGCCGACGCCTACCATTGTTCTTGAGCAGGACCCTGCCCAGTACCAACAGTCCCCCACCCCAATAAACGCGAGTGGGAAGCCGAACAAGCTCCAGCTTCAGGTACCACAGCACAAAGGCGCTCCTGTGCGCCTTGCAACCCCACCTACAATGCAGATAAACGGTGCGAGCAACGCATCCGCTGTTATGAAAAATGGAACCGCAGATTTTCAAGCACAGGGGCCCGGCAATACGCCCATTGCAAATCCAGCATCTAACATCAATCGTGACGGCGTTCCGAACACGATAATAAATCCTGATGATGTAGCACGAATACTCTCTGGAGAGCTCCTCCGAGCGAGACTCACTGGTCGGCAGACTGGTTTAAGCGCAGAAGAGGCGAGAGCCTTAGCTTCAGTCGTGGTGACCAACTTGACTGTCTTGTATTCCAAATTGCCTTTCGGTGCTGCTGCTCTAACATCAGCGCTGCACCTTGGCCTAGGACCATATTTTGGGTATTCGGGCGTGACGGACAATGTGCTAGCGGTCCACATCAAGCCGAGTGTGAAGAGCACCTATGATTCTGGCGCCCCGAATACAAGCGAAGGCTCGGCAACTTCCGTTTATAATCTCTCTGTCGAATACAAACACGGTCCGGGCTTCGTAACGAAAGCCTCATTCGAAGATCTCCACATTACCAACGCCGGCGTCAACCCTTCAATAGCCATAGGCACATTTGACAATACCCCACGACAACAAAACGAATTGGAAAGTAACGTCGGTGAGCTGGACAGCTTGACTGACGCCGAATTTGAAGTGGAGGGCCCCGAAAGTGCTATACCCGAGACGACATGGAAGCAACGCTACATGAAGCTTCGAGCACAAATGCAGAAGAGGGAACGATCAGTATCCCAGTACAAACGAAAAATTCTCGAATCCGTAATGGCAGATATATAAGTGCAATCTTTGGCATATACCCTGTTTGCAGCTATTTTGGCCCCGTCGACATCATCACGAACTTTTCAAATACCCATATACCCCAGATTTATGTTGATTTATGTCTGAGCGACCGATTTCTTGTTTTTCCTTTTGAGTACTTATTGTTCGTTGCCCTTTTTCTTTTTTCCTTGTTTTCTTCAGATACCCACTGAGCAGTTTTATTCTTACGATTGCATCAAGTACGAATAATGAGATGAACGTTTGCAAATAATTAGATTCATCTGCGTATGTCTGATAAACATTCAGCAGGCGTTGCCCGAGTTTATGTTAGACAGCAGGCAGGAGACAGCCGGAGGTAAGCTTGAAGTTGGCCATCTAAAAGTGGAAATCGAAAGAATAAAGAAACAAAAACCAAAGTCTCCTAGAGTATGAGGGATAGAAACCACCCCTAAAGCATGGAGATGCAACCGCAAGATACCCTCCTTCGATAATTCAGATCCCAACCTTCTCTGGAAAGGCAAAACAAAGGGGGCTCGTCCTTCCTCCCATCCCCTTCAGCAAAAACTCTCGTCGGTATCAACATCGCCCAGATCCTCGCTGAGATCCGAAATGGTGCCCATGATATCAAAGTCCTCATCTTCGTCCTTCACCTTGGCATTGTCGTTATCATTGTCATTGGTGGTTGCGTCCTCTACTTCTTCTTCTTCTTCTTCTTTTTCATCCTGCGGCTCTTCCTTCACGACAACTTTATTCTTCGCTGCCCTTGCTCTCTTTTTCGCAGGCGCAGCACCTTTGCCTTTTGTAGTAGCCGCCGCCCTACCCTTTCTCTTACCCTTTGCCAGACTTGCACCAGCCTGTTCCGGGTCCTTTTCGCTAGAGTCGTTTTCGTTCGCCTTACTGGCATCATTGTCGGCGCTGCCGCCTTTGCTCATAGCTTCTTTGTGTGCTTTCGTGAGTCTTGAGAAGCGCTTCGACCTGTTGTTTCGAGGGTTAATCTTGGTTATTTATAGCTTTTGCGAACAAGTTGATGGACATGTAGACATGGAATGGGGTAACGAGAACAGAACATGTGTGGGGGGTGTGTGTAGACGTACGCAGCTCCTGCAGAGATAATGTTGCATTCTTTCGCGACTGCGCCAAAGTCGATCTGGTTTTGTTGGGTGGGATGTCAGCTTGGGTTGCGCGCGATTGTGACGGAAAGAGGGTTTATTGTATGGTTTCGGGATTTTTATGATACTGCGTCAGTTAGGTGACTTACCTTGCCGCTGGAAGAGTGATTGATGCAGCTTAGGAGGAGAGTGACGTGGTCATCGCTAGAGAGGGACATTGTGGCTGGTTTGTTTGTATGGTGATGGAGTGTGGTAGGTGTTCGAGATGAGATATTCGTAGGTCTGTGATGGTGTGGATGGAGACGTGGTGAGTAGAATGAGTTGTCGTGCGGTGGATGTTTAGAATATATAGGAGAGAAGTAGAGACTGGGGGACTCGGGAGAAAACTGAGGGGTTATGAAATGACGGTTGGTGTAGAAGTGAGGACTTGCAAGCGCAACACTGAGAGGTTTTGGGATTGAGGTAGGCTGGGAAGATGGGAAAGGTAAATCACTGTTCTTGAGTGTTTCTCCTCTTCTCTGCAGAGTGCTCGGGGTGATCACGTTGTAGGAGGCGAAGGTAAAACACCATAGAATTTTAATTATTCCTTAACTTTGCATAAGGGAGTTGGGTGTGTTTAGATGGTCAAGTGCCTGACACCAGTAAGTAATAATGGTCGAACTCGAAGTGTAGTGAGAATTACGGGACAAGACAGGACTACAATGTTTCTTTTAAAGAATTTCCATGGTTTCCATTTAGAGCTATTTAAGAAACAGGATGCGTTCAGACTCCATCTCTTATGCATGTTTTGGTTACTAAATAACATTCATCCTGTGGCATTGATACCTAATTCCACCTCCGTTGTATCATCCCAATATCCAGCGGTTAGATTATGGCCCTCGAACTCTGTCAGTCCAACGCCTTCGTAACCCAAATATTCAAGTAAGCTTGTCATCTCCTTCAAATCAAGCGAGAGTGAATAGTAGCTATAAAATATGTATTATGTGGTCAGCAACAATACATTGAAACATAAGACACTGGCTTACCTTTTGGACCACTCTCAAGCTGACATGACAAGTCAAGCTACTTCAAAATTCCGCAGCTCCAACATCAGCTCAAAACTCGGCCACTACCCAGTCCCTATATTAAGCTCTTAACATACCTGATCATCATTATTCCCCTCTTCGGTGCCATCTCCATTCTTAGCAACAGGCCCAGTGGCAGGCATCGGATCAGCAGTCGATATCTTTGCACCCTTGCGTGGGGTGTCTTTCTTCGGGGGTCTTCCAGGACGACGCTTAGTGGGTTTATCAGGGCCATCGGCATCTTTCTTTGGAGAAGATGGCTTCTCCTTCATGGAAATTCCGCTCCCATTAGTGCATTCCAGTCCGGTAAAACCGTACTTGTCACGCATCTTACGGAAGCGGTTTCCAACAGAGTTGACATTGGTGTATCCGAGGGCTTCGCCCACACCAGAGATGTCAGCCTGCTCATTGTTAGTTATGGTGCTCTGTCTTTGGGTTGGGTTGTTAGTGTCTGTCTTGCCTTTCCGTCTCTAATGTTTCTCAAACATTCGAACCCGAAGCGGGCGTCCTGAGAGGCGGGGTCATCAGAGTTGCCGGTGTTGTTTGAATCATTGTTTGACGCCATGCTGTTTGATTTTGGCGATGGGGTATGGATTGAGATGTAGAAAGATGTTTGGATTGTTGTCGCTATATCGTAGGGGACGATGGGTGTCTTGTGGAATGAGAGATGGAAGGTAGTTGTGTGTTTGATAAAGCGAGGTTGTGGGAGAGAGTGGAAATATTACTGAAGGTGGAGGGAGAAGAGAAGTGAGAGAAGTTAGAATAACACAATCTCTCTCTAGAGAAGTGGGAGCAAGTGAGGGATTTTTAAAGGCCTTCTTAAGCCAACCCAGAGTGAGGGATCCAGCAATAAAGTGAATTCTGCATCCATCAACACGGCACTTAACTCTGGAGAAATTATTGAGGCCAGTTTCAGAAGACAAGGGAATGGATCTGTTCTATTTTAGCCACTGTCTCTTTATTATTGTCCATAGCGATAAGAAACGAGGTCCTGCCGGTAATTCATATGCGTCTGTCAAACCAAATGCAACCAGAGAAGCTTCTATAAACACTCTAATAAAAGCCAAATCCAAATAAAAGTAGAACAAACAAAATAGACCCACGGTATTAATGGAGTTCAATTTCCACTCCGATTCTCCAAAACGCCGTACATGAAAATGGATGTGCTCACTCCTTCTAAGCACTGTTGTCCTCTCTTTCCCATTCTTTCTTCTCCGCTATCTCAATATCATTGTATTCCTCAGACGGATTTAATGTCCCAACTTGCACTGGTGTCCATTCAACCGGAGTCGGGTAGCTGTGCTCGACCGAGTCCGGAACTGGAGGGTAAGGAGGCATGGAAGAACACATGCGAAACTCCGGAGTCAAAGACATATTTTGGTATGGAGTTGCGATAGAAGGAGCGAAGGAAGGAGAACGCGAATGCGCATACGAAGAAGCCAATGTCTGCGGCTCATATTGCGGGATATCGGCGAGACTGGAGGACGGTTGGCAGAGGAATGGGTCAGTTTTCATATGCGGCTCCGTCTTGTAGGCGCTCTCTGTGAGCAGTTCCGGTTCGCCTTTGAATTCGGCTTTGACCTCCTGAGTTGGCTCTGGTGTGATCTCTTTCTGCTTCTTCGCTCTGAGAGAGTTGATGCCCGACTTGGGGGGCTTGGTTGATGCTCTTTTCCGCTGCGTGGAGTGGATTCCCTCCATCTGGTTTCGGAAGCGGTGGTAGCGCATACGAGCGGCGTGGCCGTTGGAGATTTCGAGCTGCGATGCGACTAGGTTCCAGTCGATCTGTTTCGCTGTTAGCATGGATGACACCTGAAGATGGTGTGGGTGTATACTTACACCTTTGAGGTCGAGCTGCTTGACAATGGCATAGAGGAACTTTGCTGATGGACTATCAGTTGGCATGGTTTTGCTGCGCCTAACGATGGGAGGAGCTGGAGCAGACTCCTTCCCAGAGGTCGACGCAGAATCCTTCAAGGGAGACATTGCGAAAAGAGTCCAAATTCTCGGGGATAGAAAGATAGTATGATTGCGTCTGTTCTGAGTATAACGTCAGGAAGGTGGATGCATAGGAATGAAGAATTCCACACCTGGGTGCACGTCAGGCTATATATGTGCCATCTGCCCTAGCGAGAAGCCCTAATACAAAAGGTGACTCAACGGTAGGAAACATTGCTAGAGACAAAGAGAAGGCTGAAGCCTTCATGTGCAGGAATTTTTAAGTTCCAATAAAAATGAAAAGACTGAGGAGATATCATGTTGTTCATGTGGTGGCGCTGTGGTTGAAAGCGCTGGGAACCTGCATATGCGGTCTTGGTTGTCAACGTCTCATGGCGTTTGGACTAGGGCCCGACATCTGAGCAGTTTGTTTGTAGCAGGGTCAATTTGAACTCTTTATATGTAAGTTACATAATGCATATCTTTGTTCTAGAAGCTAAACTGGCTTCTTGCATATCTGCCGGGATCTTGGAGGCCTGTCACGTGATCTGCCTTGCCCTGAACAGCCAATGGATGGTGCATCAAAACTAAAAGCAATCGCAAGTCAATCACCTCCTGTCTACTTCTTTGTCTTAAAACTCCTATTCAAAAGTTTACTTTAGATGGTCAGATTTACCTTGTATGGTACTGATTCTGGGGACCTGGGTACATGACCACCAAACCGTGCCATCCTGGCCATGGCCTATGGATCTATGACAGACCTGTTCAAAGAACTACTATATCAGAAATTCTAACTAGATAAATGCTAAACTGACAACTGGCTGTTAACTGTCATTATCGGATACCGAGGTCTCCTGGTTGGCAGTATTGAGATGCCGATGCGCGGCGTCTTGTGCGACACAACGCCCCAGGCTGAAGCTATTTTCCAAACGTCTCAGCCTGTCTTTTCCCATGTCTGGTTGTGCAACCCAATTTCACCGCTTATCATAGAAGAATTGCTATCTAAAACATCGCCGGCTCCAGCCTTTGGGTGCTATGGTAAAACTGCTCATAGCCCAAGCAAGCTCCCCGCCAGTTTGAGACCCTCTTACCCCCGCAACTCGCAGCCCGCAACCATTTTGTGCCCTTTTCTTCTCATTGCCTATCCACTCAACCCATTATCGCGTACGTGTCGTTACGCGTGCCACCGCGACGCATCATGAGGAGATCTCAGGGTGCGAGACGCGAATTTTCGCTCAGTCTCCTCCACCCTCCACAACCACTCTCACCAGCCTAGAGTTGCTTTATTTCATCGTCCTCTCCATTCCACCAGAGTCATCCCACAAATTTGGGCTCACAATGGCAAGGACAAACAAACGTACATCTGCCGATGCCCCTGGGGAGCAGCCAGCTACCCCGAAACGCCGCCGTCGCCGCATTGTATGGGACCACAGGCGCGATAAGTATTTGCTTCTCGCGATTTTCGCCCACATGAACGTCAAAGCCCCGGATTTTCAAGAAATTGCAGATATGCTTGGAAATGAGACCTACTCTGCGGACACTTTGACGTATATTTATCCCAGCTCCTCCATTTCAAGTTGTTGGTATACTGACACATTGGCTCTGTCAACTAGGCGGCGTTTTCGTGTTCTAAAACAAATTGCCACGGAGGTTATGGAAGACCGTCACGACAAGGGCCTTGGAGTATTGGAAGAGGAAATCACTGAAAGAGACCACGATGTTACGATAGTGGACGAACCTGCTATTTCTAACCCCGCTCCACAACTCCCGACAACCCCGTCGTCTGTACGATCAGGACAGGCTGTCGCGGAGTCCACGTCTCTCATTTCTCAAACTTCCACCCCACCGCAACGTCCAAATCCCCATCCCCGTGGCCCGCACGCTGAGCCCAAACATTCAAGGCCACCGAGGAGAGAACAAGCGAAGCCTCCCCGTCAGCAGGAACCTCATCGCCCTAACGACAGCCGTGCAAAACACGGTGAACCAGCTATATCTTCCCCCAACAGCGACAGACTAAATCATATCCGGCGGAGGATAAGACAGCGGAACCAGATACATGCTACCACTGTATCACCGAGAGGTGTTGCGAATGAACCATCAAATGAGTCTCAGTCAGCACGTCAGGAGCCAGCTTACATTCCTCTCGGTCTGAATTCCCAGGCCAACAGTAGCCGAAACTGGTCTGCTGCAGGTCCCGCAAGACCCTTACAGCCCTATTTTGGAAACGGGGGTGCGTACGGCGTTGGCGGCGGTGGTGGTCTCACTCAGTTTGTGTTTCCGTCTATTGAACACTGATTGGTTTGGGCTTGCGTTTGTGGTTATTCTGTGGATTAAAACTCGCGGGTTGCACCAACAACAATGAGATATTGGGGGTTCTGGTGTTGTTGGAGTTTGTTACATATTCACCAACTGCATGTTTGATTATTCTATGGGTATCCAGTTATCCCTGTGTTAAGTTAGCAGCAACCAATGGTTCATTCTTCGCGTTAAAAGCTAGAAGGAAATCCTTCATCTACAATATCTAGGGCCAGTTGAAGTTGTTTTGGCTGGAATGATGAACAGTGCGGGGTGTGTGTGCGGAACCGCGACCCACTCGGAGATGGCAAAAGGTTGGGCGAATGTTGACCTTCGACTAACACTTTACCACTAAATTATCAGCTAGGGCAGATATATTGGGTTGCCCGACTAACATCCACTTTTGAACCCCCGGGACTAAGCCTCTTAACAAACATCATGTTGCTAGTCGCAGTAGGCGCCTGCTATGTCGATACAATATTAACGTCAGTTGTTTCCCTCCCGTTACGCACCAAAACTCAGCTCACATCATCAGAACACCGCATTACCCCGGAGAGGATGAAAAGCTACGTGCTTCCAGTATCTCGCGACGACGAGGAGGGAACTGTCCAAATACCCTGGAGGTATTGCAACAGCTCGTCGCGGAGAATCCAGCGGCTAAGGAAACATCGCTAAATCTTATCGCCATCCTACCTGCGCAATCTTCTGTTGCTTCCCGGCAAATCCGAGAGGCTTTTGAACCTGGAGTATCTCTCAGCCATTGTATCTATCGTGAACAGTTTCAGGAGCCAGCTTCTAGTTATATCTTCAAAAGCGAAGCGTCCGGCAGCAGGACAATCGTCAATTATAATGAGCTTCCGGAAATGACGTTAGAGGAGTTCACCTCGATCACTGACAGACTAAGGGCCCAAGACGCTTGGTATCATTTTGAGGTTTGTCTATTTCGACTGGATCAACAGTGTATTGTATTTAGCTTACACTGTTAATGTCTAGGGCCGCATACCAGACGTGACACTGGCCTGTATACGTCATATCCGTCACCACTATCCGAACTCCAAGATCAGTGTAGAGGTGGAAAAGCCTGGGCGGGAAGGGCTACAGGAACTTTCTGAGGAGGCAGATGTAGTGTTTTACTCAAAGAGTTGGGCTCAAGTGGGCATCCTATTGTCTATTATTTTTAGGATTAGCTTTACTGACGTATTGGCAGGCCAATGGATACAAGTCCGCTGAAGAATGTGTTCGAAAGCAATCATCTCGGATACATAAGGCGTAAATCACCTCCTACCCCAAATTTGAAGCTGTGTATACTAACTAGGCTGAAAGGTCTCTTCTTTGTTGTACGTGGGGGCAAGATGGAGCTGCGGCCCTTGAAACCACCCCTACAAACTTCGTGCATAGTCCGGCATACACGCCGGGCGATTTCCAGGTAGTTGAGTAAGTAACTTGCTTTACGTCATTTATACTTGACGCTCGAACGTTGACTGATGCGCCTCCAGCACAATTGGAGCGGGAGATACTTTCATTGCGGGGATGCTATATGGTTTGGTCTGCAAGGGAGATTCCTGGGACCTTTCACGAAAGTTGCGTGCGGCTAATCGTATTGCGGGAAAAAAGGTCGCCCAGGAAGGATTCAATAACCTTGGGCGAGTATTAGAAGCGAGTTCCTAGATCCGGCTACGAGTATGGAATATGAGCTCTACAAATAGTTGATGTCCGCTTTGAGCAAACCATGTAGAGGGAGCTACCATGTACATAAATGCGTACGAGAAAAGACGCACAGAACAAACCTCCCATAATAAAATATAAACACTCATAGTACTCATTTTCCTATTATTATTATAGAGTATTGAAGGACACTCTTAAGGCAGAGAGGTGTATAGATCTACTTTCCTTTTTCGGAAGGTACACGTGACTGCGTTATCTTCAAAGGCGGTGTACTAAAAAATTATTCTGCCCGCAACTTTTTGCTTTTCGGCGAAGGGTTTTGCGGGCAATCAAAAGCACCAACTTCGAGATTTTGCAATCCCTGCAATAATTAATCCAAAATGGCTTCCGTCTACAAGACAGTATCCAAAAAGAGGTCCCGCGAACTTGCGAAACAACAAGAAGATGATGATGAAGATGTTATGATGGAGGAAATGCTCAATGATGCCGACGATACGAGCGATAGTGAAGAAGATGAGGAGGAAAATACCGCCGATTCAGCAAAGAAGCAGCTCTCCGCTGGGCTCATGCCTAAGACCCGTGTACTTATGCTCACCTCGCGAGGTGTCACATCTCGGTAAGTGCTCAATCTGGAATCGCAGTATCAAATTTGAGCTCAATGTACTGACTGTACTGGATTTTATTTAGTCACCGACATCTTCTCTCCGATCTCACCTCATTACTTCCCCACTCCCACAAGGAAAGCAAGTTGGATTCGAGAAAGAAGGCTGCTGGCTACAACCTACTTCTAAACTCTCTCGCCGACTTACACTCCTGCAACGTGATTTTCTTCCTCGAGGCCAAGAAGAATGGACAAGATTTATACCTGTGGCTTTCACGACCGCCGAACGGGCCTACGATCAAGTTCCATGTCAATAACTTGCACACCATGGCGGAGTTGAACACTGGATTTGCTGGTAACTGCCTGAAGGGTGGTCGCGGGATTGTCGTTTTCGACCAGTCGTTTGACGAGCAAGGCCCCGTCATGAGCCAGCCTGGAAACGAGTACCGGGGACTGATCAGGGAGATGCTCCGTGGCGTGTTCTGTGTACCAAAGCGCGGTGTCAAGGGAATGAAGCCCTTCATCGACCGTGTCATTGGAATCTACGGTGTCGACGGCAAAATCTGGATCCGCGTTTTCGAAATCAGAGAGTCAGAAGGTGGAGGCAAGAAGAAGGATGGTGAGGAAGAAGCTGCAAAGCCTGTTCACAACCCCAAGGATGGTCCCGAACTTTCTCTTGTTGAGATTGGGCCTCGGTTCGTCCTCACACCTATTGTTATCCTGGAAGGTAGCTTCGGTGGCCCTGTTATCTACGAGAACAAGGAGTACGTGAGCCCCAACCAGGTCCGTCGTGATATTCGGGTTAGCAAGGCCGCGCGGTACGCCAAGCGGAGGGACGTACAAACTGAGCGACTATCCAAGCGGTCAGATTTGGAGATGGGAGTGGGTGAGCGGAAACCGGGTGCTCTGGACACCCGGGTGCTTTTCGGATAATAAGCGCCGTTTTTTCGATTTATTCACTGTTTTTTCGATGTACTCTTAGACTTGATATCCTGAAGGATGTATATGCGTGGGATTCATGTTCACGGTCATATTGAAGGCGTCTTTGGTGGGTGCAACTTCAACGTCTCACTACGAGGTAGTTAAAAGAAAATATTTATGCCTTGTTCTTCGTCGTTCCTCTTCTGAAGTTAGCTAGCCATTAACAAAATGCACCGTGTGTAAGGAAACGTTGCCCAACCGTACTATTCAATTGCTCTAACCGACTGAATATTTTGTCTCCGTTAGTTTTAATGCCAGTATCCATTAAAGAAGTAGTTTATCAAGCCATATCACAGCCATTCGTCTTGTACTTGGGAACATCTTTGGCAGAAGCAGACCAGATTATGAACAACATTGTAGCCAATAGTATTGAAGACAATGGAAATTATACAACCACATGATTATATAAGCGCGATAACTGCATAACTAAATAATGAACTACTAAAGGAGCTTGGGCGCCCAAGCTCCTCCTCAACCTTGGAACACTCTCAACCATCATGGCATCGCTCTTTTTATCCAGCCCTTTGTGGCTAAAGGGAGTCCAGTCCCATAATTTTGAGATGATTCTCAACACTTCAGTCATGCCCAAGTTTCTTACCTTCTCAGACAGCCCCAAGGGCGGGGTCGCAACTTGAAGAGTCATACATTGTTCGTGACGGCAGTTGAATTACTGCTATAACGAAGCTGTGCCTTGTGTTTTTTTAGCAAGAATCTTGACACGAAATATAAATAATATCACCAGACAAAATAAATACATTACAACAGGTAAGCCGTTAGTAATAACCGTCAATGACCACCAGAATGCCATTGTTTATCTGAGCGTACCTAATTCCAGAGGATACAGACACTATGCGCTTCAACTATCTTGCCACGGAGCTCCTCCTGCATATATTTCGCTCCTGCGATACCATATCCGACGTCATGAACCTCGCAGCAGCGTCACGCCGATTTCGCGACGTCTTCAATCGATCGAACAAGCTACAAATCCTCATTGAGGTTGCGGAGGTGGAGTTCGGCCCTGTCGATGATATCGTCCAGGTAGCGACACACAATACAAGCCAACCACCACATCTTCATCGAACGGCACCGCTTACAGCATCTCTCCTCAAACAAGTTGTTGAGATTGGTAGAGCCGCTCAGAAATGGGAGATAATATATCCTATCAAGAAATGGAAGATGGATTTCGAGAACCGACGTTCGCTCAGCAACGAGGAGCGATTCCGCCTGCGCCGCGCTATCTACCGACTATGGCTGTACCACCGCGCGTTTCATACGCGTGAGCACGATCGATATAGCCGCAGTTTGCGGAATACCGTCGCCGAGCGCGCACAGCTCCTCCACAACTGGACCACGCCAGACCTAGCCGAGATTGAGGACATACGCCTAGTCATTACCGATATCGTCCAAAACCACATTTGTCCGAGCAATGGGACTATCCAACGAAAGTTCCGAAAACACTACCCTGAGAGCAACCAGCAACTTACCTTCAACGTCCACCTAAACTACCCTATGCATAACACCTCGACACCGTACGGGTTCTATGACCCGAATTCCGAACCTACAGACCGTCACTTTTACACCACCCACCCAACCACGGCCTATAATTCTTCTGCCAAATACCGCTCGCGCTTTCGGAATGATATATTCCATGAGCCTGGCTCGGAGGGGTGGGGAGATGAAATCCCACACTACTACGTCGTGCAAGACATGATGAAACTTGACCCGGGGCAGGTCCTCTGGCTACGGGAACATTGTCCGTTGAAAGAGCAGGTTGAAACCTTTGTGCTCTCTCTAGGGGACTGGTTCCGAAATAACGGTGAGACGTTTGGTGATACTCTTGAATGGGTGATGAAGGAGAGAGGCGATGAGATGGAGGAACTCCGAACCGCGATTTCGGAGCGGGAATTAGGGATCGCGTGGGATTAGTTCGAGCGAATCTGTTTTCTGAAGTATATTGGCAGTTATAATACGGAGTAAAAGGATATATACGTAGGACATTCCGAGGGCTTCGGCCAAGAAAATACGCCAACAGGCTATTAGCCTATTACAGTTCGAATATATGTAAACAGTACAGAGGACTTTTCTAAAAGCATCCAAAAATCCAAAAAGTAGGATATCTATTATATATTACAAGACATCTAATTGCCCGGTCTATTATACATGAGAAATATAATCTACAATCGTAATATACAGTAAGTCGTCTGTTCTATAAAACCGAACACCCTTCACGATGACGAGGTTCCGCTCAGCAGTTTTAGAACCAGTTCATACGTTCCCAGCGTGATCGCCGCGGAGGGAACTGTCCGGATCATGTGGGCCGTCAGGCCACCGTATAAGGCGACGAAACCTTCCTCTTTCACCATTAGCCGCAGGCATTGCACTACGCCTGTGTATTTCTGGCGGCCGTCAGCCATTGGGGCTTGTCGCAGTCGTGTTCGCAGGACCTGTGTAAGAAAGTCTTAGTGATCTTGTTCGGTTTTCTTGAGCATGAATACAACTTACTTCGTGAGGATAGGCAATCAGCACAGCAATCAGCTTGGAAACGCCCGCCGCGCCACTCATTATCAGCCCCTGCGTCACTTCACTCGACTGGGCCTTCCCATGTCGTTCATAATGATGAGCAACCATGACCTTTATCCGCTCGTAAGCAGCCAAATGTAATGTCGTCTCAATAACCCCCAAGTAACTGGCCATCAAGCCCCTGTAGAGGCCCTTGATTCCCTCTTGCCGGATAACCTGCTTAACACAATCGTAGCTATTCCGATACTGCGGCGGTCTCAATGACCCATCACTGTTCGCATGCGATCTATCAAGCTGTAATCTGGTCTTTACTAGCCAAATCGGATTCGTCGCTGTCCCCGTCACAACGCCTGCGGTGGCGGCGGACAGCGCGTGAACTGATGTCGCATCTTTATTAATCCCTAAGAGTTCGGGATATAGCCGTTTGCAATTCCCATACGCGTAAAATTTGATTGCTGTCGCCGGGACAACACCTGTAAGACTGGGCCCGAGGCCGCGGAATAAGCTACGCCAGCCCTCGACGCGATGAATGGAGAAGAGAATTTCAAAGGTTTCGCTAAAGTGGGTAATAAAAGAGCGCGCGATGGACGGGCGTGTATGTTGTGCGGAGATGGTGGATTTGAGTTGGGAGCGGTAGTAATCGGATTGAAGGCGCGTTCGGAGGACGTCAAGGGGAGATGTGAGGAGGGCAGTTGCCATGCCGCCAGCGCTGAGACGAAGTTAGCATCCCGGAAATATAATGACCGCGTTTTATAGGATAGCTGATGGGAATACTCACGCGCCAGCTACCAGATGCGTCCATGAGCTGTTTATTTGCTGCACTTGCGGAGTGATCGGCTTTTCGTGTACAGCATTGAGAGCCGCGTCTTTCGTGTCGTTCTGCATAGCCTGCATGTCGGGAGATTTGCCTTGAGGCTGCCAGCTAAGTGAAAAATGAGAAGGCGATTCGGAGGACAGAAAAGAGGCCGATCTTGGCTTTGTCAATCCATGTGAAGCGGTAATGAAGGAATCTCGAAGGCAAATTGGTCCAGAATTTTTTAGGATCGGGGTTATGTAATCCGCTGCGGAGATAAGATGCAGTTCCGGGACCCCTTCTCGTTTCGGAGACCACCAGACGTGTTGCAGAATCAATCTGAGACATCCATTCATTCTGCCCATGATGGACGAACCTATAACTAAATTTGGAGTTTTCATTGGATGTATGATTCAAAACAAGCTTCTTCAATACCCGAGGTTTGATTGGACTACGTCCTGGCTTGACTCTGTTGGCTCTCGGTCTCCCTGAGACCCTGAGGCCTCCATTGACAAAGGACTAACTCAGAACTCCTACAACAAGATTATTTATCTTTATCGTCATTCCGGCCTCGAAGAAAAGTTTCTATGAGCTTATTCAGGATAGTTTCGACCAGTTGAATAAGACGGCTCGCCTGTTATTTGCTTTCAAGGCTGAATCTCATTTGTTACCGGTCGTCAGTGGATTCCTTCAACTGGAAGACAAGCTGAGATTCCTAGGCAGGCGCGTAGCTTGGGCCTCTGCTCCCTTGTCGCGCAGCTCTTGATCTACCAAATCCTTAGTTTCATCGTTTTTCAGTGTAAACATTATTCACATCATAGCTACAAGGATAACTGCATACAGACCGCACAGCCATTTCACAGACGCCAAATAAGAATAATGAAACTCGGCCAGGCACTGGAAGACTCAGGAAGTGGAGGGGGCCATGGATTAAGAACAAGTGATTTGAATGTGACGCGGTCAAAACAAGGGAAGGAAGATGGAACAGCGGGATGGAGTTTGAAATAGCATTTTCATCAAGTTGAAGGTAAAAAGAATAGAAGGCTGGTTAAAAGGAAGTCGAAGTAGAAAATGACAAAATAAGGTGTCCGGGGTAGTGTAAGGCCCAATAAGCATTGATAGACAATGTCCATATTCCCGTATGCCTTTTCCCAACAATGTCCATTGCCCCTCTTGTGTATCATCTCCGCAGAGGCCAAATAAACAGGCAAAAAAGAAACGTCAAGACCATTCAATTATCTCATCACAAATTTAAAGGCTCGTTGCGGTCGGCATGTCGTGTCTAAACCGGAACACCGTTGTACTAATTTTAACAGCATCCTCCCTTGTTTTCGGTATCCTGGGTCTTCTCAATGTCGATTATTTGACGACGCTCACCAACCGAGGCACCGCCAGATTCACCTTCAAGAGCCTTGCTGGACACAATGCGGTAGATTTCTATGGCGAGCAAGCTGTTAGGAGAGTGTACTGGAGTTTGTTCGTATGCAGTCATACCTGTGAGAATGTTCTGGAAAGCTAGTTCAACGTTGCTCGCATCCAGGGCGGAAGTCTCAATGAAGGAGAGGTTGTTCTCGCCTATTATCTGTCAACACCTGACGGGAGGTATCAAATGTGGAAATCAAGGAGAAACGCACTGGCAAATTGCTTGGCTTCCTCTGTGGGAACAGCTCGTAGGTGCCTCAAATCGCTCTTGTTACCAACCAGCATAATAACGATGTTAGAGTCGGCATGATCGCGGAGTTCCTTTAACCACCGGTTCACGTTATCGTAAGTCTGATGCTTGCTGATATCGTAAACGAGAAGCGCACCGACGGCACCCCGATAGTAGGCGGACGTGATAGCGCGATAACGCTCTTGACCAGCGGTATCCCAGATTTGAGCCTTGATTGTCTTGGAATCAACCTGAATGGAACGGGTTGCGAACTCGACACCGATAGTCGATTTGGAATCCAAGTTGAACTCGTTTCGGGTGAATCGACTCAACAGATTGGACTTTCCAACACCAGAGTCTCCAATAAGCACCACTACCCGAATATAGATAGGTCGGTGTTAGTTTGAGTTGAGTTCGGCGAAGGGGATCGCGGCTGTTCTGTCCGGCGGGCAGTGGCAACGTACCTTTGAAGAGGAACTATTAGGCAGTCATATGTTAGCGGTCTTCGTTCCTCGGGAATATTTTGTAGGATAGAAGGGCTGGGGAACTCACATCATACTCGTCGTTAGCCATAATTAACAACTAGAAGAGCCTACTGAGCTCTGATATAGGTAAGGTGTAAAGTTGGTGGTTAGGCAAGACTCGACGTGGCTGGATCCGTAGGCAGTTGGTGAGCGGAAACCGACAACAGGTGGAAACTCAGTTCTGGAGGGGCACGCGAGAGTTAGTCAACAAAGCCAGGTTGGCGGTGGTGGAAACATAGGAAAGAGCTGCTTCAACGAGAAGCATCTGGGACATAGTACGCACCTTTCTTGCAAGGGGGAAGCGAGAAATCACAGATAGGAGGCTCTCCAGGAGGTCCAGATGATGAATTCCCGCCCTCGTCGCAGGAGCCGGTGGCCGTCGTAACCCCCTTTGGGCCTAGTAAGTGGATCACGTGCCCCGCTCGTTTCATGTGTGTTTCTTTTTAAAGGCCCGGACTGGTGGTTTGCATATCGATCAAGCACACGGCTTTGCAGGGAGACGATCAACATATTTGTCCCAACTTCATGGGGCATCTGCTCCAGAATTTGTGGCGCTGCAGCTACATTCCGGGCATTGTACCAAGTGTCGTCCTATGTTTGCAAATCCCTCAGAACAGGAGAACGTGGAGCTCCACTCTCTGCAGGTCAAATTTGGAAGCGGCATAATTTCCACTGCAGGACCATTGTCTGATCATGGAGGCGGGAGGTATCAGCGATGATGAAATATCTCTTACATCCACTGTTGAGAGTGAACAACAGTCTGAATATGATGTCGAGACAATCTTAGCAGAGGAAGAGTTCCCGGATGGGATGAGATATCTCGTTCGGTGGCTTGGTTACTCTCTTGATAGATGTACTTGGGAGCCTGCAGGAAGCTTTAACTTCGGCGAGACATTACAAGATTGGGAACTGAAAAAGCAGCTAATTTCCGAGGGAAAGGAATCCGCCTTTGATGTAGCTACTTGGGAAGCGAGGTTAGTCCGACTCCAAGAGGAAAGCGATGAGAGAAAGCGCAGAAGATCAATAAAACGGCGGAAACTCTCAGCATCAGAGGCCAACTCAACTCCTGCCAAGCATACCGCCCCAACTATCCGAAGGACGAATTCAGATAAAGGCTTGGGCGGCTCGACAAAGCTCCAGCCGGGCCCAGCTCCCAGATCACTCTTTCAAGATGGGGTTCACCCAGCCAGACAAGGACTGTTGGGATCATCAGCTCAACGGTTGCCGCCTGTTCTTTTTGGACCCAGCCAGTCCACCCCGGATTCAGCCCGGCCTAAGAAACCCAGTTGCACTGATAAACCCAAACTGTTCAAAAACCTGTCGACAAAGTGGAGATATGAGAAGTTAGGAAGAACTGAGCCAGCACCAGACAAGAACCAGCTCGACCTCAGGCGGCCAACTGACTGGGCTCCTATATCGCCCACCGATATTACGCAACTTGGCCCCTCCCGCCTAGTAACAGATATTGCGGATGAGAGTCGAATTGATCATGCCTCTGATGATCCTTTGGACTCGCCTCGATCATCTCATCGCTATCAAAGATCACCGGTTACTTCATCCATTCCAAACAACAATGCGTGGAATGTGACAAACCCTGAACCCATCGAAACCCGCAGCGAGCCCATAAATAATATGGCAGCTCACCATGAATCCGCCAAGCCAACCAGCGAGTTCAACTTGGAGTTTCCCCCTAGGAGACCTAGCAGCACATCTAAGTTCTTACACCCCAAGCGTTGGTGGAGCCGCGGGGAACTATATGTCACGATCTACCTCGGCCCTGAAAAGCTGGAAATTGGTGACGTTAGATTATGCGGCATACCTTTCGAGGAGGCGAGGGGAATTTTTAAGATGAAGGTAGGAAAAGTAATTGAGTTGTGGTTCAAGGATCTATGTACTCTGGATGAATATAATGCACTATGCCACGGTGTAAGTCCCAATAAGAGCGAAATTATTATGTGATTTCTACTCCCGGTATACCGCGTCAGGCTACTAACACGACACCGTTTACCAGATGGTGAACCAAAAACTTGCGAATGGATGGGTCGAGGGATTCGATGACACCGAGCCGACGCTTCGCAGAGCAGCGATGTCGCTTTGGCAAGCAAATCAGGTTGCAATAGCACATATAAACCGCGGCGCGTGGGACGAAATACTGCTTGCGTACCCTCCAGGTTCTCCAGATTTCAACTTCCTTGATTCCGGTGCCTCTTGGTCCGAAAGAGGATACCTTCACCTCACTCTTAGGGGCCCTCTCAGACCCATGGAGAGCTTGGATTCACGCGCGAAAATTTACCCTCATCTGAGAGAAATTAATAACACTTCGGCTGGTGGTAGCCTTGGGCCAAGTACGGTTCATGTGCCAAGTGGTGTGCAGCTGTCGCGCAGCATCGACGTCGCACAAGAAAATACCAAACCTTCTACAAGTCTTCCCACACTGGACCCTCCTCCGGACACAGCAATTTATATGCCATCCTCCTTGAACTCGCCCACAACTCCGATCGTATCCAGTAATTCGACTGTTCAGAAAGTCATACCCTCCACCGAATCCATGAACCGCACCGCTCATCCTACTCAGGCCCCCGCACCAGATGGATCGAACCTTGATGCAACTCCGGATTTGGATGAACTCCTGTACTCCAACTTCGGCATTAGCTTTAAGAAATTGGCTACGATCAGTAACACGGATAAACCTCAACGAGCAGAGATGTTCTTTGTCTGGTTTCCTGGTGATTCGGAGCTCGTCAGAAATGAGAAGGAGCTAATCCTCGCATTCTTAAGAAAACACACCTCTCTACTGTTCTCCAACAGCGTGGATGTGGATTGGGAAAGATTTGTCGCCATGGTCAAGAAGAATACGATGCAAGGGGTTATTCTTGTTTGTTTTCCTGTTTTCCTTTCCCGTATCCTACTAACAAACAACTGGATAGTTCCATGAGTCTTTCGTTCAGTACGAGACTATCCCATTCTTCAAAGAAATCCTCCGCAAGTCATCGACTTTCTGGAATATTTCCATTTCTCAGCCACTTAAATATGCTGGTCACCAAGTGCACGCCCAGCGGCTATTTCCGCATGGGGGTGTCATCCTATTAACTGAAGACTTCATGGTCCGCGAACCGGATGCTGCAACGATAATTCTGGGTTGGTTCTGCGAGTATACTCGAACGAAAATTCCAGGAAATTGGAAAATAATGGTACGTCCCGATATTTCGAACTGGCTGTCGAAGCAGGTCGAGATCAGCGATAAACCAAAGAAATCTTGGTACGTATTGTTTGCGTGCACATCCCTTTCATGAGCTCCACTAATAAGGGCCAGGTGGCTTGCCATTTCTCATTTACTCGGACGACTCGGATTATCCCCTGCTGACGGTCGTCTTCCAAGCATCGAAGATAACCATAGCTCCGTCATCTCCCCATCTATGCTGCCCAGATATGGCTCGCGAACTTCGGACGACTGTCCAACTATTCCTAGCAATTGCACCCAAGAACAGCGCGACACTGACCATCTTGCGGAGTTCTTTGCTGGCTGGAGTATAGTCAATGCGCATCGCTTCCGCCGTTTCTCCATGATCACAGCTCTGGAGCCCCTCAAAAGATGGGCAGATTGGCAACATATCGAAATCAGAAGCTCCCAGGAGTTCTATAATCTTCACCAAATCGACCCCAAAAGAATACAAACCACACTCCTCCAAGAGACACCAAGTTCTTCTACAGCGGAGCCCTCACCTTATACTCCACGGACCCCGATGCCATCCAGTACTCCGGCTTATGAGCAGCGACCTAGTTCGTCTAATACCCACCAACCTCTTTTCCAGCATACGTACGGTCAGCCTTATCAGTGAGGAAGTGGACGCACGGGTCTCTCTTCTGACTGTAGGTACATTATACTATCAGCTATGAACCACACTTCGTTTTTGCCCTCCTTCTACATAGCCACCCCAGGCCCTACTTTGAGAGATTCATAGAAGATACCACTGCATTTAATGGATTATGAATATTGATCATTCGGGATATCACTGTCATGTCCACGTACAGTACAACTGAAGTAGAATCAAAAAGCCAGTCCGCGATCTCGTAAGTGCTAATAGACGGACGAAAGAAACCATGGTGGAGAGAAATGCTAAACAGTAATCTCACGCGCCAGTGCTAAGCCACGAGTTGTAAACTATTTTCGTAAGTGAAGCATACATATAAGCGCCTCGGTCCAGGATATAAAAGAGACAAAAGGTATTCACGACCCAGAAGCCTTACTCCGATACTCCCTGAATGTGGAGATGGAAGGTACGTCTTCAAACCCAGCTGCATGAGAGTTTCCTCTCCTCTCCTTTGACTTCTTCTGTTGCATTTTCTCTTCCCATCGATCTTCTTCAGCGGCGATTATAGAGTGGAAGCGCCCTCCCTGACCGCGGCCGAGATACACGGGCTTCTCGTTGCGCTCTGCGACGGGCTCTGTTACGAGGACGAATTTCACACTCGATCCAGGGGTTTCGAACATTGCATCGCTGAGGATGGTTTCCATCTCTGTGCGGAGTGCACGCGCCCCTGTGCCCATTGTGAAAGCGTTCGCAGCGATTTTATGAAGAGCGGGTGTTGTGAAGCGGAGCTCAATACCCGATAGGGAAAAGAGTGTGGTGTATTGGGCGACGAGGGAGTTACGGGGCTCCGTGAGGATTCGGACAAGTAGGGGTTGACTTAGAGCGGATAGGGCGGCGTTGACCGGGATGCGGCCAACGAGCTCGGGGATGAATCCGTAATTTTGGAGGTCTGTAGGGCTAAGCAGATCCAAAGCGTTGAAATACGTAGGTTCGGCCTCGGGTGATAAGGTTGATGGAGGGGTAAAAAATGGGAGATGCTTTTTGTAGAGGGCCTCCTCTTCGGACCCGGGGAGTATGGGAATAGGCTGGTTAGTTGTAGGGTCAGAATGTGAGCGTTCGGTGGAGGTTTGAGCCGGCGTCCGAACTGGTTGGCCGAAACCCATGGAGCCTCGAGATATCCGGTCCATGACGACCTTGTGCAACCCAACAAATGCGCCGGAGCATACGAACAAGATGTTGTCGGTGCGAACATTGTAGACCTCGCCCTTGTGCGGCGTGTTTCCGCCACTCGGGGGCGTAAAGGGAGAATTCCCTAGTGGGTTATTCGAAGGATATGCCGAAGAGCTAGGAGTGCCGTTGATACGAGGAGCATTGCGTTCTTGCTTTGCCTGTACTTGTACCGTCGTGCCTTCGATGATCTTGAGGAGGGCTTGCTGTACTCCCTCGCCACTCACATCTTTACCATGGCTGACCTTTGCGGCTGCAATTTTGTCTATCTCGTCCAGAACAATTATTCCGCGTTCCGCTTGCTCGACGTCATAGTTTGCAGCAGCCAATAACCTATGCACACATACTTCTGCATCTTCGCCGATATAACCAGCTTGTGTAAAGGGAGTGCAGTCGGAGATGCTAAATGGAACCGACAATACCCTGGCCAATGTTTTTGCCATCAACGTCTTCCCGACTCCGGACGGCCCTAGAAGAAGAACATTGGATTTCTCGAGCTGTAGTTGTGATGATTCGTCCAGCTCTGCCTTGTCTGCGCCCAGACGGGGTGGTGGTGGTGCTGCAGGCTCGGGGGACAGGTAGGTAGTGCGTTGCTGGCCTGGAAACTCGTCTGAAAGGTTATATCAGTAAGCTATGGGTACAAAGATAGCCCTCAATTATCGCCGACAGTTGTAAGGCTTACCTTCAACGGGATGGTGTTCAACCGACTCCCTGCGCGCACGTTTGGCAAGTAGCTCCTCAGCTTCTTCCTGGCGTCTTTGGAGCTCTTGCACCCGTTGGTAGTGATTATATACGGCAACACTCAGTATCTTCTTCGCACGGTCCTGACCGACAACGAATTGATCCAAATACTGCTTTAGTGTCTTTGGGGTAATCCGAGGGGCTCCAAATGCTGGGGTGGAACCCAGCGGGCCAGCTGTGGGAAGGCCAGATTCGTAGACGCCGGAGAAGGGCTGATTTGTGAAATCAGATCTATCGAACTGCGTGAAGGTAGGGAAGGACCTTGATGAGCTCGCAAACCCGCGACGCGCATACAAGGGACGAAGGGCGAGCGGGCGCCGATAGCGGAGGACGCAGTAGCGATGCGGTGCGGGCGGCCGACAAGGCCATGACGGCAGCCGCAGCATGAGGGGCGCTGCGGTTGCAATAATCAACTAAGACTGAGAGCAGGGATTTTCAAGCTCCCAAACTGTGGCTTGTAAGAGAAGCTAGGAGACGGAGGAGGAGACGGAGGAGATGCAAGCCGGTGAGGAGGTCGTGAGATAAGATCCCATCAGTCAATCACCCGCCCCGTCAAAATGCGCCGGCCTGAGCTCCCCCGCTTTTTGGGCCGATCTACCAATCACACCACATGACGGCTACAATCAATGTATAAATATCGCGTCGGAATTTTTGCTCTTCTATCTTCATTCTGCTACCAGATATGCCTTTCGCTAAAGTCCTATCCCGTCGGGTTTGATCAGTTTTGCTCAATTTCTTTCAAGAGGTACGCGATTTGGTTGGCCGCTATCGCTGCCGAGGCTCTCGCCAATTGTACTCAGGACAAACGCTCCCTTGGTTCTTCCACATTGAAGGGCGATGCCATTTCTCATACCTATTTTGACTCTGTGCCTTTCTCGTGTTGGCGAGCATGTGTTCTCCGATCTCGCGGGATAAGATGGTTTTCATTAGCTGGTTGTGCCTGCCAACCACAACGGGTCCTCAAGACTCCTTTCAATTTCACAACGGGCAAAGTATCATCGCGTACCAACAAGCATATTGTCTGCCACGGATTACGATACCAATATAATTGGATGCGGTATCCTGGTGATGCAACACCCGTCTCGAAGGCAGACAATTTCCCGTATATTGCAGAGTGTTCACTTGTTCTTGAACGCGGGCTGATGTTCCATTGTCTGGGAAATAAAGCCCCGCAAAGCTGCCCATCGATTTGGCACTGAGTCGGCGGCTGGTTCTGAGCTCGGCGTAGGTGCTGCTTGAATGTTCGACATTTGTGCCATATTCTTCGCAAACCGATCTCGCTCTGTTTTTTCAAGCTTCTCCTTGCGTTTCATGGCACCTGGTCTGTGCTTCAAAGTCTTCTGCTTGATGATGTTAACTTGACTGGGATCGTTCGGGTCCGACTCGGCAGCAGGTAAGGCATCGGCCAGCGATTCAAGGTTGGCAACAAGTTTCTTGGAAGCTCGGCGGCGTTTGTTCGATTTGGCAGAGTTCTTCTCGATTTTCGATACAAAGCTTGAGTGCTTGATCAAGCGCTTATCCTTCTTCGTCGTCCGGAAGTCATCGTCAAGCAGCGAGGGCTTAGGAAGAGCGACTCCGCTGCCCGCACCCGGCTTGCTACGATGCACCTGCTTTTTTACCGATCGGACGGGAGCCTGGACATTGCGCAATAGTGAGATGGCTGCTCGCCAAAGAATTACGGGCAGAGAAGGTCGGCTTACCATTCTGATTTTTGAGGTACGGCAAACTCCGACTGGCTTTCCGCGACTCTCAGACTTTGAACGGCCCGAAGAAGAAATCTCTCAAAACCCGACCACAAAATCTCTCACGGCTGCCCACCGCCTTCCTACGGTTGAGGTTCCGGTACTTGACTCCCCGCAACACGTGAGCAGCATTTGCCTCTTCGGTCATTTCCCTTCAGGACCGGACCGGGAACGATCCTCTACTCCCCAACCTGGACCCTACGACGGTATTGCCTCTTATCGCATTCCGGTGAGTTCAACAAGCTCGATCTCCACAGATTCAACGTCATTTTTGTGGGATCCCGACATCTGATCGCCTGCTCGTTTGCCTGTTTTATGTTCCCCCTGGGGCGAACCAAGATCCACATTAACTACTAGATAATCATCCGGAGCAGCGCCGAATTATCATCCACGGTTTGGAATCGCCTTCAGTCTGCATTTTCGTGATTGCCACCGGGATTCCACAAATTTTTGTAAATGCGTCTTCTGTGTCGTCAATCTCGATTCAGCGGACTCTGTGTGAAACAAATACTACCTCGGCTTTGGCCGTCTCGACAATTCCCCTCCATTCAAATACTTCAGAATTCCCTGTCCCACTCAACGTCATTCAAGCACTTGCGGTTCACCCCGTCTCGAAACTTTTCAACCGCAAACTTATCATTTTTACCCGCGCCTCCTACAAACTCTGCCAGGATGGGCTCTCTCGGACAGTATCAGCAGAAGCACAAGGTGACTGTGGTGGGATCAGGTAACTGGTGTGTATATTGAAATTTGATACACCCAATCTCCCCCGCCACGTTGTACTGACAGCGAACAAGGGGTACCGCCATCGCCAAAATCGTCGCCGAAAATACTGCTAGCAACCCCGCCCTCTTCGAAAAGGATGTTCAAATGTGGGTTTATGAAGAAAAGGTCGAAATCTCGAAGTCGTCCAAACACTACGACCCCGCTTCTCCCCTCTGCCAGGGCCCTCAGAACTTGACCGATGTCATCAATCAAACGCACGAGAATGTCAAATACCTTGAAGGGATTGCGCTCCCAAAAAACCTGATTGCCAACCCTTCCCTAGTGGATGCGGTTCGTGACAGCACTATTCTTGTCTTCAACCTGCCACATCAGTTCATCGTCAATATCTGTGGGCAGATCAAGGGCAAGATCCTTCCCTACGCTCGTGGAGTTTCTTGCATCAAGGGTGTAGATGTGAACGAGGAGGGAGCCCACCTGTTCTCTGAGACCATTGGCAAGATTCTCGGAATCTACTGCGGTGCGCTGTCTGGGGCCAACATTGCCACTGAAGTCGGCCAGGAGAAGTGGTCTGAGTCGAGCATCGGCTATGACCCCCCGCATTTCGACTCCAAGGCTCCCACCCCGGCTCGCTCACCCTCTGGATCTACTGAAAACATCGTGCACTATGAGCACAAGGATGTTTCAGGGCAATTGTCGAAGGTGAAACTACAGGCTCTACCCACTGAGTACCCGCCAGTCGACCATGCCGTTCTCAAGTCGCTTTTCCACCGTCCTTATTTCCACATCAGTGTTGTAAGTGATGTTGCCGGTGTATCATTAGGAGGCGCCCTCAAAAACGTCGTCGCTGTTGCCGCGGGTTGGGTTATAGGCAAGGGATGGGGAGACAACGCCAAGGCCGCAATCATGCGAGTTGGCCTTTTGGAGATGGTGAAATTCGGTGAACGATTCTTTGGAGCAACTATTAACACGAAGACCTTCACTGAAGAGAGTGCCGGTGTTGCCGATATGATTACCAGCTGCAGTGGCGGACGGAACTTCCGTTGCGCCAAGCTCAGTGTTGAGAGAAACCAGTCAATTGAACAGGTGGAGGCGACAGAGTTGAACGGCCAGTCGCTACAAGGCACGTTAACTGCTCTTGAGGTCAACAGTTTTCTGAAGAAGCAAGGCTTAGAAGAGGAGTTCCCACTCTTCACTGCCGTTTACCGTAAGTATTCGCCCTTGCCATGGATATCTTTTATTTTCAATATTCTTACAATTTTGCAGGGGTCCTCCAAGGCAACATGACCATTGATGAGATTCCATCTTTCATTGAGCGGTAAATAGGTCCTAAAAACATAACCCCTTTTTGGTTTGCGTCGATGATTAATTTGGAATTTGTTTTTCATTTGACAGCAAGCCGATCTCAACTGCATTTTCTGGGTCAGAAGGGTTGGAAAACAATGATACGGAGCAGGGTACGAACGCTAAGCTGTGAATGATTTGATTTCTGTTGTTTCGGTATAGACGGATGCACTATGTTGGGAAGATACAGACGGATACGACTTGATGTGGAATTTTTGCACATATAGACTTGGACTTTGATAGACTTATGCCATTTACTTGTTTCTCGCAAATCTTGCTCGCACTAGTCGTCAGAACTTGGCCGAAAAGTTGCCAATGCGGAGAGAACCAGGGTCTAGGCCAGGGCGGGACCTAAATGGATGATGTCACCCTCCCGCGGGGCTATCGATCTCAGGGTAACTCGAATTTACAGGAACCGGTTTTATCCCTGCACATCTCCTCTTCCCTATATATTCTCTGCTGGCTTTCTCGCACCCGAGTCTGTCGGGGATTGTGAGACGTGCCAAATAGCAGCCACCCCATTCATCCACATCTTCGCAACAGCGATTCTCCAAATCCCAATCGCGGAGCAGGGCCGACCAAAGCTACGGAATATTCTAGGAGCTTTGTACCATTTAAAATGGCTCAAGAAACATTTTACCTGCTCCCTCTGAAAGATGATGGCTCGCCGGATGTGCCCGGTGGGTATATCTATCTTCCCCCGCCAGACAGCCTCAAGTACTCCCTCCGCTTCCTTATTGAAGGCAGCAGCTCAATTTGCAGGGACGGAACCCTTTGGGTGAACATCCCTGAGGGTGGGCAGTCGTTCGATCGTCAGGGCTTTCGGGCTTTCAAGTAAGTTGTCTCTTCGTCCTTGCTGGCGCGCCAATTTCTGACACAGCTGTTCCAGGCTATCGCCAGATTTCAGCAGAAACATTCAGGTCGATGTACCGGTCACCCACCCCGGGTCATTTGAATTTTATGTGACCTACTCGCCTCTCCCAGAATTTAGCATATCTCCTGGCCCGGCCCCAAAATCTACAAGGACACCCACACATTATATCGATGTCGCTCCAAAGCTTAGCCTCGGCAGCCAAACCATACCCCTTAATGCTCTGTCGATATTTTCAGTACATGCAAAATTCATGGGCAAATACCCTCAAGACTGGAACAAGTACCTTAGTAGCATCTCTCGGCGGAAGTACAATATGGTCCACTTTACGCCTTTAATGAAGAGAGGGTCATCGAACTCACCGTACAGTATTTTCGATCAGCTGGAGTTTGACGACGGGGCATTCCCGAACGGAGAGGAAGACGTTCAAAGGCTAATCAAAAGTATGGAGGAAGAGCACTCGCTTCTTTCGCTCACTGATGTTGTTTGGAACCACACTGCCAATAATAGCAAATGGCTAGAGGGACACCCCGAAGCTGGTTATAGCGTTGAAACCGCACCTTGGCTTGAAGCAGCTTTCGACTTGGACACTGCGCTACTGAAATTTGGACAGGATTTACAGGAATATGGCTTGCCCACTGAAATTGCAACCGTTGACGATTTGACGACCGTTATGAACGGGGTAAAAGAACATGTCGTTGAAAGCCTTCGCCTATGGGAGTTCTACGTCATTGACGTAAAGGCTAACGCACAGAAAGTATTGGAGGAGTGGAAATCATCAAAGCCCATTGATCTGGGAAGTGGGCGATGGGCGCAGCTTGGCCTCGAAAACTTCGCGAAGTGGTCTCTAGAAGAGCAGACGGGTTTCATCCGCCAGAACGGGATCCCAACTGCCAAACAAGTCCTCGGGAGGTACGGTCGAAGTGTTGATGTCCAACTTGGCGCGGCCATTTCTACTGCTTTGTTTGGCCAATTTGACTCGACATCGTCGGATCTCGCTTCCATTGGAAATTCCCTTGGCGAACTGCTTGACGTAGTCAATGTGCCATTTTACGAGGAGTACAATTCAGATTTGTCCACCATCATGGACCAACTTTTTAATCGTATCAAGTACCTGAGGATTGACGACCACGGGCCCAAGCTTGGTCCTGTGACGACAGAGAGCCCTCTGATAGAGTCGTACTTTACAAGGCTACCTCTAAACGAGGTCACTAAGAAGCACAATCCTAAGGCGTTGGCACTGGCAAACAATGGCTGGATCTGGAACGCGGATGCTATGCGTGACAACGCTGGGCCCGACTCACGAGCATATCTACGGCGAGAAGTGATTGTCTGGGGGGACTGCGTCAAACTACGTTATGGAAGCGGCCCTGAAGACAACCCCTTCCTATGGGAATTCATGACCAGATACACGCGCCTGATGGCCAAGTACTTCTCCGGCTTCCGAATCGATAATTGCCACTCAACACCTCTAGTTGTCGCAGAGTATTTGATTGACGAGGCACGAAAAGTCCGTCCCGACCTTGCAATATTTGCCGAACTTTTTACCGGGTCTGAGGAGGCCGATTATATATTCGTCAAGCGGCTTGGTATCAATGCACTCATCCGCGAGGCTATGCAAGCCTGGAGCACAGAAGAGCTAAGCCGGTTAGTGCACCGTCATGGTGGCCGTCCCATCGGTAGTTTTGAATTGGATCTACCTTCACCAGGCCAGGACTTTTCAAAGACTCAGTCCAGCGGCAACGAGACGGGAACAGTTCACAGTATCCGTCCGATTCCTGTTCCTGCACTGTTTATGGATTGCACCCATGACAATGAAATGCCAGCCCAGAAGCGCACCGCAAAAGATACACTTTCAAACGCTGCCCTTGTTGCAATGTGTGACTCGGCAATTGGAAGTGTTATGGGGTATGATGAGATCTATCCTAAAATAGTGGACCTTGTACACGAAACCCGGTTGTATTCTCATTCTGAGCTCCCGGAATCTCCGACTATTGATGAGCTGGCCAATCTCAGAGGAATATGTGGTTTAAAGCGGCTTCTCAATGAACTTCATACCAAGATGGGCCAAGAAGGGTATGCTGAAACATTTATCCATCACGAGGGTGAATATATCACCGTCCACAGGGTCCATCCACAAAATCGGAAAGGCATATTTTTGATTGCGCATACGGCTTTTCCTGGTCAAGACAGTGGTTCCCTTCTTGCTCCTACCCACCTTGATGCTACTAAAGTTAAACCTATTGGTACATGGCTTCTTAAGGCCCAGGAAGACGATAGCGACAAAGAAAATGCTCTCGCCGACACAGCCTATCTTCAAGGATTACCCAGTCAGGTTCAAAAGTTTGATGGGATTAAAGTAGACGAAAAGAATGGAGATACCACGATATCAGTCCTTGACACATTCATCCCGGGATCTATTGCTCTTTTTGAGACATCCATTCCCATATTTGAGCGCCCAGACGAGTTAAGCAATGACAAAATCACCGAAGGTGCGGATGAAGCGTTTTCCGAATTGAACCTGATCGATTTGAACTTTGTGCTCTACCGTTGCGAAGCTGAAGAACGTGATTCAGGTGGCGGTCAAGATGGAGTATATGACGTTCCTAATCATGGTCCATTGATCTATGCTGGTCTTCAGGGCTGGTGGAGTGTTCTTGAAGATATCATCAGGTATAACATCCTGGATCACCCACTCTGTGATCACCTCAGGCAAGGTCAGTGGGCCCTTGACTATATTGTCAGGCGGTTGGCAAATATGGGAGAGAACTCAGAGTTTACTGCTCTACAGCGTCCAGCTAAGTGGTTGGAATCAAAATTCCAGGCTGTCCGTGATTTACCAAGTTTTCTGCTACCTCGCTATTTCGCCATCATTATCCAGACTGCGTATGTGGCCGCCTGGAACAGAGGCATACAACTCCTTGGAGACGATGTGCGAGGTGGTCAAGTGTTTATCCAACAGCTAGCCATGGTCAGTGTGCAGCAGGCTGGGTACGTAAATTCGGCATCTCTATGGCCTGTGAAGCGGGTCCCAAGCCTTGCAGCTGGCTTGCCACATTTCGCAACAGACTGGGCTAGATGTTGGGGTCGAGATGTTTTTATCTCCCTCAGAGGCTTGCTTCTATGCACAGGAAGATTTGACGACGCCAAAGAGCATATTCTTGCTTTCGCCAGTGTACTCAAACATGGCATGATTCCCAACCTACTCAGTAGCGGTAAACTACCGCGGTATAACTCTCGCGATTCCATATGGTTCTTGTTGCAGGCCATCCAGGACTACACGAAGATGGCACCAAATGGTCTCGAACTCCTGAGTGAAAAGACCCCCAGGCGGTTCCTGCCGTACGATGACACATGGTTTCCCTTTGACGATCCCAGGGCATATTCGCAGAGTTCAACAGTCGTGGATGTGATCCAAGAAGTATTCCAGCGCCACGCCCAGGGACTCTCCTTCCGCGAGTATAACGCGGGCCCAGATCTCGATGTGCAAATGAAATCTGAAGGGTTCCAAATTGATATCAACGTGGATTGGGAAACAGGGTTAATCTTTGGTGGCAGTCAGTTCAACTGCGGGACATGGCAGGACAAGATGGGAGAAAGTGATAAAGCCGGCAACAAGGGAGTACCCGGTACTCCCCGGGATGGCGCCGCCATTGAAATCACGGGGCTTGTGTACAGTGCTTTAACCTGGGTCACAAGCCTTTACGAACAGGGAGTTTACCCATATGATAAGGTAGATATTGGAAATGGCAAGTCTATCACGTTGAAAGACTGGGCCGCTAAAATCAAAACCAACTTCGAGCGTTGTTATTACATTCCCATGGAACCCAACGAAGATTCCGAATACGATGTCGACTCCGGAATTGTCAATCGTCGCGGAATTTACAAAGACCTGTACAGATCCGGGAAACCTTACGAAGATTACCAGCTTCGCTCGAACTTCCCAATTGCCATGGTTGTGTCACCCGATCTTTTTGAACCATCGAAGGCGCTGGCGGCACTTGCCCTTGCGGACTCTGTTCTTGTGGGCCCCATGGGTATGGCCACCCTTGATCCATCCGATCTGAACTATCGACCAGACTATAACAACTCAGAGGACTCGACCGA